CTCTCAATGCCCTCCACAGATTCAATCGTGCGATCGGATCCCATCCTGGCCGGGGCCGCTTCCTTGCCTCGCCTGCAGTGCGTGGAGAAGGACCGACTTGCACGCGAAATATACGGCCGTGATGAGGGCGATCGCTGCCCCGGCTTTTCGCCATGAGGAAGGCATCATCGTCAGTTGGCTGGCGGTCGCGAACCTCGTACGGGCGCTTTTTTGGCATGGCTCCGCACTTCTTCGGCTTTCTTTCGCTCCCTCTCTTCCATCGCGAGCTGAGGTGCGCTCTCTTTTTCGACTCGTTGTTGTTGCGGCTGATCTTTTGCTTGTGAGAATGCAGCTTTTTGCTTTGGGTCACGCGCGCTATGGCAGCCAACGCGCGCAGCGCCAGCGTTAGGGAAGACAGGGCGGCCAATCACTCCTGTTGGTCGCGCCGGCAGATATCGTGATTCATCTAAACGCCAAAAAGCAAGATCCCGGGTGCGGCTCTTGGACCCGCCAGCGCTTGCGCAGTCTAGGCCCGCGATGCTCACGACGGGAGGATGGGATGGGAAGATCCATCTCCTCCTCCATCATCTCCTCAACCCTCGCCCGCCGACCGCCGTGCTGCCAACGGCGGACCTTGGCCGAAGGAAAGCAAGTTGAGCAGGTCCCATGTCGCGAGGTGCCGGCCCTATCGTCATCGCGTCATTTTCGCAGCGGTGTTGTAGTGCTCGCTCAGGTTACTCTGTCACAAAATGACTGTGGGACGGCGCAACCAGTCAATATTACCAACCGCGAAACGAAAGGGCACCGGGCGTTCTCCATTACGGAACATGCCGTCTCGTTGACGGGCTTCGGATGAGCGGAGGAGCGAGTGCGTGGCCGGCCGGATGAGGTTGTACGGCCGAGACATTTTGTGAGCCGCGCACACAGCCAGAGAAGTTTGCAGTGCCTCGTGTGTACTGTATTCTACGAATCCTACTTTGCATATGCTCTCATTACTGAATAGTCGTCGCGGCGTTCTGAACATGCCTCATTATCAGCCATCGACTGTTGGCTTGCCGCCAATTTCCGAATCCGCCTCCCCTTGTGCTCCCTTTCATGTCAAAATTATGCCCGGCCAATTGCTTCTTTCCCAGTTGGCCGCTGTTATGTCCCTTTTGACCCTTCAAACCGCTTACCTGCTCACCTCATTCGCCCATCCAAATAACTTTACCCGCTCACCAGACTTCATTCGCGACCGGTGACATGCCGCGGGCATTGTGAAACGACTTACACGCGGGCCACGCCAGCGTGTCCGTACAACATGGCCGACCTCATCCTCTCCCTCCTATCCCGCCGCAGTTTTCGGTACCATATGAAGATGAGGCCAACGACTACCATCGTCCCTGCCGAAGCCCCAGCGGCAATGCCAGCGACATATCCGGTCGTGGCGGAGTTGTCCCAGCCCCCGATTGGGTGGTCACCTCGACTGCCCGACCAAAGGTGATCGTGATCCATGGCGTCTGCCTCTGACGCCCACGGTGTATCGATGTCAAAGGCTGAAGCCGAACTAACAGAGGTCTCCGTCTCTAATGAAGGCGAGGTTGGTAAAGTAGACCCCGCGGTAGCGGCTGGCGATATGGCAGTCGCTATTGATGAGACAACGGACAGTGGCCGAGTTGCACTCATACTTCTCAGACAGTCGTCCCCGCCTGTTGGGCATCCAGACGTTATCGTACCCAGTGGTGTTGATGCAGCTGAGGTAGAAGAGGCCAAAGCGGTCAATGCGGTGGAAGCAGAATTTGGTGCAGGTGTGACGGCAGCGCTGGCCATCACAACTGTTGGCGATGCAGCGGCGATAGATGCAGCAACACCTTCCGGCGCCGCAGTTCTCAAGACGATATTACTGCAACTTGAAATAAACGAACTCGAAAGCTCCTTGTTACTGTTCAGTTTTGCCGGCCGTAGGGAGGATGCCGGGCATCCCCCACTGTTGAGGCACGCGTTCTCGGCACAGCATCCCATGAACGGCGTGTTCAGGTTTGTACATGCGTACCATGCCACCGAGCGGTTGCTCGCGTCGACGCACACTTGAGGCGGAACTTGGACGGCATTGCTCGCCCGCGTAAACGTCGCCGGCTGGAGATGCTGTGTCGGACATAGGCCGTCGTCTCTCGCGCAGGGGTCGATCATGCAGCACCCGATGAACCGCGATGCCTTGTTCTGGCAGACGTAATAGAGCGCGTTGTTGGCGCAAGCCGCACTGAAGCCCGTCAATGATGTCCCTGACATTGCCATTTTGGTGATTTTCGCGAGGCAAATGAGGGAGTGTTGGCTGCCTGGTGGGCTCGAACCGCTCTCGAGGCTGGACTGCTGCCGGCGCAGAGACAAGCGAGAATCTACGCCCAGTCGCCTATGAAGCCAAATGAGACCGCAGCGACGAGACGAGATTATAGACGACATATCTGCAGCCGCAGCCCGGGGTCCTCGGATTAAAACATCCTACGCGTGCTGCACGATACCCGCGTGCAGCCTGCCGCCACCCAGCATGACCATCCCCAGTGCCATGCAGCTCAAGCCAGCGCACGTCTCCTATGGTGGCCCTCCCGCGAGCGCAACTGCCGTGTCTCATGCACCGTTCCCGCGACTATCGTGAAAGAGGCAGGCCGTGTGTTCATTCCAAGACTGGTCTTAAACGACACGGGCGACGCCAAGTCGCTTTACACTGTTCCTCGTCGACGGTTTGAGGGTTGATCGTCTGCGCGACCATACCATGGGAACAGGATGGGCGCAATTTTCCCGGTTTCAGGTATAAGGGCTTACGTTGCTGAGAGGCACCAAAACGACCCTCAAGCACTCTATCTTTCTCGCGCAATGCACTATCAATTCACCATTTTCTAAGTCCCGCTACCAATATGAGCTGCCCGCGCCTTTCCAACTGCTGTAGGCCGAACCATAACGCCGTACCGAAAGCTCAGTTCATGTCATGGCCCGTCACAGCTTCTGTTGGTGTTTTCGAGCATCCATAACTTTACCGAGGAGTTATGATCTGTGTCCTTGCCCTGTTGGGTTGGACAGGCTCTGGAGGCTCACCAACGTTCCGGCGATGTCGCACGGAGTAAAAGAGCCGCGCTTCGACGCACTACCTCACATACCGACTGCGACCGTGTCCCCCACGTTTCCCGACCCGCTCGGGTAGGCTGAGAAGTCTGCTCAATGCCGAGTTCGACGTCTCTTTCTCCTTCCAGTAATCACGCAGTCGTCATCGTTGATGTCATTCGGACGAAGGAGTTCCTCCAGCGCTTCCTCGTCAATCGGCGCGGGAATATGCCCGTCGTCCTGGAGAGCATGATCAATTTCCTTGTCCTTTGACTTTTGAAGCGAGTCAATCCTTTCATCGATGGCAGCACGTGCCATGACGCGCACGAGGTGGGTTTCCTTCTCCTGTCCGATTCGGACGACGCGGCAGAATGCCTGTTTCTCCTGCACAGAGTTCCACCAGGGATCGACTATTATCACGCGGTTCGCGGCGGTCAGGTTCAGCGATTGTCCGCCGCTCTGCATCGTCGCAACCTGGCGTTTAAGCGTTAGGAAGAGTCTCAGGTCCTGGAACTCAGACATATTGGCTTACGAGAATGGTCTTTGACGGGTCTCGGTGAAAGTCCTTCAGTGCCGTGGTTTTTTGCGTCTGCGTCATGCTGCCCATGTAGTAGAGAAATCCGAAACCAGCTAGCTCTAGCATGCGTCCGAGGACCTTGCCCGTCATGACGAACTGCACAAACACTGGCAAGGGATATCATTAGAGATCAGCCGTAAGGAGTGAAGTTGTGCCATCCGTACCTATGATCTTGTCATTTGGATGCTCTTGCTGCCAAGTGCCAATCACGGCCATGGTCGCAGTCAACTTGGAACTTGGGACCAACTTGCAAGCCACGTCTGTAGCAGAAGCAATGAAGCTCCCATTGTCTCTTACGCCCTGCCGAGGAAGTACCCCATTGGCGTCGCGACCGGGTTCGCGAAATGCAGGTGGCTGGTCATGAACAATGTGTGACAAGGTCGAGAACCTGCGGAGTAGGCCAAGTTCCGCCTTGCAGTCGGGCTGATTGCATCTTCCACCTTGGTGGTTGCTGACGCGAGTCGTCGAGGACGGAGGAGTCCCTCGAACATGAAATCGACTGCCTGCCGCGGTCTCTTGCATGGCAGCAATGTAGCAGTCTCCGCAGTAGTAATGTCGGCACTACATATGAGCTCTTCTTAGAACCCGTTCTGAGCTGGCCATTCAGAAGTTGAAATCATTACTTACCAATTCCAACTGTACTGGGTTGATGGGCGGTTTCTGGATCTGACAGCGAGAGCATGTGATGTTTTTCACACTCTGTTCGTTCTCAATGAGGTCGAGCAAGCCGCCCCAGCTGAATATGCCACCAAAGACTGGTTCGGGCAAGTTCTGAAGGAGTTCGATTCCCTTCTCGTTACCCGAAAGGGGCAGGTGACCGTCGTCGTGTGTGGTCAACAGCTGCGTCAAGATGGATGCCGGACCAACAGCCTTGGACAAGCTCACTTTCAGGCGCTGTATGTTGCGCAGCGCTACCTTTTCGCGGAGAAAGTTATCCAAGTTGAACACATGGGAGACCGCCTGTCTCAATCGCAGGAACTTTTCGTACTGACAGCGGGCCTCCTCCCTGGCCTTCTCGCGATCTTCCGGGACGTCTTGCCTCCGCTTGACTTTTTGTCGTGCAGCTTTGATTGCACGTATGCTCTGATTGAAGTACTCGACGATCTCGGTGAGTGCCGCCAGGTTAGTCATTCTGCCCACTGACACTGGACCAGACGATGAAGGCAGAACGGCCTACCGGGCGAGAATCATCTCCTGCTTGGAGAGTGGTACCCATAAAACGGAAATGTTACTCTCCGGGAGATCGATAAGTCGATAACCTAAGAATGTGTCCCTCAACGTACTGTAAAGAACGTTAGCATGAAAGAGACATCGCTCAAGGAAACGGCGGGTGTTATACCGGCGGTACATAATAATTGAAAGAAAGGTCTCGAAATTGTCGTTCGCTCCGTCCTATGGCAAGATTAGCTCGACCGTTGCCTGGGTAGCCCGATGAAGCGCATGAGCTTGGTGCACCCCATTCATGTATTTCTTCCTGAAAGATAACAGGCTGTCCGTGAAACCGCAGCGCAGGAACTTCAGATACGGATAAATCTCTGCAGATTTAAGGTCAGTAAGGCCTTCCGATGACAATTCGGAAACGAGAAGCGCTATTAAGACACCAGCCCTTCGCTGGTGACGTTGCTGGCGTTGCTGGTACTATTTCTTCAAAGCGCCCTCGCTTGCGGTGGCCAAACAGTGAAGAGCTGGTGTCGAAACAGCTCTTCTCTTCATGTCACAAACCTTCAACAGAGTTGGAGAGTGGGGTGCCGGTTAGAGCCCAGCGATACTTGCTCTTCAGCTCCCAGCAGACCATTGTGCCTGAGACAGTCAGTATTGTGTTCTGCACATGAAAAGGCCACGTTGGAGCCCATACTTCGGCTGGTGAGGTTCTTGATGGCGTGCGCCTCGTCCAAGACGACACGGTACCAGTTCGCCTGGAACACGAACCCCTTCTTCTTCTCAAGCTCTCTAGCAAGAGCAGCACCGTCCCCGGCGTAGTGGCTTTCAAGCTCTTTCACGGTTTGGGCCTTTGGGTATTGAGCCTTGAGCTCATTGTAGGTTGTGATGCTAAAGGTCCGTTAAAGATGCCCCAAACGTTTAATGCTTTCTCACTTACATGACGGACATCTTCTTCATCACCCTGATAGGGATCGTCTCCTTGGTATTGTAAACCATTGCCCCGTGCCAACCGGATGACGATCTCATGTTCACGTGCTTGTCGATCTCATCTTTCCACTGCATGGCCGTCGCCTGATTGGGGACAACAACCAGGGTTGCGCGCCAGGGCTCTTTGCGGTCCTCCTTGGAGGGCAGATTTGTGACCATACAAGCCAGTGTCACGATCGTTTTGCCCAAGCCCATCTCATCGGCGAGCAACCCGCCACGCGGTTCTACCTGGCCGTCCTCTCTGTCCAGCATCCATGCCACGGCTGTGACCTGGAAACTGTGAAGGGGGTGGCGCATCCTGGTATGCCGCCACATGTTATTTTCTGCCTTCAGCTTTCTGCCGAGTGTCTCTTGCACAGCATTTTTTAGATCTTGCTCCTGCGTTGCAATCCGATGGCTGTCTGCGCCTGGAGGGATGCTCTGCTTCATCATCCCGAATTGTTTCTCCCAACGGTTCGCCGAAAAGTTGGGCATGCTCGGCCCATCGGCCCGCTCGTCTTCGTCAAGAGTGCGCGATTCATTTTGCAGTCGTTGAAGAGTCCGGAGCCCGTCAGAATGATTGTTGTGATTCCTTCGTGAAGCGTTTGTTGCGGCGTTGGAAGTGGCTCCTCGTCTTGGGCCGTCGACACTTTGTTCTCGTGGCAAATTGCTGTAGCCAGGTCGCAAACCGACGCTCGCCGATAAATTGCTGTCCTCTTCCTCTCCTACGTCTTTCATTAGCTCATCGAGACCGGCCGAATCAATATCTTGATTGCGTCCTGTCTCACCACCACTGTTCATCGGAGACTGATGAGTTTCATCATCACTGTCGCTGTCGTCTGAATCTGAAGAATATTGGCTAGAACTTGACCCAGACTCTTCATCATCAGGGACATACGACGGGTCATTCGTGTCCGAGTCGTCGAATCGTCTTCCGGTAGTCGTAGATGAAGGGGGAGCAGTCGCGTGTCGGAATGAAGCCTCATGTCGTGGCGTGATCGAAGACCGTTGCACCAAGTCTGTAATGCTCAAGTCTACAACACTGGTACTTCTCTCAGTACTGGGCCTCGCACGTACATCATCGCGGCTCTGGGGAAGTCGGCCACGGTTGACGTGGTCAACGATTTGACGGCGAGTATTTCGCATCGCTACCACTGGCGGACCTCAGAGGCCTTTGCAAACCGCCCGAGTCAGGATGGAGAGAGAAGATTTGAAGCCACTAGTCTTGGGGAGTTGTGGTGTGCATGTGCATTGGCTGGAACACTGGGGAGGTTGAATGGTGGAGGTTGCCGCGAAGGGGGCAGTTGGGGTTGAAGGAGAGGTGATGCTCGGGAGGGAGAAAGCATGCGAACAGTGGTTACGATATGGAAGGTTGAGCTACTGTGGTGCCAGGCGAGACCCTTGCGAGTGACTGGAGAGCTCACTCCGTGATTCCAAGTTCTCACGCTCGCTGTGCTAGCACTGCAAACGGCCCCATCTCCTGACTGTTCAAGTTCGCCCCCAGGTAACCGGACATTTGCCCAATCTTTATTGGGAATGAAGGTTTGTGTTTCTTGCTCCTGTTATGCCGCCCGGGAATAAATGCGCTGTATCTCTTCCACAGCACAATCGGAATGCCTTCAACCAGTAGCCTGGCGGCGGCACATGCAGCGACAGCAACGCAATCGACGCCATGAACGCCAGCAACGAAGAATTGGTATCTAAATAGCGCTTCTCGTCTAACAATTGTCGCTATAGAGCTTCACTGGCTTCGGTACACACCCGTGCGTCTTCCTCCAGTGTCACAATATGGATCCATCATCACCGGTGTACATGTAGGCTCTGTTGCGAGACTGTTCAATTTGCTATCACTGGTGGATGTTGTTTCTGGGAACAGTGATCGAGATGTGTGTTTAACGGTAACTGCAATCTCAGCACCGAAAGATTATTTGAAGTCCAAAGAACACTCTCCGAAAGCCGCCTGCAATTGCGCGGCATACCACCTAGCGACCCCTGATCAACTCGGTATGACCGCCCGAGTGTCTAGCAAATATGCCCCCAGGCAATGTAGTTGCAACTTTCCGACTTGCTATCCCGTTTTCGTCTCTCCCATCCGTCTCTCAGCGCCTGACCGTTGACTTGAGTGGACCGCTCAGTTCTTCTTCTTGCCCTTTCGGCCACGGCCGCTCCGCTTCGCACGATCCTTGGAGCTTTCCTCCTTCGTCTGCTCGTCCCCTTCACCCAACATGTCCGCAATCTCCGACATGCCAATGTCGGAGTCAAAGGTGTCTGCTGAGGCAGAGTCAGCCTGCATAGCGTGGTTTACCTCGGCAGACTTCTTGAGCTGCAACTTCGTGACTTTTTCGTCAAATCCGCCAGTAGCAATGATGCGGACCAAATGGCATATCTTCGTCTGTCCGATCCTCGTGACACGCCCAAAGGCTTGCTCCTCCATGGTATAGTTCCACCAGGGGTCAATGAGAATGACGCGGTTGGCTGCTTGGAGGTTGATGCCCTGGCCACCACTCTGCATCGTGGCCACCTGGAACGGTATGTTAATGTGATAGAACGAGGAACCATCGTGCATTTTCGGGTTGGATAGGTATTACTCACCAAAACCTGAGGGGCGATAACGGTGTCGCCCTCCTCGGACTTTATATTGCCAGCAACAAATGACTCAATTGCTTCCTGTTGTCGCTTCGAGGTCATGTTGCCGACCAGGTACGAAAAGCCAATGTCTGCGCTCCCAAGCATCAAGCCCAACACTTTGGCTGTCGCAACAAATTGCGTGAACACTGGGGAACGATTAGCAAAAAGAAGCCCGCAACTCGATCGTATCCTACGCACCCACGATCTTGTCATTCGGGTCTTCGGCAAGCCATGTTTCAATGACAGCCATGGCTGCCGTGAGCTTCGTGCTTGGCGGCAAGGAATACAGGTCCTTGCACATAGCGCAAGCTAGAAAGAGGACGCCACTCTTGTCTTCAGGCCTGATGTGCCTGTTTCTGCTGTCTTCGCCGGGTTCTCGGAAATTGGTCTGCTTCGCCACGTAGTTCACATGCTCGAGGGGTTCGAAATCCAGTTTTGCCTGCATCGGTTTGTCGCAACTGGCGCTCTGGCAATCCTGTTGCCACCAAGGCAGAATTCTGTTAGCCATAATTCACGTTGCCTCAATCGAGGATGTGACAAAGCCTTCGTACCGGAAACACCTTGTCGGGTGTCCTTTTTCTGGTGAATTTGTCGAAACACAGGAGACAGTACGCGTGTCTGCACTGCATATGCCAGTCGCCCTGGTTAGCGTTTAGGCGAGGCATGTCTAGAACCGTTGCAAGCGTACCTCCTCCAGCAGCACCGGGACGACCGACGGCGTCTTGAAGCTCACGTCGCAGAAAGTGCATTTCTCGCGCAGCTTCGCCTTATGTTCATCGGCAATCAAGGTGAGTAACCCTCGCACGTCGAAAACACCGCCATGCACTGTGTCTTGTCGATCACGCACTCGTGTAATGCCTGTAGCAAATCGCTCCATCGCACCTTTGACCTCTAGATTAGCGAGCAGCTGGTCGATTAGTGGCACAGGGGCAGCAGCAGTATTGAGACTGTCGAACTGGTTCTGAAGGTCAGCAATCTGCTGCAGAGTGAAGTTCCTGCGCAAAAGATTCTCCAAATTGAACAGATGAGAGATGAGTTGTCGTCGTTTGATGATGTCCCTCCCGCCTGACTTCTTGTCTCCTTCTGGCGAATCTGGGTCAGGGTCGCAGTCTGGCTCTCCGCCTTCATCTTTCATGTCAGTCTCGTGAAAATGAACATCCAGCGCCCTATGAAACAGCACAATGCGGGTTAGATACACGGAATCGTTCGGGATGGCTGTTGGGCGTGCGGTGAACGGTGGATGCGTATCTGCGTACTCGACTAGTATTTGCTCTTCCTGAGAGAGCCCGACACGAATGTCGTATATTTCGCACCCAGGCGATTCGTCCAGGTTCCATCCCAAGAATGTATGGTTTCTCGTTCTATGAACAAATTAGCCAGGAATGCGGCGTTGACAAGTACAAGGTCATCCACGGTGCTTACCGGCGGAGCATGACCCTCGTGATAAGGTCTCGGAACTGGCTATTGACTCGGTTGCCATCCTAGAATGGTAAGTCGAGCTCAGCAATCCAACTTTTCAGGTTATTGAACCGGGAGCTGGTACGTTACCTTGTTCATGTATTCCTGGCGAAAAGATTTGGAACTCTCCATTCCATCGCAGCCTATAAACTTCAGCAAGGGGAAGAACTCTAGAGTTTGTCAGTGTGAACCGCGAAAGCCAAGACGACGAATGGACTCCAACCTTTCGCGGTATTGGCGATTGGGGTTGCTGTCAGCACCCAGCGGTACTTGCTTCTGAGAGCCACGCAAGCCAGGAAGTCTGCACCTATCAGCCAGGTACACGCGCCACATGGATATTGGAGGAGACTTGGTATGGACTTACTGCTCGATCCCGTGTTTGTGATCATGTGTGCTTCATCCAGGACCACCCTATACCAGTTCACGCTGAACAAGTGACCTGGAGAGTCAGACCTGTTGGCTTTGCGCCTTCGCCCCTTTCCACGCTTTGTCTGGCCAGAAGAATCGTCGACACCTGGATGCTGGCCCCGCACTTGGTGGTACGTCGCAATCCTGTTGCTCAGTGCTCGTTAGTCCACATGTATTCAGCAAGTATTCGGGCGTAAGGGAAGCGGTCTGCACGGTGTCCGTGACAAATGACTGACAGGATCTTGCGGGCATGGAACAACTCTAGTGGGACCTGTCCAGCCGGGTCGTACAGCATTGTGTCAGCATACCACTCGCTGTTGCAATGCTTCTGTATCTCCTTTTGCCACTTGACTGCATCTTTGTGATTTGGAACAACCACAAGTGTGGTTGGTGCGAAGGTCTTCAAATCCTCCTTGTTAGGGCGGTTTCCCAAGACACACGCCAGTGAAATGATGCTCTTTCCCAGGCCAGTTGCATAAGCCAGAATGCCGCCAAGCGGAAGGTCTGGAGTGCACTCGCGCTCCAGCATCCACTTGGAGGCAGCGAGCTGGAATGGCATCAGTGTGGACTGCATTTCCTTAAACCTCCAGCTGTTGTCTTGGGGCTTCATGGCGTTGTAACCGAAGCAATACACAGCCTCAGTCAGGTCTCTCGCATCTCTTCTGCATTGCTCTCGGCTTGCAAGTGCATCGGGGCTGTTCCCTGAGCACATGCGAGCGCTTCTCTTGATCAGGCGGAGCTGCTTGTGATTGGTGGAGTTCGCAGCGGGATCTTCTTCGTTGACTGGGATAAAGCCAGCTGTCGCGGTGGACAGAGGAATGTCGATGAGTTCATTCATGGTATTTTTGAACTCCTCCGCGAAACGCAGTTTTGCCGCGGTACTTGGACCACTGCTTGCTTTGTTCTGGTGGAATCTTTCAAGCTCCTGCTCCTGCCGCCGCTGTAGTTTGCGTGCAAAAAACTCCCGTGGATTCTTGGCGCACGTCCGAGTGTTCCTTGACTTTTGGGCGGCGATCGTGTCAGAATATCGGTCGTCGTCATCCTCGCTCTTCATCATGTCAGAGTCTGCATATTGTGATCCGTCGTCTTCCTCGTTCGAGTCTGCGTTCTTCATCTCGTCATCCGAATCTATGTCCTCGAATTTGTACGTGCTACTGCGTGCGGTTTTGCATCTTCGTCCTGCCAAAGGCTCGTTTGAACCTCGTTTGCGCTGCTGAGGCAATCTTAGAACAAGGATTCCGGCACCGAATGGGTTGAATGATGGTCAACGTACATTCTCCTGCGAGTCAGCCGTCGCGCAGGGAGCGCTGAGGTCCGTCGGCGCGTTTTCCATCTTCATGATCGTTGCATCTTTCGCCCGCTCGTGCCCTTGCCTGTTTGGCGACACCATCATGCCTGCGCAGGCTGATCCAGTCGCGCTCTCCACGGTATGGAAGCTTGGCCGGAGGATAGATTCGGTGAATAGGGGTGTGACGGCCTATTGCGTAGTCCTGTCGGACTAGAGGCGTGAAGGAGTCAAGCCGACGTGACAACGTGCCAGGCTGACGGAGTTGGGTAACGGATGAGAGAACCTTCCTAAATGTGACAGGAGTTTGGTGAAGTGTGAGTGAGGAGTTTCGACTGGACCCACTGGGCCAGTAGAAGATTGAAAGAAGGCCAGAGAATTTTGGATCGGGCTGACGGGGAGGTGGTATGAAGTGGATGAGTTTCGTGCGTTCGCGGGAACAAGAGGAGGGTAAGTTTGCGGGAGAAGGTAGAACTGGGTGAGTTCCAGGTCAGTTGCCCGGTGAGATGGCCGAACAACGGAGCAGGCACAGTGCGCACCAAGCGGTGAATCAGAGCGCGAGGTGCGTGATGTTCAGCCCAGTGTCTGCGAAAAGGTTGGTCCAGGGCGAACGCAGAAGCAGATCAGAAACACAGAGCTCAGCCCCATGCCACGGCTGAACTTGCTATCAAGGGAGATGACCGACGTGCCACTGTCCTCGTGTAAGGTTCTGGACACTGGTCCATGGCTCAATGAATGAGAAGAGCCATCTGGACACCAGCTCTGTTGTCTTTGGCCACCACTGGCCATGGTGCCTTGAAGCAGCAGCGACCACACAGCAACGTGGGCAACGACAGCAACGATAGCAACTATAGAAACGACAGCAACCACGGCAACGAGGGCAACGAGGGCAACAAGGGCAACGAGGGCAACGAGGGCAACGAGGGCAACGAGGGCAACGAGGGCAACGAGGGCAACGAGGGCAACGAGGGCAACGAGGGCAACGAGGGCAACGACAGTGACGGACGACATCGACGGCGGCCGCAATAGCTATTCATGTTCACTAGTGAAGCCTGCACCTCGCCTTGCGCGGGCGACCTGGCCTACATATGGGTTGAACAGCGACAGCAATGCGTCAGCGAACATAAACATTAACCTTTTATCGAAAAGACGCTATGATCTCTATGTCTACAATATGCTCTATATGTACAGGTATGCATGTGACGAATATATCCAACCCTGGCTTCCAAGGCCAAGACTACAGGACAGCAACCGCCATAGCCACCACGAGGCCTATGGCCGAGCCGCTGGTCCTCAGATTACCCGAACCATTCTCCTTCTTGTTGTTGTTGGGTGACGCTGTGGGACTTGATGACGGGGTCGCTGAGCTCTCATGGAAGATGGGCTTCGATGTGCTCGACGTGATATCGGTGCTCGTGGATGTCGGGGCGGAGGACGAGGCGGAGGACGAGGGGGCGTCAATGCTCCTGTCGGTGCCAAACTTCTTCATGATGCATTGCGACATGAGCTTGTTGTCGGTGTAAGAGCCGGCCTTGCCGAGCGGCGTGAGGGTCATGATGTAGTTCTCGTCGAAGCTGCCGGCGCCCCAGCCAACGAAGCCGATGAAGACGTCGGTGTTGTCGGCGATGAACTCGTTTTGCGCGCAGAACTTGACCATGCACTGTGTGACCCGTCAGCAACCAATCTGCAAATAGTATCCGACCTGTACTGAACGTACCGTGGGATCCATGGAAGCGCCCGTCTCGGAGACCATGGCCTGGCGCTTGTTCTTCCTCAGCCACGTTGCAATCGTCTTGAAGCCCTCAACGTTGTCCGTCGTGCATTCGACGTGCGTTCCCGAGTTGTTAATGTCCAGGTACTTGTGCAAATCAAGCAGCAGGCCGTCCGTAGTGCCGTCGGGATTCTCGATCGCAGCAAGAGCCTCCGCACTGCCCGTCGACACAAACGTCTCGGCGCTGGCAAAGTTGGTGCCCGGGAGCAGAATCAGGTGCTTCTTGGCGCCGGCCTTGCGAATCGCGGTGACGGCCGCCTGGCAGCTCTTGGCCCAGAGCTTGATGTCCAGGTCGTGCGGCTCGTTCATGAGGCCGAAGACAACCTTGTCGTTCTTGGCATACTCGGTAGCGAACTGACTCCAAAGGCCAGCAAAGACCTCGTCGCTCGGGCCGCCCTGGCCGATGATGCCGTCGTCGTAGCGCCCAAAGTTGTGAAGATCGATCATGCAGTACGCGCCAGTGTCGAGGCAGGTGTTCATGAGGTCGTTGTACACGTTGAGGTTCTTCTCGTACAGTTTGCCGTCGACCTGCCCGTTGGTGATGAATTGCCATGTCAAGGCTGCGTTGGTGAGATGTTAGCTGTACGCCTTCTCCTGGGACAGGTCACGCTGAGACTCACGCAGGCGGAAAATGTTCATCTTGTTGTTCTTGACAAAGTGCTTCATCTGCCCCTCGCCATCGCCGCCTCCATATTGCGCAAGCGGGATCGACTCGGCCTTCGTTGGACATTTTCCCTGTCGCGGGTGTTAGCAATCGGTATGCGCAGATCGTCGGTCGCGCGGGGGAAACGAACATTGATGTCGCAGCCAAAGTCGATGCCAGGAATTGCGACGCCCTGCACCACGGTTAGTCAAGCCACGCAACCTCCCAGCTGTCGCCGCATCACCCACCAGGTATTGTATGCCGGCTAATGCGCGGGAGGCCAGGCCCAAGAGCGCCAAAAGGCGCAGTGTCGTGTGCATGGTTGGCAAGACTGGCTGTCCAGCACGCACCAGCCTTGAGCCTCGATGAGATGAACGAAAGTGAAGGCCAGAAACGAGCGCGGAGAATGCGGATGACGACGTTCAAAAACAACTGTCTTGGACCCTGGGCTAGCAAAGGATCAAGTGGGACCAGGTGGACGATACGAGCGACGGCTGAAAGGGCCGATGAATCCCACCCCTGGGTGGCGTTTCGCAGCTCACTGGACTGCTTCAAGTGTTCACGGTTCGTTCACTGTCACGGTCAAAGCGGAAAAGGCGGCTGTCTCGGCCGACCGGCCCCTTTTTTCGCCAAAACGAAACAGCGCCGAAGCGCCGCTGCAGGGCGATGAGATGCAGCGCAGTTCAATGCGGCTGAAGGGTCTGTCTCAAGGGCATACACAGAGGAAGCGAACTGAAATGGGGTGGCGCCCAGGCTCGTGTTGCGCCATTAGTGTCACCGTGCCTGTTCGTATCCATAAATACGATTCAGTCAGCCGCAAAGCGAGGTCGCCGGGAACGACGGGCTTACTCGCCAAGCGGCCTAGTCGCCTACGTAGTCAATGCAGGCCCACGGCGGAGAGAGTTCGGTGACGTTTTTCCAAAACGACGCTTGGAATGTCGCACAATGCGGGGAGGAGCCATGGGCAGCCCTATGTTAGGTTTGTTGGCCGAGGTGTCAACGCGTCCTCCCGCATGGACCCTGTCGATGGGGTTCGGGGACTCCAGTTGACAGAACGCCATCGACGCTGGAGCAAACGCTGTCGACGGAACCCCTGCTTGGCGGACCCATCAAGCCACTGCTTTGTGTCGTCCAGGAACCAGACGCACTGGAATTGTGGGACGGGCAGGCGAACTTGTATATCTTTGGCCACCGCCCGCCCACTCACCTGACTCTCTCATCTCGAGTGGCTCCATGCTGACTCGGCTGTTCATGCCGAAGCCGTTTCTCGAGAACCTCATTCGGCTGAGCTGCCGACCGGTAGTCTCAGTACGGGTGCACGCAACTGAGATACGGCAACACCAAACCGCAGCGTTCATGCGAGAAACGAGGGCCAAAGTGGGACTGAGTTGTACCGTGACCACTGTTGATGCAGCTGTACGAAGTACGAGTTGCCCGGCCTCGTACTTCCTGCGCTCAGCATCAACTAGGGCCGCAATTACGAATGCCTTCAAAGAACCACACTTGCCACACTCATAATGTCCTAGAGCTTGATGAGCAACAGCAAGACTATTGCGCCTCGTTGCAGCAGCTAGTCCGTGCCCCGAAGCAACACCGCCAAGGCGGACTGCCCAGAAGAGTGCCCGGAGCGGATACGGGTCAGGGGCCGGCGCTTGGACGGATGATGCGACTCAACGCCACGCCCGACGAACATGCATGGTTGAGATCTCGATCGGGGCCTCTCCCGCAGACTTGCTGCGCCACTCCCATGGCGGCAGCAGTCATGGCGCACTCCTCGTCATAGGACGCTCAAACCCTGTGCCCCTTGCCGCGACCTCTTCTGCTGTCGCGATTGGCTGCGTGTCGGCTCACCGAACGGATAGAAGGACTGTGTCGCAGAACAAGGGACGAAAGCGCCGCTAAGCCTGGTGTCGCGACGCTGAATCCGCCTAATACCAACGGTGCAGATACGAGCATGGTCGAAGGTCGGCTGTCGCGCCGTGTCCCTGACAACCAGACCTAGATACGGCTGTCGCGAAGCCTGTCAGACAAGTCCCAGTGTCCGAGATAATAGATAGTCGCAAGTTCGCCCGGTCAGCTCGAACCCAAAAACACCAGACTTAACAATGTCAGGCTCTGCGGTCGCATTCAATCGCCGCCATGATCTGGTCACCAACCTCCTCCCAGGCATCTCAGGCACTCGGCGCGCGCACGCGCTCGACGACCCCATAAGCGGAAGACTTGGCTAACTGTACCGCATTCGGCTCATTCATCTTCGTAACAGGGTTCGAACGATCCAATCGTGGAACACCGTGACCTGCTCAATGGCTCTGCTCTGTCAGTCGCCCAGAATGGTCAGTTGCTGCAAATGTATCACTGCATGACCTCACAGCACCATATGCCAGTACAATGACATCAAGTGAGCGTGTCCTTTCAACAGTCGGGGGACGCCTTTATACATGTAGGTCAACAATGACAGCGACGGCGGATGCAAGGACTTTAGCCATGTGGCTTCGGGCTGTGTAGGAGACGCGCATTGGAACATAGTAGACGATGCGTTCTCCGTCATCAAATAACCAATGACCTGTCACGTTCAGAGCCCGGCCAACGGGCTGCTACCTTGATGAGATCAAGATCGCGACCACGGCCTTGCGCCCAGTCCCGTCCTCCTCTGCCACGACAGCCATCAATAGCGTGGCTGATATGGGCAGGAAACGGCACGATCTGAGCCGAGCCACCTGTCGAATAGGTGCTTGCGACGTCATGGCGACGGCAAACACAGGCTTGCAGCCACCTCGACCTGCCGATTGCGGATCGTGCCGACCACCCCATCTGGGGAAGCGGCCACTAGCCGGCGGGAAGGGACAGGGGCATGCCACACGACGAACTTCCAAGCTCGACATTATTACGTCAATAGAGATACTCTCTACTGTCCTTGCTTCGTGACACGGCAGAGCGTTGAGTAGTACAAGAATGCGCCATCGCCAATACGACGAATAAATCCCCTTTGACCGAGTCACCACTTGTTGACCACAATTCCAGTTGCTTGGCCACCGTCACCCACGACTGTTTCTCATATCAGATCGACTTACATCATGAAGCTGATCAACACCGTCCTCGCCTTCGCCCTCGCCGCCGGCGCCATGGCCCAAGACAAGTCCGGCGCCGGAACCATCGCGCCTCCCAAGAGCCTCCCTCCCGCGGACACCTCAATCCTACCAACTGGCGCCAGCCTCCCCACGACTCTGGGCGCCCACTCCACGGCTACTTCCAGCGGCTCTGGGTCAGCCGGCGCCAGCACGACGCCCACGGCAAGCGGCGGGTCGGGCTCTACCTCGGCGACCAAGACCGGCAGCGGAACAGCAAGCGGCGGTCAGGCAACTAGCTCGTCAACGGCTGGCGCTGCATTCCCGACAGCGAATGTGATGAACATAGCGCCACCTGTCGGCGTGGCTCTCGTGGCCATGGCTCTGTAAGTCTATTTTATGGCCATGGGGCAATTGGCGATATGGGCCGTGTAGACTGGGGCGAACGGGATGGACGAGGCGAATGGTTGTCAATCGGACGTAAAAAGACACACTTTGCGATAATATGGGATCACCTATCGGTTTAACGAAGTCACGGTCATGCCTCCGGTGCCGTGTGTGATAATACTGAAAATTTGGTTCATGAACCTCTTCTGATCATTTGCAATGCATCATGCTAAAATACAAAGACATATACGTCCGCCGACTCTCAAGTACTATACAGGCGGCGTGCAACCAAAACTCGTCGCAACACTGTTGCCCGAAAACGCCCCAATCAGACCCTCAATACTCGAGTACACACCCAACCCCGTCGTCGTCAAACTTCCCAGCATGTAAAAGAAGTTGAAGACGTTAAAGAAAGGCCGCTTCCAGAAGCCCCGCTTGAAACGCGCAAAGCCGGTGTCGACATAGTTGTACGTTCGGGTCTGTGGGTCAAACTTCTCCTCGGGCATCATGGCGTCCTTTCGGATCCAGAAGCCGAGCGCGACGAGCGCGGGGAACGTATACGTGAAGCTCAGGATAAAGAAAGCGCCAATGAGTCCGGAAATGTACGAGAACTGCGGAATGGCGGCTGCGACAATGAACGCGACGGCCCAGTACAGAGGGATGCTGATGGCCCAGGCAATCTTGCCCTTGCTCTTGGTCAGCGGCGGGAAGCCAAAGATCTCCTCGAGGACCTCAATGTAGACGACCTTGAAGCCGATGTTGCCGTACAGCGCCGCTGCGATGAGTCCGGTGATGATGTTCATGATGTTGGTCGCCGTCTGGAAGCCGTACGAGGAGAGGCCCTGCATGACGGGGTTGAACGCGAACTGGCCCTGGAAGGAGTAGACGAAGATTCCGAAGATGAGGTAGACGCAGTAGATGAAGAGCTCGCCGCACAGGAGTCCCTTCCAGAAGTCCCAGGGCTGGCGCATCTCGGCCATGAAGGCCACGAACGCCATGCATCCGCCATACGAATAGACAGCCTGGTTCAGGCCATTGAGCGACGCGACGAAGCCGGTGCCTCCACTGGCCATGCCATCGGGCGGCGTTCCAGCAAACGTCTTGATGGGCCCAGGACCAAAGGCATCACCAAACGACGACTGCGTGGCCTTGAAGTTGGGCGGATAGTGGACCACAACTCCCATGCAAATGAAAATGATGGTGAGATTGATCCAGACGGCGAAGTTGGCGATCCACGCGAAGCGCTGCAGCGTGCGGATCTGTCCGACAAGGAGACCGGCGGCCATGAAGATGGCGAGACAGGCGACGAAGCAGATACCATTGCCATTGCTGCCGTTCTGTCCTTGAGAGATCTGCGAAATGGATTGGCCGTTGCTGAGGATGAGCGCGGCGACATTGAGGAGGAGCTGCAGTCCAAGCATGAAGTTGACGATATGTCGCGGGATCTGGCCGAAGATGCGGAAGTACAAGTCGCCGTAGGTGACCAGCGGGTAACGATCGGAATCGAGGCCGAGGAAGCCCTTCCAGAGAATCCAACCAGAGCTGGGTTTCGTTAGCATATGCTCACATCGGCGCGGCGATTGAATGAGACATGGAGAAAGACGTACTAGCCCGCCATGGCACCGAACACGGTGTACAAGGCAATTCCTGGGCCGTAGCCCATCTGCGCAAAAGCCCACGGCGTGGAGAAGGGGCCGAGCACGTCGGTTGTGATGAGATAGAAGACTGCGCCCCAGCTTGCAGTGCGCAGCGCGCGACTCGCCCTCTTCCACTCCTTCTCCGACACGCCCGTTATTCTCTCGTCGGCGCTGGAATCCTGGTCGGTCTCGGGGCTGTTATCGATCTCCATGCCATTGTCTGCCCTGGAGAAGCGGCTCTTAATAGTCGACTTGACGGTTCGCGGGCCGCGCGCCTCGCGAAAGGCCTTGTCTGCTGCCCGCTCATCCTCGCGGGAGATCTTGGCCCAGTACATGAACTCCTCGAAGGAGATGGATGTGTCGCGTCCATTGACGGGCTGGTGCGTCGTCGGCTGGAGCTCCTTCTCGGGCACGGATACGGACAGGCGATGGTCGGGGTCGCCTTCGCCGGCGATGGCGGGTCCGATGAGCATGGTGATGGGCGAGCCTGCGGGTGGCACGGCTTTCGTAAATCTAGCCCAGTTGATGGTGCTCGCAGATGGAGGAGGAGCACAATGTATTGCAACAAAGTCACAAACCTATGAATGGGGAAGAGGTCGAAGTCTGGGGGGCTCACATTGACTACTTATATCGGGCAATGGCTGAACCTTGGGCACACGGGAGCACTAAGTCGAGACTAGATGGTAAATCTCGAAACGCACCTGGGCTGCATTCGCGATAACGAGCACGCCTTCGCTCTCCCCGCAGAGTCACAGCGCCTCCGACATCGTCGTTTTTCCTGGAGTTCCCGGGGGGGTTACACTGGAGCCGCGATACAACATGGGACCCGTCATTGGGGCGGATCGGGGCAAAACGGCCCAGCGATTCGACGAGATACGTACGTGACTCGGAGCGGTGTCGGCACGGTGATAAGGTTCACCGCGGACAGATTCCTGGGAGCGTGCGTGGCGAGCGGCCGACAAGCTCTGGGAGTCTGTCCTGTCTGGTCGGGTGTTGCTCCAGGACTGCTGCTGCGCTCGAGGCTGGACAGGGCAGAACAGGGCAGGGCGGAGGGCTGCGGACCGGCCGGTCGTTGACTTTTTCTGGGGCCTCATGGAGTGCCGGCACGTCCGTTTCAGGATGGTTGGTGGTCCCAGGTGGAGAGCACCTGGTGTGTTGAAAGGGAGGGTGGCCCATCGTTCTGTGCTATGATGCCGTCATTGTGCTAGATGCTTGACTCTGCCTTCCACTGCCACAAGCCGCTTTCATCTTTGCCAAGAGACATTCAGTTCAAGTGAGTCGCGAGTTCGGGTCATGTGCCCTGCATCTACCGAGTTGTCTTGCGGCCAAGGAGTCTTGACTGACTGACTGATGATGGTTCAAGTGACAAGCACATCACTTAGCCAGGTCATGTCAAGATTGAGTGATGAGTGGCACCACCCCACCGCCACCATCTGTCTGCCATGCGCCTGGGCGGGTGGCTCCACCAAGTAGTGGCCGTCAGGCCTTTGGTTCTTCTGGAAGCTCCGCTGAACCAGCTTGGGCAACGGCTGGAACGGCAACGTTTTGCAATGAATAGTGGGCGCTGTGAGCGACACTGACCCAGCCTTATTTGTCTAGAGGGCGCCGCCCGGTCGGTCAACTTCGGCCGACCCCTTGGTTTCGCCGTCTCTCGAAGCCAGTTGAAGCCACAGGACGACATTCCAGTGCCCTCCCGTCACACACCAGATGCGTTGGAATGTTACAGCCTGCGGGACAGGTGTGGCCTGCGTGTGCACAGCGCCACGTTGCAATCAGCAAGGCAATCCACCTATAGATTCGATCCTCTCCTTTTATGCGCCCGGTCGTGGAAAGAACGATGATGCTGCACTGGTCAGGGCGCAGTTAAGGTCAGGACTACCGCGGCGAGTCGGGCCCAAGAGCCGGTCGACACGGCATTTTCGGCCACTCCACTCAAGCCCGCCAGCCCGGCCTCGGGCCCGATTTTATTTCCTCTTTGGGCGTCGAAATCTCTTCAGTAGGGTAAAGCCACCACAAGTCGACGGCGTGGCCGGCCCCTCCCGCCGGCAAACCGGCAAACCGGAAATAACAAGCAGGACAGAGGCTGGGCCACTGGACGGATTTGCGATTCAAAAGCCGACGTCTTCGATAAGGGTCCTGGTCAATGCTTCTTTTCAGGAACGGTGCTTGTTGGATAAAATGTCCGATCTCGGGAACGATCTTGGTGATGCAGGCGACTAACCACTTCAATTTGTAAGCTTCGGTGTGAGGCTCGGCGAAACGTGCAGCATCAACGGCGCCGGTCGCCTGGCGAGTGGCTCTGTATTTAGGATTTTAGCCATCTCCATCCCCATCCGTTTGCCAGACAGCAGACAGGGAGCTACTGGGCACAGCTGGATCGCAGAAGTCCTCTCAGGAGCTGCCTACCCTGTACCGTCCGACCGGCCTCGAAAGCATCACCAACCATCTCCCAGTTGCATCTTGCGTTAAACCGAAATCTAGGACTGACGTGGATGACGGAGGTTATGCGCTTTACACAGAGGCAAGGCTAGTTCAAGTACAGAAGCCTTTAACCTTCAGCTCATTCAGCTCTGGTTGCAACCTCCGCAGGACGAATGCCATTGCCAGACTATCGCAGCTTGTAAAACAGGACTTTACTGCTTCTCAGACCAGATTCTCGGCTTTAACCTCACGCGTAGATCCTCGTTCTCCTTGATCGACATAATGCCCAAGACCGGCTTGCCTTCCTCGGCGGCGGGAATCGGCTGGTAGCCGTCCATTTCGACGTCGAACCTGCGGAACAGCATGGCGATGAATAGAAGCACCGACCGCTTCGCCACATACCTGCCGGGGCACATGGTGGTGCCGCCGCCAAAGGGTCGCCAATTGCTGCTCTGCGTCAAGTTTGCCTTCTTCAAGAACCGGTCATGCTGGAAGGCATCCGGCGCGGCACCAAAGACTCCCTCGTCGAAATGCAGCTGTCGGTAGGGGATCATGAGCCTGTTCCCTTTGCGAAGCACCATGCCTCCAATCATGGTGTCCTCGGTGATAAAGCGCACTGAGGCCGAGTACGCCGACATGCGGATCGTCTCGTTCCACATGGCGTCGAGCTGTGGGCATTGCTTGTGCAGGTACTCGAGGTCGATGGAGCCGTCAGCCAGGAAGGCGTCCTTCGTCTCTTCCCGAATGACATCGATGAGATGCGGGGCGTGCATGATGTAGCTGATGAGCCAAAAGGCTGCCTTGCGAGTGTTGGTGTTGATGCTGGAGCCTGTTAGTGCGACCGCGACGACTTGTACTTGGACCTGGGGGCTTACCCCCAGTAAATGGTGACGAGCATCGTCGCGATGTCATCTTCGCTGATACCGAGAGCGCGCATCTCGTTTTCCATGGCCTTGGTGAACCACGCATCGCCGGAGCGCTGGCTCTGCGGCATCTGGATGTACTTCTTCAGCGCCTTCTGGATCGCGTCTCGCGCACCCTTCATCTCGCCCGCCAGAAAGTCGGGATACTGATATAGCACTTGCCAGCTCAGCTCATCAAAGATGATGAATGTCTTGGTCAGCTTCGGGTCAATTCCCGACAGCGCATCGCCAAAGTACGCCCTCTGTCCCGCCTTGGTGAAGAAGTCGGAGCACCACTCCATGAGCGGCAGTACAATGTCGCGGTTGGTCGAGCGGATGGCATATGGACACGCCTCGTGAAGTCTGTCGAGGTGCATCCGGTAGTCGAACCATTCGAGGAACGAGTTCTCGAGGAAGTCGAGCCTGTCGCCGGGATACAGCTGGTGGATGTGCATCTGGCGGGCCAGCGTGGCGAGCGGCTTCCCGTGCGGGTTGGGAAAGCCGTCCTTGTCGGTAGGTAGCGGGTTGTACATGGCCTTGACACAGAATTCGGTGTTTCCACATGCGCGCATCATTGCCTGCACGAACTCGTTGAAGGACAGGGTGTGCGTGTTGCGGTACGCCTCCGCCACGTCCTTGGATCGTGTGATGACATAGAGCTTGGAGCCTGCCAGGGTGAGCGCGAACGGCTCTTTCGTGTTGCCAAAGTAAGTCCTGTTGCATGTTAGACCTGCGCGAGAAGCTGCCTCATGTTGAGCTTGCCCACCTCGCATACGATAGTAGCGCGTTGGAGTTGTTGAAGAAGGCTCGTCCATGGCCTGCAGGATGTCAGCTTGCGCGAACTTCGCGCGGCGGCAACAGCCTCTCACCAAGAACTGCCTCTAAGATTAGCACGTAGTTGAGTTTGAGTCATGGATGGAAACGTACCTGGAATCCAATACGGCAGCTCAGGAGGGTCATTGGGGTGCAACCAAGGCGATACAGTAAATCGCCATAGTCGCCACACAATCCATGCTGTTACCAAGCCGAAGACGGCGCCAGCAAGGCCCAAATGGCCATGATAAGCTGGGGGCAAGGCCGCAATGGCCAGTCTGGCCCGCGACTCGAGAGATTGCAGCAACATCCTACCGGTGTGCGTTGAGGCGATGTCTGGCCCTCGGAGCAGACGGAAGCACGCTCTAAAGAACACTGAGGATATGGCAGAGGCAGCCTAGGAGAATACGCATGACGTTGGAGCTATTAAGGTTCACGATTGCATGTGGACGATGGAGAAGGATGCCGCGCGGACTGCATTGGGTGTGTAAGGTGATGGATGGGGGCTCAATCCATCACTCTGCTGCCAGGCGCCCGGCACGTTGGGTCGCTCCTTGCATGCTGTCGGTGAAGACGGCCCAGGCTGCTGTGAGTATATCGCAGCACCCGGATTAGTACATTCCCGCGGCATGACCGCAGGCCTCGAGGCGCCTACTGCGACGCTGGGCGTAGTTATTGCGCATCATCCCGTGCCTGGTACGAGGGCATTTCGGTTGTACAAGCCAGGTACCAAAACCCCGTCCCCAATCACGAGGCCGAACCAAGACACTCGCCCAGATCTTCCGCGTATGGCACTTACCGCCTAGGCAAGACACTTTTGCCGCCTACTCACCCGAAGGGTCGTCGAGTGGCGCAATTAAGCATGGGGCCCTCCGTCGCGGATCGGGGGTTCGCGGTGGATGCCCAGTGTGGTGGGGGCCAAGATCGAGGTGCGTCTGCCGATGGCGCTCGTTCCTTGGTCGTGACGGAGGCAGACACACACAAGGCCTGCAGGGATCCAAAGGCACACCACCTTGTTCGTGTTGGCCGGGGCTGATCAGAGGCGACAACCTCAATCCGTGGCGGCACGACTGAGCCATGACAGTCAGAGGCGCACTATCTCTGCGTCACTCACACCAATGGTGGCTGCCTCTCCAAGGAAATGCCCGCCAGTGACATGTTGTCGTGGGGGACTGCGTCGCTGGTCTCGGCACTGGCGCCGTAGAGAGAAACTCGGGCTTCCTTCGCGCGGGTCCGGAGGCTAAGTCTATCTGGCTATTACGGGACACCGAACCTCTCTGCGTGCATTGGTGATTCCGCCCTATGGTTGAGGACTTGAGGTCTACCCCCGGGCCCCGCCCTCTGTCGCGTCACCGACTGTGACGGGGATTCCCTCATCAGATGCTGATGTGCACTGGCCTTTCGCTACCATTCTGGGCGGCCAGGTATCCCGGATGTAGCGACGACCAGACGCCTTTACCCTGTGCCTCACGCTGACACTTGGGACCGGACATGAGCGTCTGACTGCACAGAGTGGGCATGCCATGCGTCGCGGCGGGTATCTGCTCCGAGCCGTCACTGCCCGCACTTACATGCAACGGTCAAGTGTTGGCATCCAACAGCCTTATGCATCCTGCCCTATTCGAACGCAATTCATGCCTTTGCATTGGTGAGAGTCTGCCTTCCAAAGGACTTGCGAAATCTCACGGAGTCGTCTTGCCCGCGCCGTCGCCTTGAACCTGTTGGTTCCATGTCCAGTCGCCTATTCCTCGAAGTCTCGTCGAAAAGGACGTTAAAAATTCCACGCTCCATACTCATGGGCCGGTAGCCTGATTCTTTGCATCATCAATGGTGTACGACCTGCGAACATTACAAGATGTCTGCTGCCACGATCGTCAACGTTCTCCCCCTGAAGCCGGTGTCCCTGACAACAGCGGCTCCTCAATTCCTACTTCTGTGCGCCGTTCTAATTGCGGCTCAACTGCCCTGGACACGACATGTTAGTGACAACTTTCTTCCGAGCTGATGTCTCAGAGCTGATGTTACTAGATCGGCTCATACCTCGCCCGACGCTTCTATGGTCTGCTGTATCTCGTCCGCGGGCCGCAGGTCATTGACCATGCGTATGACAAAGTACGCCATGCATGTGACATATATTCGTATCGAACCCTTCTGACGAGAGCTGCAGGCCAAGGGACAACCTTTTAAGGTTTCAACGCCGTCGAATGATCATCTCCTCGTCACGTCCAATGATCTTATCAAGGAGCTGATCCATGCGCCGCTGGAGCATCTCTCGCTACACGCGGTAGCCAAGGAGGTACGCGAATATGTCCATTACTATATGAGGTATCCTTGGCTCATTCTCGTATAGATTCTCCAGCCCAAGCACACCATGTATGGCTTCGAATGGCAAGACCAACGTGGTGTTGAGGGGACTGGCTTCGTTCGAGCACTGCGGAGCCTCTTGACATCCCATCTGCCCCAGTTTCAGCCTGACCTCGAGCGTATACTCAACGAGTCTATGGAAAAAGAACTAGGAACTATTCGACCTGACGGTACGTATTTGCCAGATCATGTGGCATTCTATTCGACTAACAATTCCTAGGATACGCACACGCAAAGCTCTTTCCGTTGATGAAGAAGATTGTGACCAAGGTTAACTGCTTCATCTTTTTCGGGGACGAGCTGTGTAAGTACTCTCAGATTTTGCATGTGACCAGATGCGGCAATCTAACTGCAGGCCAGCGAGAAATACCGAGTTCACAGATGCTGCACTCGAGTTTCCACAAGCCGTCATCTTTGCCGCGGAATTCCTGCGCATCACACCAGGCTTCCTCCGGCCGTTCGTGGCGTCCGCTGCTACGAGCAGACACAAAGCCGCGAAGACGCTGCACAGGTATCTCGTCCCGATTGTCGAGCAACGGCTCGCGGTGAGGGGTGTGCCTGGTGCAGAGGTTCCCGTTTGTTGTCCCCGTTTTCTCGTTTTGCAACCTGTTCTGCGGCTAACCGAACAATCGCAGACGGATTGCATCCAGTGGCTGATCGACACGTCGCCGCGCAAGAACCCCTGGACCGCTTCAAGAATGGTGGGAGAAATCATGGCAGTCTGGTTCGGCTCCGTCCATCAGCTCGCTATGGTAAGTCTGGAATCCACTCTCCTTTTGAGCTTGACGACGGGGGGCTGATCAGGGGCAGACTACGACATATGCGATTGAAGATCTGTGCCTCCACCCAGAGCATATCGCTCCGCTACGTGAGGAGGCTCAAGAGCTATTCCTTGCAGAAGATTCACCACGCGATGTCAACATGCTGTTATTCCTAGACAGCTTCATCAAGGAGTCCATCCGGTGCTCAAACTCAGATGCTAGTGAGCCCGACACCACCCAATGTCCGAACCAGTCAAATGGCACAACTGACAACCATTTCGCAGTTACTTGTCGCCGCAAGGCCCTGGTATCATACACATTCGGGGACGGATCGACCATCAACAAGGGCGACTGGGTCTGCGTTCCGCAGCGGGCCATGATGCAGGACAGTACGCGGTACCGCGACCCTCAAACCTTTGACGGCTTCCGCTTCGCTCGCGCCAACGCGCAGTTTCGTCACCAGCAGCAGCAACAGCAGCCCTACTCCGCCGACGTCCCCGACCGGAAGGAGTCGAGCCTGACGGACGCCAGCGCGGAGTGGCCGATCTGGGGATTTGGTAACACGGCATGGTAAGCTAACCTGCACGCACACACAGCTGGCCCTGTTGCAAGTCTGAGCTCGGCGCATCCTTTGATCGCCATGGGAGCATGCTCCTGAACGTGTTTCCGCTAACAATTGCCGCGCGCCAGTCCCGGTCGATTTTACGCCAATCTGGTGACGAAGCTCATACTGATCCGCATCCTGGACGTGTGGGAGTGCAAGATGCGGGACCCTGCCGCGCCGAGGTCGAGGGTGTGGCGGTCAAGTATGGTTCCGAGAGGGGATACTATCGTCATGTTCCGAAAGCGAGAGACGGCAGACTGATTCCAGCCCTCGCTCTATCATGTTGTAGCTTTCGAGGGACTCCAGTGTAAGGAAGAGTCACATATCACATTATCACGCTAGCGTGCCCGCGGTGTGCAGCGCACACCCGTTATCACGTCGTTTACGAGGAGCAATATAGACAGACCAGAGTATATGATTGACTGCATTGTATCATCACGAGCTCGAGACCCTGGGGCTGAAGACTCCGACTCCCTTAATGGCCATCGCAGGCCCAATAGCTGGGAGGATCCTGAGTGCAACCCTACAAGACGCCGGGAGCTTCGCTAGGGCCAAAGTGCAACGCGATGTATCCTCGGTCGCAAGTTGACTCTGCCGCCCCCATCTCTCCCCAGTTCCGAGCCAAGTTGGGGGTTCCAGCGGCCGCGATTTCCGCAGCACATGTACGTACGTGATACAAGGTGCTGGTGCTGACAGCGACAGCCCTACGGGGCACAGACTGTGGAGTTGTTGGTCGTGATGATTCAAAAAGGAGAATCGCATGTCGCTCTCCCGTTGCGCCCGCGGGTGTCTGACATTGGCGTTGCACGACATGGCAGGACTTCATTGGAGGGGGGCCAACATGACCAGCCTTGGAGCATCGAGAAGCCCTCGAGGCGTTCTCTCATGTCCCCGTAACGCCGATCATGGAGGGGGAGGCGAACCCTGTCTGAGGATGATGAAGGACGAGACAAACCTGCCATCCTGCCAGGCCTTGTCTCCCCTCACCACTCGTCGCAGGTCTTAGACCCTCCACGAACAGCATTCCATTTGGGGGCAAAGAACCGGATGCACATGGCACCCTGACATCCTCCGGCGATCAACCTGGCTCCATAAAGTACGCTAGGGCCGATCTGCCCATGCCAATGCCGAGTCTTATCGTCACTCCGCCTCCCCGTACCTATAGCCGGGGCGGGTCGGTGTTGGCTTCGGGAGACCCGCCCGTCAGCCAGGTCTGCAGGTGGTTGATCGAAGGATTCCGTCCCGCCATTGCTGCTGCATGGACGGAATCCAGTCCATCCGCCCACATGCTGCGAGCGACACAGAGTGTGGCCAGCCATCCATCCATCCAGCCTCTGCCCTGCAATCAACCGTGCCGTGGTCGCCACGCGGCACGTCAAGTACCTGTACCAAGTTTAGGTTCTCTGCGGGCGAAAGATGGGGGCATCATGCAATGAACCATTCCCGCCCAAGTCGACCACACCAGTTACGTGAGGCATGGCGGGCTGGACCATTCACAGCAATGGCCGTCGAATGGCGAGCTCCGGCGTGGGACGGAAGTGTGGTGGTCAGCTCCGCGGCCAACGGCGACTCGGAGGGTGGCACTCGCAGCGCGAATACTACCCCACGAGAGTAAGACGGCAGCGGGCCTTCTTCCATTGAGACACTGAGGCAAGGGCGGCCTTGACTTACATCACTGCCCCCCGTCTTGGCGCGTGGACCAGAAATACGCGGTGGGCAGTCGGGCTGGTGTCTGGTCTGGACTTTGGGTATACTCGTAGGCCCCGTGCGATGCATGCAATCGCCTTCTGGCGACGAGTCCGTGATAATCCATGCCGAGTGTGCCTCGACAGTGTATGAACCCTAGTCTGGTCTCCCATGTGGCTGCATCGTGGCTCCTAAACCTCAAGGAGGTTGTGCCGATTAACGCCTCAATGGTTCACGGTTATTCCCCTTCGTTTCGGGAGTGACGACAGCTTAAGGGTTCCTGTGTGACACCTCATGGTGCCCGGCCCCCATCCTTTACCCATCCGCCGTGCATACATATCAGTATCGACCCTCGCAGCCCCGTTGGGACGTCATCAACACCAACGTTCGTTACACAGTCGACATCGGCCTCCTGTATCAGCAGCGCTTGCGAGGCAGGTAGCTTTCCGGGACAAGGTGAACGAAGCAGCTCAACATGGCCGAACTCCCACCCGGGACGGACCTGTGCAAGGTCCCCGCCGGCGTACCGCCAGAAGGCCACATACCCCAGCTCGATGCCGAGGCGCCTCTTGCAACGGCCACGATTGCAGTCGCGACTGTGTTGACGGCTATTTCGTTTCTGTTCACGGCGGGGCGGATATTTGTCAATATTCGCAAGTTGAAATGGGCAGATTGTGCGATTCCCATCTCATGTTTTGCCTGGTGAGCCTCCGGCTAACTAACACGCGGCAGACTTTGCTCTCATCGCATTTGTCCTCGACTGTGCCTACACCGGCCTTATTCTTGGCAGTAAGTACTATCTTGAAGGCCGCTTGAGATCTTTACTGACAGGTCGGGAGTGACAAAATATGCGCGCCATCAGTGGGACACACCCGCGTGCTGGTTCGACCCATCCTACATGAAGGTGAGCTACAAAACGTGGCATCGTGATACCTCACTCCTGCGGCATATCTGACAGCCTTCCAGATCCTCTTTGTGCAGGGCACCATTCTCGGTCCCGTCATCTTCTTCGCCAAAGGCGCTATCCTGCTCCTCTACCTTCAAATCTTCACCATCCACAAGCCCATGCGCGTCGCCGTGTACATCGGCCTCGTCCTCAACTTCTTCATCTACTGGCCCAGTGTGCCCCTTGAGATTGCCTTTGCCGCGCCGCGCCCTGGACAGACGTGGACGACGTTGCTCACGAGCGGGCTGCCAGAAAAGCTCATTTACTGGGGCCTTGTCCAGGGTTCGTTGGCGGTCTTTATTGATCTTTACATCTTTGTTCTGCCTCTGCCGGTGCTCTCCAAGTTGCATCTGTCGATGCGCAAGAGGATTGGTCTGTGTGCCATCTTCTTGACGGCGTTGATGTAAGTACACTCTGACAAGCCTTTCGTCATGTCTTGCTAACGGAGTCCAGGGGTGTGGTGGCGAGTGTGATCGCGCTCGTCTATCGAGTCAAGCTGCTAGACACAAAAGACACGACGTGGACGCAAAGCAACTTGTTCATCTGCATGTGAGTATTGGCGCGTATACAACACCACAGTGACGTCCAGCACTAACACGCCCCAGCATCGTCGAGAACAATGTCGCCATCATCGTCAGCTCCGTGCCCGCCTTCACGACACTCATGAAGCAGCACGTCGCCGAGTCCGGCGTCTTCAAGTCGCTCGCCTCCAAGCTCTACGGCAGCCACTCGTCGCGCGCGACGCACACGTACGTCTCCAAGGAGAACGGATCCGACCGCAGCCTGCGCAACTCGGGGTCGCTGCACGGGCACAGCAACAGCTCCGGCGGCGGCGGCGTCGGCGGGTACGAGTTCGCCAGCTACTCATCGCCTGTCACGCAGATACAAGGGGGAGCGCACAAGTTTACTGGCGGCAGTGACTACGGACGGCCGCAGACGGGGCATGTTGAGTACGGGGAGAGGGGCATTGTGCGGACATTTGACATTACGTGCACGCAGGAAGTGCGGGCCGATTACAAGGTTTGAAGCGACATTAATGTACGAAAGGCGGGAAAGCCAAATAGAGATCACTTTTGATGAATGTGTAGTTGTCCTGTGTTGAACGCGATCATGGGGCGAAGACACCTTGATGGCGCAACCTGAGCGGTGCAAGAAGGCACTTCATCCCCGGATCAACCATCGCCTGTACGGTGTCCGTAGCGTCTCTCTTGCCTTCTCTCGTCGTTCGAGCTCGTTGCAGGGAAGACCTGCTCTCCGTTCGACCCTCCGTATCAGATGCACCATTTGCGTCGGGTCGATATCGAGCAACAGCACACGGGAGGCAATTCGGTCAATGTCCATCACCGGAAGCCACCCGCCGTTGGGGACCAACAACCTGGAAACCACCTACCTACAGGGCCAGAGCCTGCAGTGGCAAGCCGCCGTGGGGGTCGCACTTGGCGCGCCACTGGGCTCTGCACTCTGCAGCGTCGTGACGCCGGTATGGGGCGCTACGTCGCCCTGCAGGTCGCTCCTCCGTGACAAGACGGTGAGGAGCAAGTGTTGGCCCGGCTCGGGATGCTTCCTGCCTTATGCCTGCATCTTCGTCTAGCCAACGTGACAGCCATTGCCCCTCGCAGCCAGTTCAGCTCTGGTGCCAGCAGCTTGCCAGCACAGCCTCCGGAATGCATGTTGGACATAGGTTGATTTACTCCCGCGGATGCTTGAGCACAGAGGCATCACTGCGTTCTAGTGGAGACGGGAGCGATGCATGTTCACTCGTAGAGCCCACCCACGCCTCCACGACGGGCCGTGGTGGAGGAGGCCAAGCACCGTCACTACGAGTCTACGACCCCCGCGATGCATGCTGGCGCCCGCATCTCTGTCGACCGCTGGCATCTTTTCTCTCTTCCGACGGCTCAGCCGTAGCGGTTTCCGAGAAGATGACGTCTCGCAGTGCGTCCCGTCTGTTGGCCAGCGACCCGGCATAGACCGCCCATTGCTGTTGCATCAGCCGTGTAACAGCTGAGCCAACGGCGAGCGGTCGAGCACCCAACAACATGATGCAGCAGCATCACCAGGCATTATCATGCCAGCACTGAAACCCTTGCCATTTCTACGTGTCGCTTCATGAGGGCAGCGCAGTATCTCGTGGTATGGCGAGGATGCACTACCTCGCACACGAAACTCTTCCTTTGCAGGCATTACCGAAGGCTTATCCTCCGGTCGTGTAGTGTAGCATCGAGCGCTACCACGCGACCACAGCGTTGCATTGCCTCACTTCCCGAGTGAGGAGGCCCTGGTGGAGGCAGGGCGGCACGTTAGGTACCTCGCAAGTACATGCTGAAACACACGTCCGTTGGTCGTCGGTATAGCAATGATCGGAAGCGACGACGCCCTTGCTCCAGCCTCGTTGGGCCCGCCTCGCGACTCGCCAGGGCATCGTGAACCTTTGCAACCGATGGCGTGTTGTTGACCCAGCGGAAGCACCGCATTGCAGGGCATCTCAGCCGTCGTCAATCTAGGCCATTCCATCGGCAGCAGAATGACAAAGACCATCCTCGTAACGGGCTGCTCAGCAGGAGGCATCGGTGCCGCCCTGGCACAGGCCCTTGCCGACCAAGGCCACCACGTCTTCGCCACAGCCCGCAATCCGTCCAAGATCCCTCCCGAGCTCCGCACCTTATCCAATGTCTCGTCGCTGGCTCTCGATGTCTCGTCCTCGGCTTCAGTCGCCGACGCTGCCAAAGCGGTGCGCGAAGTTGGCAAGGGGTTGGACGTGCTCGTCAATAATGCCGGCGCGGGCTACACCATGCCCGTGCTGGACGTGGATATTGACCAGGCGAAGTGGTTATATGAGGCGAATGTCTGGGGGCCAGTGCGGACAATCCAGGCGTTTGCGGACCTTCTCATCGCGAGCAAGGGTCGCATCGTCAATGTGAGCAGCGTCGGCGCGGTAGTCAACACGCCCTGGATCGGTGAGGCTTCTCGCATCCCATTTTCATGCCAGTATACTAATCGCAGCGCTCGCAAGCGTCTTACGCCTCGTCCAAAGCCGCATTGAACAGCATCTCGGAGACGCTGCGCCTCGAACTCACCCCCTTCGGCGTCACTGTTGCGACTGTATATCTGGGAACGGTAGCGACTTCGTTTCACGCAAATGAACCAGCACCGGAGCTTCCACCTGGATCGCTCTACGCGAGCATCCTCGACACGATAACGAAATGGGCAAAGGGAGAAGCCGGCCCCAAGGGTGGCCCGATTAAGGATCTAGTCGACTCTGTTGTTCCTGACGTCCTAGGCGAAAAGGGTGGCATTGTATGGAGAGGTCCGAACAGCGGCGCTGTCAGATTTCTCTCCAGATGGATGCCCATGTGGCTGCTGGTAGGCAGATCTCTTTCTCAATGCATCCCGCGCCATTGCTAACACGAACTACAGGATAGCATGATGTCGAATGGCCAGGGCCTAGACGAGCTATCCAAGAACCTCAAGCCCAAAGGCGATTAGATCTCGTGTAAATGCACGTGTATTGACAGAAGCCATTTGGCAGGCCTTAGAGCCTGAATAGATACCTAATTCCCCAGAATACGACCCTTACTTGGGAATCTTGAATCCTCCAGGCACTTTGGTCGTGAAAAGCTCGTGTGGATCGACTGTCGCCCGCACCTTTCGTAGCCGCTTCACACTTTCTCCCCCGTAGCTTGCGATCGGATCCTGCCACGCCGCTGCGTAGTTGAGATACACAAATGGGTCGTACTCGTCGAGGCTTCGCGCGTCTGCCTCGATGTCTTGAAACATCTTGCGCGCTGCCGCCTCGATCTTGCCGTCGTCGGCCTTGTCGGTCCACATGGCAGTGAGAAGCGTCACAACAAGGGCCTTGGACCGATCGGCCAAGCCTAGGCTATTCAATGAGGCGCCTTTCTTGTATATCGCAGGCGGCAGGGGCTCGAGGGAGAGGGACCACACGACGTTTGTCACGTTCTCAATGGCCGGCACGCTCTCCTGCCAGCGCTTGAATGTGGCGTTGAGCATTGGAAGCGTGGTCCCATGGGTGATCTGAAGGCAGAGCTGCCTGTTCTGTTATCAGCAACAGGCATTCATCCTAAGGGGGAAGGATACGCACCTCAGACCATTTGTCGAAAACGATCCTTGCTCCTTGGAGATATCTGACATGTTGGAGATTCGCATCGTGTTCATCAGTGCCGGAATCTTCATGAATTCCTCGAACACAGGCGGGCGCTCCAGTGGCTTGGTGTACTCTAGGTTGTTGACAATACCACTTCCGCGCCCGGCGGCGTACCCGAAGCTCGTGATGAGGCTGGCATATTCGTCGTACTTGTCGGCCGAGTTGAACGCCTCAAACGCCTTGAGCTGCGCGTCAATTGTATCGACCGCGTGGTATAGGACTCCTCCCCAAAGCTTGCCCTGCTCGAATGTCCGGAGATCGACGCGCGTGACGATGCCAAAGTTGTTGGAGCCACCGCGCAGCGCCTGAAGGAGCTCGGGGTTCTCGGATTCGTTGGCGTTGACAATACTCCCGTCCGCCAGAACGACTTGGTAATTGACGACCGTGTCGCAAGTCCAGCCGTATCGCGGAGAGAAATACGAGATACCTCCTCCTGTAGAAAGGCCGCCGACACCAACGGGAGCGGCCCGGCCACCCGCGACGCAGAGATTCAGCTCATCCAATTTCTCATAGACTTGTCCCCATTTTGCTCCAGGCCCAACAGAGACGGTCTTCTTGTCCGCGCTCAGCTCGATGGAGTTCAGCCCGCGGAGGTCAATTGTCACACCCGTGCTTCCAATATTTGCAGCACCCGCGTGAGCCGCATGGCCTCCTGACCGGATGGCAAAGTCGGCGCCGCCCCATACGCCGCCGTCGGAGCCGTCATCTGCGAGGGTCTTCTTGTCGCCGCTCAGCACGCGCACCGCGTTGGCGACATCTTCCGGGGTCTTTGGGGCAACGATGCAGGCCGGGCGCAGCTCCGACTCTTGCTGTGAAAAGTATGAGTTGAGTGACGAGGAATAGGTCTCGAAGCCTTCAAACGAGACTTGGCGATCCCCAAGCTCCAGGAGCAGGGCCAGGCACTGCGCGTAAACACCGAACCGCATTAGTCGTGCTTGTGCTTCTCGCGCGATAGCAAGCGAACGATGCGCTCTCAATTACACGTTCGGCGTACGCACATGGGGCTTTTGTGCCTCTGGGACCGACGACGGCACCGACGCTTGCTCCATCTTGGGTCGGCGCACAGCTGAGCGCTCGCCGAGGCCAATTCGGTTCGATCTCGCTTCGGAGCTGCTAATGATGCAGGCTAATATGCGATGCCCGAGGGAGTAATACACCTCCGACGACTTGTCATAGTCTCCGCACGAGATCCGGGCGCGGGCTGGGGAGCACGCCCGCTAAAAGGGCCCTGACCGGCGCAAGATGAATGTTGGCACGCAGGCGGCAGCCCGCGGTTGGATCTGTTGGTTGAGCTTGGCATTCAGGTCACAGGTTGCGGGCGGAGACCGAAGCCGGACGCGCATGTCATGCTGCAACATGGAGGTTTGGCATTTTCCACATGCAGGTAGGGCAGGTTTCATCCCGGGCGTCCAACAGCTCCTCTCACGGTCGCATTCAACAGGTGCGGAACAGTTCCTTCCCTTACAAGGGAGGCAGGATAGCAGGGTCGCAACGACTGCAAGTCTCTCGGTCGCCACGTGCGGCGGTGGGTGGTGGGATGGCTGCAGCTTACACCTTGCATATCGCGTACCGGCTTGGTATGGGCGCGTGTCGCGAAGGATCGAGGCTTGCATCGCTGTGGCTTCCAGTGTTCCACGGTCAAGCCGCTGTGCGTCATTTGCAGTCAGACTTGGTCCAAGTCCCAGCCGAGAAGGCCTTTCTAGCCGCCGTTCGCGTGCAATACGAGGACCCGGGCCCTTGTTTTGGTTTGTCGGAGCCGCTCAGCTCGTCCATGCCGTGCTCACACGCGGCAGTAATATTGGGCTTGGGTCATGGTCAAGCAGGGGCATCTGAAACCCTGCCGTAGAAACCACACCAGCGGACCGCACTTATCGCTGGGCGTCAATATGGTAATGTCGGCCGGAGTCATGCAGCGACGATCCATGAGCTAATAGGTGCTCAGCGCAAGCTCGTGCCGTGCTCGTCTCTCGTCTGCGGCGCCGCCCATAACCTCCGTGTTGTCGCGGAGGTGCCACCCACGATCTCATTCAGACCCCATCTCATCTCAACATAACCCGCTCCCCTCCCCCGGATCTGTCGGGTCGGCGACATTCTGGAACACGTCTTCCCACGTGGCAAGCATGGTCAAGTTCGTGGCATCGCTGCTGACTGCAGCACTGATTGGTCGTGGCACTGCCTTTCCCGCTGTTGAGCAGCCATCTGCCGCGGCAGCTTCCGGTGCAAGCTGTGTAAGTATGAACTTGGTCTTTTTTCATCACCGAGGCCAAGGCAGTCTATTTGCCCGTTCGCTCTCAAACGACCAGTTCAAGTGCTGATGGCTTCCAGTGCAAGGCCCTCACAGACGCCCTCGGCTTCAAGGTTGCCTCGAAATGCAGCCCTGGATACACAAAATCCATCCAGTCGTACTGGGCCGTACAAGAAACGCAAATATCTCCGACTTGCGTTCTTCTGGCGACGTCGGCGGATGATGTTTCCAAGGCTCTGAAGGTTCTTGTCCCATCGTCCTGCAGGTTTGCTGTCCGTGGAGGTGGACACGGCCCAATACCTGGCATTGCGAACATCCAAGACGGCGTGACGATCGATCTCAGCGCGCTGCGAGAAATCACTCCTAATCAGGACAAGAGCCTGGTCGCACTTGGACCAGGGCTCAACTGGGCGTCGGTTTACTCAAAGCTCGACTCTCTTGGCGTCTCGGTCCCTGGTGGACGAGACGGTCCGGTTGGCGTAGGCGGTTCGACGACCGGCGGTGTGTATTCCTGGCATCAAGCACTCCTTCGTCAGCCTCATTGACCAACTTGTTCAGGCGGATTTGGTTACTTTGCCACCAAGGCTGGCTTCACGGCTGAGAATGTCGCGTCGTACCAAGTCGTCCTTGCAAATGGTACCATTACAACGGCATCATCAACGGAAAATCGTGCTTTGTGGATGTCGCTGAAGGGTGGCTCTAGCAATTTTGGCATCGTCACGCGCTTCACAATTCGGACATTTCCTCTGGGCAAGATCTGGGGAGGCGACGCCTATTACTCCGTGGCGTCGCTTGATGCTCACATCAAGGCGCTCTACGAATTCACAGCTAACCCAAACTATGATGTCGACGCCGGTTACTTCCTCAACTACGCGTACACGGCCTCGTCTGGTGCAATTCTCACCAATCGAGTCGCCTACGCAAAGCCAGTGGTGAACCCGCCGGCGTTCCGCGGCATCACGTCGGTACCGGGACAGATGCAGAACACGACCAAGGTTCTTAGTCTGGCCGAGTTTTCCAACCAGGCTCTTTCGAAGACACCGGCAGGGTACCAGTATGCCCACCATTTCTGCGCAAACCATTGACCTTTTGCACGTGTGCTGACCGGGCATCCAGACAACTGACATGGTCCGTTACCTTCAATAACAACGTCGCCATGCTCAAGGACGTGTGGACTGCGTTCAACGCCAGTATTGCTACTGTGAGGGGTGTTCAGAATGTCACTTGGTCTCTCACCTTGGAGCCCATCGTTCCGGCCATCGCATTGCAGACCAAAGCCAAAGGGGGAAACGTACTTGGCCTCGACAACATTCCTTCCGAGGGATTGATCCTCTGCCTGCTGTCCGCAACATGGGTGTCATCCAACGACAGCCCCAGAATGAACGCCGCGTCCGACTTGCTCCTCTCTGGCATCATTCAACTTGCCAAGAGAAGAGGCGTCTACCACCGCTATGTGGACATGAATCATGCCATCAAATCGCAAGATCCGATTGAAGGGTTCGGGTCGGAGAACACCGCGTTTTTGCGCAAGACGGCACATCAGTACGACCCAAATGGGGTATTTCAGACTCTCATGCCGGGGGGGTTTAAGCTGTAAATCGATGCGAGGCATTTTCCTTCTTTTGTCGTGCATATACTGCACGTGTCGCACGCATTCAATATCGGTGGCTGTACTTCGTATATTAGCACAACAAATGGCAGGCCACGGGTGCAGAGAGACATGCGATGAATGCCTCGCGAAAGACATAAGGCGGGTTTGGCAACTCTACATAGACAATCTAAAGCGGCGTCTGCTTTCGGGCTTTGCCCTTTGGTTATATCTCGGCGCCAGCTGCCTCTGGTTTTTTAAGTAGCTGAAGTTACTGGCACATTCAACGGCTTGGACAAAACAGCGGGCCGTTTCGCAATGGGTATACGAACACCATTCTTACCGGTGACTTGATACGGGGTGATTGCCTCGGCGAGGCTTGTACGATCCGCCGAAGGAGCCGATATTTCGTGCTTTTCGAGTTGGCTTGCCCGCCGCGCTGCGCTACAGCCGCTGGCTGGCATAGCAGATGTGCAAGAGTGGCGAGCCTCCATGTCGGCACGGCCCGCCAGGACTCCGGCTTGAGGTCTGATGAGGAAAAATAAATACAGGAATAGCAAAATGTGGGAGTGGGAATGGCGCCCTCCTCTTTCATTGCAACATACTTCGTATGATACTGCTGTATAAGCTCAGCGAATTGGCCATCGTCCCGCTGAGGGAAGCAGGGGTTCTGACCAGCCCTCGCAGGCCAACCAGGGACCTGAAAGGACATTGAAAGCATCCATCTTTCTAGTCTTGTCCGAAGAATTCTGACTTATCATATTCCTCGGCTCGCTGAGCCAATACATCTTACCAGACTCCAATTTTCTGGGTTTACAGAAGCAGCACATTGCGCACTGTCATGCAGGGCCAGGTCGTAGAACAGACAGCTCTATGGACGCTTACTCATTGAACGTGACATCAGAGGCTCAACACGATTTGAACCCCTCGCATAAAAGGCCCTCCCGTTGATGCGATGTGACACTGGCGACTGAGCCGGTCACTCGAGGAGAAAAGCCAGATATCAGGCGACGTGAGCACGACATGTGGCATGTTTGGGCCTCACAACGAATCTACATGTACGGACCTCGACTGTTCTTGTATATAAGCCGGCTGCTTTGCCCGCCCGAAGCCACATGAACACCCAAGTCCATCGCAGCCCATTGCCTGAAACCAAATGCCCTGCTTTCTCGGTCGCCTTCGTTCTTAAGTCTTGTTGACCTAGTCGCATCAGTCGCCATGAAAAGATTTCTCGCAGCCTTGGCGGGCTTGCTTGCGATTGCCCATGCCATCCCAGATTCAGGCCATCCATCTTTGCAACCTTGGGCTGATACAGTCACTGTAATTCTTCCATTAGCAACGGTGGTGGGCTCTGTCACGGACGTGGAAAGTTTCAACGGCATTCCCTTCGCGGAGCCACCACTTGACCAACTTCGGCTGAGACCACCCAAAAGACTTTCTCGGCCCGTGGGAATCGTCGATGCCATGGGCACGGCGCCCGATTGCCCACAGATGCCACGGTCCATTGACAATGAAACAACTCGACTCCTCGAGCGTACTGCACCGGAAATCTTTGAAGTCTTCAAGTTTCAGCAAGGCGAGGAAATCCAAGGCCAGGAGGACTGCCTCACTGTATCAGTGCAGCGACCAAAAGGCACTCAGGCGACGGATAAACTACCGGTACTTTTCTACATCTTCGGCGGCGCATTCGAGTTTGGCGGTACGGCGTCTAACAACCCCGAAGCATTTGTTCGTTTCGCCCAGTCCCAGAACCAAAGCTTCATCTTTGTCGGTGTCAACTATCGTCTTGCTGGCTTCGGGTTTATGGGCGGCGCGGAAATCTTGAAAGACGGCAGCGCCAACCTTGGACTTCTGGACCAACGCATGGGCCTAGAGTGGGTAGCGGACAACATTGCCTTCTTCGGCGGTGACCCGGACAAAGTCACCATATATGGTCACTCAGCTGGTTCAATTTCAGTGTTCGACCAGACAGCTTTGTTTGGGGGAAACGTAACCTACAAAGGCAAGCCGCTTTTCCATGGCGCCATGATGAGCGGTGGCAGCGTCCTTGCTACCGAGCCCGTGGACTCCCCCAAGGCGCAGGCCATTTACGACAATGTTGTCGATATTGTGGGCTGCAATCAGACTGCCGATACCTTGGACTGCCTCCGCCATGCACCATTTAAGGATCTCTATCACGCCATAAACACGGCCGGTCGAGTTAACAGCTATGCCTTCCTGGCACTCCCCTACTTACCTCGCCCAGACGGCCAGGTCTTGACACAGAGTCCCGATGTTCTGGCCAAGGAGGGCAAGTACCATGCCGTGCCTGTCATTATTGGCGACCAGGAGGACGAGGGGACCATATTTTCGCTTACCCAGACAGACGTCAATAGCTCGGATCGCCTCGTTGACTATTTCGCCAAATACTTCTTTCACAGGGCCAGCAGAGAGCAGGTTGCGGGCCTAGTTGGCACATATCCCACAGAGTCTGCGGCAGGAAGTCCATTCCGAACCGGCGACCTGAATGAATACTACCAGCTATACTCCAAAGGCAATGGCTTCAAACGGCTAGCTGCGCTGTCGGGCGACATTACGTTCACACTCACACGCCGCCTAGCCATTGAGGCCATGGATGAGTCGAATCCAAATGTACCTATTTGGTCATACCTTGGGTCTTCCTCGTATGGAGTTCCATATCTCGGGTCGTTTCACGGATCCGAGATCTTGCTGCTCTTCAGCGGTATCGGCCCGGCAGCGCGGTCGAGCCGAACACACTACCTTAACTTCATTTATAATCAGGACCCCAACATTGGAGTGCAGCAGAGCCAGCAATGGCCAAGGTGGACAAAGGACACCCGGCAACTGCTTTGGATCAAGCGGCAATCTAACGATCTGACGCGTGACGATTTTCGAAATGAGAGTTATGCTTTCATAAAGGATAACATCAAAGCACTGTACTATTGAGGGAGTTGTACGCAATAAGAACTATCTTGCATCATCCTTGAGGGGTGCAGATATATGTAGTACGACGACCACCAGTGCGCAGATGGTAAGCATGGTAGTAGGAGATTCATTTGCTAGCATCAATCTAGCTACGTTCTGCCGAGAGCATCTGTTCGCGTTTGTAGAAGCATTGATGCGCGGACGGGGTTTTGCGCATGTGGACTTGAGCATTTGGTGCTCTATGGAAATCGACTGGACATGTATTCAATGCTTCCACCGCACAGGCGCTGGAGTACATGTCGAGCTGTAGGCAAAGTATAAAACACACTTGCGCTGTTCGTCTCTATGACATAACTTGATTGGAGCGTTTTCTATTTTCCAAAACTTTTGGCAAGACAACCTGCCTACTGTAGCTCTTTGAGGCGTCCAGCATGCATATCGACCGCACCATGAATGTTGAGGTCGTTGGGTACGTATTGGTGCCAAGTGCACCTCTCGTGTAGGCATCTCAGACAACCGCCCGCGACAGTGCTATGAGGCCAACAGTCTCTGCTCCGGGAACAGTGCGCCGCAAGACAGGAAGATTCATCTCGCTTCGTGTTCCTCGTGGCCTTCCACCTTGCTTCGGCGTCTTTCCATTCCGCATAGACCTGCTCGTATGGTGGGGATGCGGCAAGAGCTACCTTCAGCTCTTCCGGCGACATGATGGGCCAGTCCTTGATCGAGTCGGTCGAAACCTCGTCGTCGCTACGTGCATCATCTGGCATGAGGAACAGCCGCTTCCTGTCCAGAGTCATCCACGTCTCCCCATTGTCGAACGTCATCATCATGCCAAGAAGATCTGCATGCTTGATGTCCTGATTGCTGTATGTGGTTGGCACCATACGAAACTTGACGACCTCGCCTCCGTCACGCGCCATCCAAATGTCTCGAGCATCCACTGGGCCTGGAACAGATGTAGGCAATGCCTGGTGTGTAGACGAAGCCATGCCTAAAAAGGCGACGAAGGTGTATAGCAGAAGAGCGTGCATATCAAGGTGACTGTCGACAGCGAACCTTCGGTCTTGAAGCACAGAAGACTTAGCCAACAAAGGTCCTAAAGGCACGGGAATGTTCAGCTTGGCCACATCGCAGTGGGATCTAGAGTATTCGCCGGTCAGAGGAAATTTCCCTTTTTATAGACTTTAAAATGTGTTCTCGTGTGCCCTTACGGCATGACAGCACAGGATGCGATGCACCACCACTTAGCCTTTTCTCAACCATGTAAGAGCAGTGCCTTGGTCTAACACATGGCACATTGCATCGTGGCAGAACAGCTAATTTCTGGATGTTTTGGCCAGTTGATTGCACGAAGTGGAGAAATACGCCACGTAGAACTGGCGTATTGGTGTGATTACATGCGCACGTACATTTTAATCCCACCGTCTGGTTCATCAAGAGGTCTTCCTGCCAAAAGGTGTGCTTCGATGTGCTGTATCATGCGAGCCTATTCATCCTCGCTCTCGGTGAGCTGTGGTCAAGGACTGTAGCCATGGCCAGGTAGCCAGCGTGGAGGCATACCGGAACACCGAATGTTCAGAAGGCGGCCTGCGGTTTAGATAAGGCAGCTAGTGGACTACCTAGAGACTACGACTTGGAGTAGCTGGTCGTATATCTTCCAACCAAAACAACAAGTATATCAGACCAGACTGAAAGCCTCTTCGGGATAGAAGGGCTATTTGGTCGTGACCAACAATCATGTCTCGAGGCAATAGCGACAAACGTAGTAGTAGAACAGCTCTTCTCTTTATGAATGTTATCCTCTTGGCTGCTATAGATGAAGTGTGGTATCGCTCGTCCGTACTGCGCTTCTTTTGACCTAGTAAAGAGCATGCTGATGTTCTATCTGTCGCACTGGCTCCCCAGAAGTAGCACAGTTCAATGTTAGTGCAGAGGAGCATTAATGATATAATTCGACCTGTTAACTCACCTGTTGCTAGACAATCGGTCAGGGTCATGTCCCAGCTAATACTCTAAAGGAAGTATGCATCAATGTCTCCATGTGCAATAACCTCTATCATGCCACTTGACAGACTTTTCCTATAGAATGCTTGGGTATTTGCTGGCACGTTGCATATAATACATGTAAGGTCCTTTGATGTATTGAGGTCAACAGTGTCTGGTTCCCGTTGCTTCTCTTCTCCTTTACAGTGCATAAAATGCTCGCGAACTCCCCAGTTATGTCACGGTCTAGCTAATAGCCAGCTTTCTACGTCACCCTGCATACATTATTGATGGGTAAGGGGTGCGGACCGCCATACACAAAGTTTGAATCAGGCCACTACGTATTGAAGCCAAGAATGTGATTCTCTTGCTCGCATAATGTGCTGTGGATGGGGCCGTACAGTGTGCCTTATATATGGTGTAATTTGTGCCACGTCATTATAAATGTGGGAGCGATATAATGCTGGGACGAAGACTATCGGGGCGAGGAAACAGAACATTGAGTATCGAATGTGCACACGTAGCATTGCTGTGATGTCATGTGGCAATGTGTATATATAAGTTTCGCTGCGCACTCGCTTCGGACACAAACTGAGCATACTTAATTAGCTGTTTCTACGCGCTTGTAGGCTCAGTTGGTCAACTCTATTGCATTGACAGTCCTTCCGGGATAAAGCTCGTTCACGTTGTATCCGCAAATCCCAAGGCAGCAAGTACTTCGAAGATAAATATGCGATGCAACTCATTATTCCCACTCGCAATGCTTGCAACGAGTTGCGCAGCTGACTGGCTCCACGCCTTTGAGTCATGCTACATGGAAGGAAATGACTTTGGGTGTTGGCGTTCTGCGGTATTCTACACTGACTATGGAGCGTACGACTTCAATAACGCCAATTCGGGCTGCTACGGTATCCCCGTGCCGGGTATGGTCGAGTTCTGTCTGGACACTGTCGAGAAACGGGCCCATTTTCGGTTCGAGGGACAGGGAAAGCGCTGCTTGAGAAAGGATCGTAAGTCCGCGCATCTATATAAATGCCCGGCATATTCTTGCGCCGCGTGGAAGATGTACGAAGTTCCGTGTGATTGGTAGCCGCCCGCCTTACATCTAATTGCACACGTGGCTGTTAAGGGGATATCCTAGCTGGCGGGCCTTACAACGTTTGAGAAAAGTGAAATGAGAGCAAATTTAGGGTTATTTTGGCGGCACTTCCTTCACGAACAAGAGCACTCTTGATACAAGCCTGAACTAGGAGCCCCTGAAGCGCATGGTGAAGGTTTGCCGGATGGCCCATCGCGGGGGCATGCGGAGAAGCGTGGCTTGGATGCCCGAGGAATTGCGACATGCGGCAGCTGGCAATGTGGGAGCGCGACACGGCCATACACTTCATGCCGGTGCGGACACCTTCCTAGGGAGGTGGGTGGGCGGTTCTACAAGAGCAAACCAAGGGACGCCACCCTCGTTCTAGTTTTCATCACGGGCAGACCTATCCGCTGTGCTCTAGTGGACCAAAACGACAGTCATTCCGCGTCAGAGGCATATGTGAAAGAACAGATGGTCGAAAAGCTTCAGAATGATCAGAGAGGAGATACTACCGGCGAACCGACTGGCAAGGCTTTGGAGGCGCGGGGTTGATGGAGACGACCACTTGGTGACTCGTGACAGACACTGAGCAAGGCAAGATTGTTACGCCGACCTGGACCAACGAGGCCTCGGTCGGACATGTGCAATGGGGGTGGCAGGCCATTGCATGCCGTTGTCGTATGGAAGATCAAAAATTCCGTATCGGATGATGGAGTTTGCGTTTTCCCATGGAAGAGATCTTCAAGAAGTAATTACCAGCTTGATCTCGGCGCCCCCCAAAATTGGTAATTGTCGCGACTCATAGCTGATCTCGCGTACCTCTTGCTAGAGCTCATGCTTCTTGTTCAACGCGGAGAAGAATTGGAGGGCGTCGGTGACGACAAATTTACGCCGGCGTGACACGCCACATCATAGGGAGCAGGCTGGCATCGGATTTATTGATGTCACACAGCATGAGTATCTTGGAATCTCAATCTTCATTCGAGCCGTGAAAGCTGCAGGTCTCACCTCGTCACGCGAAGAACATCTCCTCGCAGAAAGGCAGCGTTGTGCAACGTCCATGGGCAAACCCCGCAGACGCAGCTGCGTAAGACGGAATCATGCCCAACTGAACTCCTTCAATATTTGCTAGTTCTTGCTGCTGCGTGCCTTGTTTCGCAGCGAGCATCAAAATGGCAGCTTTGAGCGAAACGCAAGTCGTTGCTATCCTGGTCGGGCTCGTGACCATCAGGGTTGCTTGGGAATTCCTCTTCTCGCCATTGCGAGCCTTTCCTGGGCCAGTAATCGCAAAGTTCACCGATGCTTGGAGAGCATTCTTGAATTCACAATGGCACCCCGACAGACACGTCCGTGAATGGCACCGAAGATGGGGAACGGCAGTGCGCATTGGGCCTAACGCGATCTCAATCAGCGACCCAACCATGATTAAGGTCATATACACGACGCGAGACTCATGGGCCAAGGTCAGCCCCCTGTTTCTTTACCTCTCTCCATTGAAACAAAACTGAGTGACATGCCCATAGAGCGACATGTACGCCGTCAACGACGTTGTATTCGATGGAGAGCGACTAGCAAACGTCTTTTCACTCAGAGATCAAGCCGTACACGCCCAGCAGGCGAAGCCAATTAGAGGCCTCTGGGCCTTGGGCAAGCTGTTGGAAATGGAGGCGTGCGTAGATCAAGTCATTCAGATGTTTGTTGATAAACTGGGTCACGACTTTGCAGACACCGAACCCGGCAAACGCTACTGTATGATGGAGGATTGGCTGACCTATTGTACGAACCATCTCTTTTTTCACTACACGCGCTAATTGCAAACTCGCAGTCGCTTGGGATGCTGCAGCAAATGTCACTTTCGGCCACCCGCTCGGATTCATTCAGCAAGGGAGGGATGTCCGGCGACTGATCAAGGAGTCGCGAGACACGACCACGTATTTCGCCGTCGTACGTCTGAACTGTCCATGAACAGGCCTCATCATGTCTAACGGGTCAAGGTTTCTCAAATCCCATGGCTTGACAGTTGGCTGGGAAAGAATCCCATCGTCCCTCTCGGGTCCCGGGGCATCTTGTGGAGCTTTTCGACTGCAGCAGAGCTTTACGCCGAATACGACTCTGCGGCCAGCGGCAACGCCAAGGCCGGCGACGATTGCCATGGAAACTACTTCATCGACAAATACCACAAGTTGAAAGACACCCACCCTGACTGCGTGGATGACAAGCAAGTCATGCACTACCTGGTCCTGAACGTGGCTGCTGGAGGTGACCCAGTCGCCGGTGCACTGCGCGCGATTGTGTATCACTTGGCCAAGTCCTCACCGGCGTACCGAAAACTTGTCGCTGAGCTAGACGCAGCTCAGTTCTCCCTTCCAGCCCAGTGGAAGGACGTCAGCAAGCTTCTGTACCTCGACGCAGTTATATACGAAGCAGCTCGAATGGCACCCAGCATCGGCTCAATGCTCGAGAGAATTGTGCCTGCAAAAGGCCTCGAGCTCCCCGATGGCCGCTACATACCAGCAGGCACCAAAGTTGGGATAAACCCTTGCGTCATCTCACGCGACACACACGTCTTTGGCGACGATGTTGACTCTTTCAAGCCCGAGCGGTGGCTGCAGCGACCCGACGAAGACGACCAGCAGTACGCTATGCGATACCAGCGCATGCGAGAAACTGCCGACTTCATGTTCGGAACAGGCAGCCGCGTCTGCATGGGCAAGGCACTGGCCAAAATGGAGATGTACAAATTGACGGCGACTCTGTACAGAATGTTTGATGCAAGTGTCTCCAATCGGCATTGGATCGCAATTAATTCCGCGACTGACTCGCTGTGGCCAAAACAGATAAGGCTCCCTGATGAGCGACACGAGTGGACGTACCGGAACTCGTGGTTTATGTTCCACGAGAACATCCCCATGGTGATCACACGGCGGACATGAGATCTTAAGTTGTCTGGGGGCCTTCGGGGAAGCTTTTGTGCTCTTTAGCTGTAGCGCCATCCAATTGGATCGCTACACATCCAGTCTTTACATTGTAGTCCAAAATATTTTACTCATCATCGCATGCGGCAAGCTCGTGACAGTGGGCTTCCGAGGGTGGGTAGTGGCCTCAGCGTTGTCATGGCCCATTGAGCTGCGTCCCAGCATCGCGTCAACTAGCGGGGCACGCCGTAAGCACCTTATTGTGGTCGGCAGTGCTGCCTGAGATCATGGAGGAGGCCGCCAGTCCAAGGACACTGTGTCTTCAAAACCGCGTTGGCTATTCAAAAACAGTAAATATTGAGGCAGCGCGTGTGTTTATGCATTCATGGGGACGTGCGTCCTCTCGTTTCAGGCCCTGCCTTCTGGAAGCCCCTCGTGAACTTCGCGGAATCTCTCCAATCTGACAATCGACAACATCACTCTCGGTGCGCATCCCTGGGTTTGCCATAATGGCTTACACTCTTGTGCCGAACTGCACCGTCGATGACGCCGCGGGTCTATCCCGCAACAACATGTCTGCATTTTGGCAAGAGACATGGTGGAACATGCTTTGGGTCAATCGGACGCTTGACGACATCGTCAAATCGTGCACTTTGAGGATGCCTCAGAATCTCTTGACCGAGCGCAATATAAGGCGCCATCAAAAGGTCGTCAACACGGCTACAGGCGAAATTGCGGGCTACGCTCGATGGATCATGCCGGCCCCATACGAGACAAGCTGGCTCGAGGCGCAGACCCCAGACGTCAGTGAGGAGGACCAGAAGCTGTTTCAACAGCGCTTCTCCAGCGCCGAATGGTCAACACGTGATGACCTGGACGCTCTCGACGAAGAGATGTACAAGAACATGCGGGAGAATGAGCCGGTAGGCCCTTATATCAGTACGCTGCATTGCCATCGATTGCCTGCGGAAGCTCCGTCACTGACTTGACTCGCACCAACAGAACTGGACTACGTTGGCGTTGGTCCAAATCACCAGCACAGAGGCATAGGGAGCATGCTTGTCAAATCGGGTATACAAGCAGCCAACGAGCTTGGGTTAGACATCTACCTTGTGGCAATGGGGAAGAAGGCACTTGACATGTATCTGAAGCTGGGGTTCAGTCTTTTGGCACAAGACTGCCAAGACCTCCGACCATATGGCGCAGACGGCATTTACGACACGTACATCCTCGTAAAGCATCCAGCTGGCCAATGATGCGCAAGCTTATGGCGGCATATCTGAAGCATATCGGACTCGAGACTTCAGTGGTAGATGAAGTTCTTCATTATATATAGCCCCAGTCGTCCAACACCGTGTGTCCACCCCTCTCACTCCCTGAGATACGTTTGTCTCCAGCAATCCACTTACACTTAAGCCGAGCAGCCTTCCGACACGGCTGGAAGTAAGCTCCACAGGTGATCCTTGGTGCCATTGTCTTCAAATTGTACCACGTTGGCACTGTTGGCCGTCGACATGCCATCAACGCCGGCGAGCTTGTCGCTTTTCTTATTCCGAATGAAGAACAAGCCATTGCCTTGCGACCCCACTCTCCAAAGCTGATCATCTGCCCCGCTGTCCTTGTTCTGCTGGAGCTGCGCGCTATTCGCGGTCGACGCATCTTTGACTCCCAGCAGCAGGCCGCTGTTGAGGTTCTTGAACTTTAACCAGCCGCCAGGCGCTGGCACTGCCTGCCACAAGTGGTCGCGACTACCGTTGTCTTCATACTGCTGTATGTTCGCGCCGTTGGCAGTGGACTCGTGGTCCACGCCCATGAGCTTACCACTGTTTTCGTTGCGGAGCTGGAAGATGGCTGCTGTCCAGACTTCGAACTCGGACAAGCCCCAGCCCTTACCAGTGCCGGGGTTTGGCGCCACCACTCTAAGCTTGGATGCCTTGATGGTTGGAAAAGTGATCTTGGTCTCGACATTGGAGGTGGTTGGCAGAGCGCTGCGCTTCTGGCCTGGGACAGTAGTCCAGTTGCTGCCCGTCCAGTACTGCAGGTCGTAGCTGGAAGGAATGCGCACACCACCGCCATCGTCATAGAAGAACAGTCGAACGTCGCAGATGGCCTGATCCCTCCGCATATCGATGCCCATATAATCCTGCGGATTCGGGCTACTGTAAGATGTCCAGCGGCTGTTTTCGGGGATACCGGTTCGCCAAACGATGCCATCAATGGCCCGTGCCGCATCGTCAACAGGAGAAGTGTATGAGGCAAATCCCGTTGTCAGCCGCGAGAAATTCTGACCGTTGGCGGCAATGTTTACAAGCGGGCTGACGCTGGGAGGCGATGCGGTGCCAACTTTGACTTTGATAGACCCGATGGAGCTGCGACTGCCTGCAAGTCTGCCGTCGACGTAGACTCGCAGACCCTTGCCCTGTTTGTAGTGCGTTCCGGTGCTGTCCCAGAGAATGGTAATGCTGTGTCCATGGTATGCTGCGTTCTCCAGGGCAAAGTGGTCCCAAGTCGATGGTACCAGCGGGTTAACTACGAGCGTGTCATCCGCCTGGCCTCGGAGACCAAGCAGTCCGGCCAGTACGTTATCAACGTAGGTCGAGTGGCTGTAATCCTCGCTGTGATCCGCGCCGTCGTATATCCACTTATCGGCATCTGGATCGTGAGCCTCGGCCACGTATGGCTTGCCGTCCTTGTACTGCGTAGCAGCGTAGCGACGAAGAAGCGTGACATAGTCTGACGACGTAATGTACTTTTGCGGCGGGTAGTCGTTGAGCACGTTCTCCACTGCGGTGAGAGTCTGCGATGTGGCAAAGGGCCACGAAGGGCCGTCCCAATGACAGCAGCTCTCCGCCTCGTACATGAACCATTTGCTCCTCCTTTCGGCAGTGGTTGGCCCATATGTGGCAGAGAATCCCTGGGGATCCAAGAGCTGCTCAAATGCAACCATGTCTGAGTCCACTTTGGGCATGTTGAACATCCAGGGAACATATCCCATGATCTCTCTGGTAGTCAACAGGGCTCCCGATGTGTTGTTGTCGCGAGCTCTGTGCATGAAGAACTTGCGCTCATCATCCCAAAGATGGTTCTGCACGGCATCTTGAAGGGCCTGCGCACGTTTCTTGTACTCCGCAGCTAGCGCCGTGTCGCCTTTCAAGGATGCAATAGCGGCGATTGCGATAGCATCGCCGTACTGGTAGGCATTGATCGTTGGGCGGAATCCGACACCACCGTGGTACGGATCGCTCGACTCATACGATGCAGGGGTAAACTCGGTCGCGTCCCAGACCGGATACTGCCAGTATAAGCCGAGGCCGGAGTTGAAGTGGTTGTCCCAGCCACGATATTGCTTGACCAGATTGTCGAGCTGGCTCAGAACAAAGTTCCGGTCCCCCGTAATCAGATACTGCCTCCATACGGAGCTGGCAGCCCAGATACTGTACTCGTGCGCCCAGTCATAAGTGTCCTTGTTCAGCTCTTCTGTCGCTGGCTTGGACAATAGGCCAGGTCCAGCAAACCAATAGTTGACTGCGTTCTGGCCATACCGCAAGTCGCGCAACCAGCGTCCCTCGTTGATCTGGTGGCCAGCCGAGCCCACAACGCCGCCGTACGGCGCGCCGTAGCCAACCGGGTGCAGGAATTCACTTGGCATATAGCCATACTGGGCACCCGTATAAACAAGGTGCTCCCTATACGTCTGCCATCGGTAGTAATAGACGTCCTGAATCTGCTGATCGGGGATATCGAGTATCGGAATGTTCTTCTCAAACCAGTCGCGGTCTTCGACGCCAGCGAGCAGCTGGGCATGATTGAGAAAATTGGTGGCAGTCACCCCTGCTGCCAGCGCCAACAAGGCGGTGCGTGCGGTGGGGAGCCCAGTCATGCTTGTCGATGAGAGGGAAGCGTCGGGGTGAATGCTGGTGGACTGGACAATTGGTGAGGCCAGACATCAGGCCTCAAGATTGCGAGTGCGATGTTTTATACATAACGCCCCGGCTAATTCTGGTAGATTTCTGGCCAAGCGATGGGTTTGTCCAGACTCTGCACGGAGTAGTCAACTGACAATGTGCCCGAGTTCTGCATGCTTAGACGCATCTCTTGGCCTATCCTGGAAAGGGCCTGTAGATCTGTGGACGGTTTCGGGCCTTTCCAGGTCGGGTGTCACCATAGAGAGAGGGGCGCTTGGGGAGAATTTGTAGATGGACCGCCTGGACCCTGGGATTATGCTAAGCCCAATGGTGTATGGGCAGCATGAACGCAAGGAGAGTTGTGATCAAGTGTCATCGGGTCGATACGCCTGCCAATTGAGATTCAACTTTGCCGCTCTCTCCCCGCGTTTCCACTATTCTTTCGGCATGGATCGTGTTGTTTTTTGTGCCCTTGTATAGTGTCTGACGGCGGCGGAGGTGGACAGAAGCGCACCACTAGGGTCAAACGTCTGCTCCGAGTCGCCGGCGGTAGGATTGGACACTCTTAATGAGACATCGTTGCTTTGCGGGGTCGAACTAGCTAGAGACGGACCTGGAGGCAAGGTGCAGGACCTTGCTTCAAGTCGTCGTCAAAGTCTCTTCGTCATGTGTTCCTTTGCTAGAGACCGCCCAATGCTTGGACACTCACCACGCTTGGCCTCTGGCTTCACTCACTTGTCGCCGTTGGGGATCGCGCCCAAAAAGCCGGCACCCGGTCGGATCCGCGGAGTATGTATGCAACAGCGCGAGCACGCCCCAGGTTCCCTTGTCCGGGTTACCAACGGCTCCGTCGGCGACTCGTTGCCATGGCTCGGGCCGGGGCCGGTGTCGAGACCGCTTGCCGCCTTGGATCGGTCCGGACTCAAGGCCCCACCACCGCCGTACCCCGAACTGACAGCATTGAAAGCAGCTTGCCGCAACCTCCAGTTGATGTAACGAGGATGCTCGCTCGTAGATTGGACGGTCGGTGGATGTTGCCTTGTCGGGTTTCCCACAATGCCGGCTGAAGCCTCAAATCGTGACGCCCAGCATGGGCAAGGCTCTCATGGAAGCGGGCAAAGAGGCTTGCTGCCGCGGCATGGTGCGCAGAATCGAAAACGCAATTGAGTCGTCTTTCCCAATATCTTGATGTCCGGGAGATGAATGGCCGCGTGGGATGCTTGGACCTGTGGCATTTGAAATGGCCGAGGGTTATCCATTGCCATGGCGCCTGAGCAGACGGCAGGGGATACTGGACACAGTGCATAAACGAGTCTGGCACTGACTTGCGCGGGTGCCCCGCCCTCCATCCCACCAACGGGCACTGTTACCACATTCAGCCTTCACCATCACAACACCACAGACGTCACTCCTCTCAAGGTCATCGCTCGCCGCCAAAACATCATCAAGCTCAACCACCGCCGCGACTCAAAGGCGCGCTCGCATCTGCCATTGCCCTGAGCGGGCTGCGCCTCGCTGATCCCTCTCCAATGTTAGACCTTCCTGAGGCGCCGTGCCCGCGAGGACCCCGTCTGCTCCACCCTCGATTCTCACGATGACAGTGTCCTTCTCCAGGTCGGCCACGCTCCGCCAGCCAGGCAATCATGGAGGCCAACAAACTCCGTCAGCCGCGACAGCCCGTCACCGCAGCCGTCCGAGAGCTCAGGGATGAAGCCATTACACTCTGCTCCAAGGTCAACAACCATGCCAAGGCGGCCAAGCTTCCGCCGGACGAGAACACCACTCGATCCCTAGCCACCGAACTTCGCCTCTTTGGTGGCACCCTCTTCAGTCTTGAGACTCTTGCCTCTGAGATCGAGCAGGATGACGCCGCTTCTGCCGGCATGATGGTTGGCACGGCACGTCAGCTTCCCTGCCTTCGACGCCTGCGAGAGCCCCTCCAGTCTGTCCGACTCCGCCTCAAGACGTTCACCCCGTACGACATCCAGCAAGCCAAGGATGAGGTAGTGGCCTGTCGCGCCACCATCACCTACGTGCTTGCCAAAGCGCGGACCTGTTCCGACTTCGTCACCTTACTATCCGTCGTGTACCATGGCAACGAGCTCTCCAAAGAACCAGAAGATGTCTGCGAATGGCTCCAGGTCTTGAACAACCCCTTCAACAACCGCCGCCCCCGGGAGCACAATCTCGAGACACTCTTTCTCGAGGCACGGCGCGCGGAATTCCCCCAGTACTCTCACGCCGCCAAGTCGTGGCCTTTTTTTGCTCGCCTTCACTGGCCGGCCGTTCAAGATCATGTCCGGGACCTCTTCGTTTTGCCACGGTCCTGGAACTTCGTTCAGTGGGCACTCGAGTTCGCGCGTACCACCTTGCCGGCGCAGTTTGGCCCGTCTAGCTCGGACAGCGAGGCCATCATTCACCTGACGGATGCCCTTTGCGATGGATCCATCTCTCCGCTTCACTTCGCCGCCGCCCTTGGCCTGCCCGAGCTTTGTAGGCAACTGATTGACAACGGAGCGGACGTCAACGTCGCTGGCGCCTTTGGCTCGCCGCTTTACAGTGCCTTTCTTGGCACCGAATTCCTCGCGGTCGGAAGCTGCCCCAAAATCTGGGCGGACATTCTCGTCCAAGATGATCACGTGGGAGCACGAAACGCGGCCATCATGGCGCTCCTGGACCGTGGCGCCGACGCAAACTATCGGTTCCGAGGCCCGGACGACCAACCCGTCCCTCTGGCAGTGCTGGCTTTCTGGCACTCATTGGATGTCAACAGCTACACCGTCTTCAAGCGGTTTCTCGCTGCCGGTGCCGAGCTGAATCAGACCTTCGCCGACGTCGTCACTCAGCCATACCTCATCGACCATGCACGCACCAACTCCGACGTCTTGTCCATTCTCCTCACAAGCGCCTTCGACGCCGCCTTCACTGTGGAGGATTCGGCGGCGGGCGACGTTATTGCCAGTGCAATCGTAGGCGTCATGCACGACTGCAGGATCGACATGACCCCGGATCCAGAGTCTGGAGGGAAGCTCGTTCACGTCCCTGACGCTACTTTTGCTGACCTCGTCGTCGACGCGGTTCGGGACGATGAGATTCTCTACTTCAAAAGGCTTGCCATGGATCCCCGGTTTGATCCCAGACAGCCTGCGGCCCAACACGACGGCGGAACCATCGCTCATCTTGCCGTTGGCGGCGATCAGCATGAAATGGTGGAAGCACTTATTGCCTCTGGCACGGACTTCACTGCGCGAGATGAAAAAGGGCGCACTCCCTTTTTGCTCGTAGAGAGTACCGCCATGCTAAAGGTCTTTGTGGCCCACTCCATCCCCACGACGGATGCCGATCATCGAGGGCGCACAATATGGCATTACGCTGCCGCCAACAACGACGTTGCTTTACTAGTGGCCCTCTGCGCCAGCGACCCTGCGCAGAAGCAGAACATGGTGGCCGTCAACAACAAGGGCTCCTCACCCCTCGACAAGGCCCTTCGGCATACAGACAAGCTTCAAAGGGTGCACGACCCCACGGGCTGGGCTGAACCGCACGCTGCACGCTATCTGCTGGAGCTCGGCGCCAATTTGAAGCTCCCGGCTCCCTACCCGCGCATTCTATCGGCCGTTGAATGGGGCGAGCTGGGTCTGGTGGAAAAGCTGCTGGAAGGCGGCGAAAGCCCCAGCGCTACCAATGAGATTGGGATGAATGCTCTTCACCATCTAAACTTCCACGCCTGCACTGAGCTAGTCGCACTTTTGCAGAAGCTCTGTGCTGGCCTGCCCGTGGCAGTGGAAAAGCCTGTGAATCCTGATTCCTTGACACCCAAGGATCGCGAAAGGCATCGCAGAAATGCTGGCCTGACCCCTGCGGAGACGATTTTCAATAACACGAGTCTTTTCACCGACGGCACATTCTTCTGCACCTCGCAACATCCCTCCTGTCGCAACGAGCTATCGGCAGAAATGTACAAGATGCTTCTCACGCCGACAGTGCTGGCATATCGGGACTCGACTGACGCATGCACGTGGGAGCGCTTCTGCTCTCGCGTCGTGACACAGTACGAATCTTACCTCGTACCGGATTCCACCATCCATGACCTCAGCTTCTACTACACTTCCCTAGTGACGGCGGTCGAGTGTCTCAAGGATTCCGGTGCGCTGGCCACGTATGAGGAGAGGACGGGTGAAGCAGCCGTGCTGTGCCTCGCCAGGTTCCACGACGACCCCGAGGGCCCCAGATACAAGTGGTTGCCCTCTAGGCTGCAACTCGTGCGCGTCATGCTCGACTCCTTTGAGAGCCCACTGACAACCGAGTTTTACGGCGGGGACGAGGTGCGCGAGCTGGGAGAGCTGGTCTCCGACCTGGATTTCGATACCATGTGGTGGCTGGAGTTGATGACGCGCATGAGCAAGTCCTACCGCCTGCGCCAGGATGACGCCGAGGAGGAGAAGGCAGAATAGGCCTTGCCTGTGCTGGGAGGAAGTGTCGTCCGTTGTACGGTGCAGTCATTCGCGTGTTGTGTTGTGGAGTCGGTTCATTTCTGGGATCTCTGGTGTTTGCAGACAGGCTTGGAGCTCTGGCTCGTTTGGGTTGGGGAGAGTCGCGAACGCTGTTCGCCATCAAAAGCCGTTTGCGTGTTTGGGAGCCTAGCGTCTCCGAGGCCCTCGCCGGCACCCATGTAGGAAGGATAGCGAGCATGCCATGTACAAGTAATGAATGCCACGAAACCATGTCTGTCGAATCAACTTGCCACACTGGCATTGCAGGTCATTCCGAGTATATTGCTAACCTCCGTGCTCGTTGCAACCGAGCAACGGTCATGATACGTCCTGTCTCTGAGATACACCAGTCCCTGTGCGGGACACCAAACGCCATGTAATGCTGCCGAGAGCCACCGGGCGAAACCAAAACCATCCGACACATGGCCGTCCGAACCCTTGCTTGCACTGAACACCCAACACCCCCACCGGCAGGCGACTTTCCTTAACCCCAAGTGCCGCCGCCACCGCCGCCCCTGCCGCCCCTCCGCTGGGCGCTGAGCCGCCAGTCGTCCTCGCCCGCGTACTTGTTGTACAAGGGCTGGATCCTCTCCTGCTGTCTCCTCTTGCTGAGCTTATCCGAGGGCGCGACCTTGAAGAACGTGGGCGCCGCCTCGACGAGCCACTTGGGCTCGATGCTGGTGGTGCAGTGCATGTACTCCTTCGTGGTCATGACGAGGGTGTGGTAGACGACCCACTCGGCCTGCTTGCCGAACAGCGCCGACGACGGGTGCAGGTAGACGGGCGTGCCCTCGGTGAGCGTCTTGTAGCCCTCCTGGGGGTCCTTGCGGGCTGCGTTGCGGAAGAAGCCCGTGCACAGCGCGCGACGGACCTTTTGCGTGTCGCGGCCGCACGTCACGACGGGGTGGCGGTACCGGTCCATGATCTTGAGGAGCTGGTCGCGGACGTCCTTGGCGCGGCGCATGGAGCGGGCTTGGATGAAGTTCTCGAAGCACCACGGGTTGGAGTAGCCGCTGTGCTTCCACGAGTTGTACACGTTGAGCAGCGTGAGGTGGTCGCCGGCCGGGTCATGGAACTTGGACTTCTTCTGGTCGGCTTGCTGCTGCTTCTCCTTGGGCCGGTAGAAGACGTTGGGCAGGTTGAGCATGGCCACGATGCTGAGCATCTCGTCGGAGCACTGATAGTCCACCGCCGCGATGAGTACCTTGGCCAGTGACGGCTCCATGGGGAAGTCGGCCATCTTTCTGCCCAGCCGCGTCAGAAGCCCTTCGTCGTCCAAGGCGCTCAGGGCGTAGAGCTCCTCCAGGGCTGTCAACATTGTATTAATGGGCGGCGGATCCATGAAGTCGAAGTGCAGCAGGTCGTTGATGCCCATGGCTTTAAGCATCAAGATCGTATGCGCCAAGTTCTGTCGCTGGATCTCGGGAATCGTGGTCGGAAGCATTTCGGACTGGTACGCCGCTTCGGTATACAGGCGGAAGCATTTGCCTGGGCCTGTGCGACCGGCTCGGCCAGCTCGCTGGTTCGCTTGAGCCTGAGAAATGGGCGTCACGACCAGCGAGTCCATGCCCAGCTTCGGATCGTAGGCGTTCTGCTTGACGAAACCCGGGTCCACGACGTAATAGATTTCGTCAATCGTGATGGACGTCTCGGCGATATTGGTGGCAATCACCACCTTGCGGCTACCCGGAGGCGCCGGGTCAAAGATGCGACTCTGCATCTCGGTGGGTAATTGTGAGTAAACGGGCAGGATAATAAGGTCTGGTACGCTCGGTCCCAAAGCCTTCATCCGCTCGAAAAGGATCTCGCAAGCCGTGTCGATTTCCTCTTGTCCTGTCAAGAACAGCAGGATGTCACCCTTGGGTTCCGTCAGGTGAATTTGCATCACCGTGACGAGAGCTGCATCCAGATAGTCCGATTCCGGCTCTCTTGAGTACAAGATCTCGACGGGGAACGTTCGTCCAGGAATCGTGAAAATCGGGCACTCGTTGAAATATGCCGAGAACTTGTCAGCGTCGAGGGTGGCCGAAGTGACGATGACCTTGAGGTCAGGTCTGTGCTTGAGCGCCTTCTTGAGGAGAGCAAACAGCACATCTGTCGCGATGGTGCGCTCGTGCGCCTCGTCAAGCATGATGCATGAATACCGTTTCATATCGGGATCCATGAGAATCTCTCGCTGCAACATACCGTCCGTCATGTACTTGATTTTCGTAGACGGGCTCGTGCAATCTTCGAACCGGATGAGGTAGCCGACGTCCTCGCCCAGCTTGCAGCCAACCTCCTCAGCCACGCGCTTGGCCACGGACATGGCGGCGACACGACGGGGTTGCGTGCATCCGATGATTCCGTCATTGGCGAAGCCCGCTTCTGCCAGATACTGTGTGAGCTGAGTCGTCTTTCCTGAGCCGGTCTCACCAACAACAATCAGGATCTGGTTTTCCCTGACTGCCTTGATGAGCTGGTTGCGGAACGCGTAAACAGGCAGCGACTCTCGCTGTTCCTTGATGCTCAGCGATGTTCTCTTGCCGAGTGGTTGGCCCTTGGGAATGACGGCCTGTTTCCACTCAGGCGCCTCTTCGTTCTTGACATTTGGCCTGGCGCTTCTCAAATCGCTGGCAAACTTGCGTTTGTCGGGGTCCGCCATGGGGTCGTGCCACTGCGCTGCCAGGTTCTCCTTGGGCTCCTCCTTCGCCGCCGCATCGGCTTCTTGCTGCTTCAACTCCTTTCTCTCCTTGGCAAGGTTCGTTCCGGACATGGCTGCTCGGTTCATGGATCCATCAGGTGCCTTGACGACTCGGATCGGCGACAGCTCTAGTGACTGCTTGGTCTGGCCGGCAAGGAACGGTGGCTCTTCTTCTCGAACTTCGATGTCCACGTCTTCTTCCAGCTCTAACTCGCCATCTCCACGCAGCGTGGCGTTGTAATCCTCTTCCAGGTCGGGGTAATCGGACGCCTTGGCCACTCCAGACGCGATGAGCTGCCGGATCTCCCACCTTTCAGGAGACGTCATGCGCTTCTTCTGGCGTTTCGGAGGCCCAAGCGTGTCGCGCGGCATCGCAGCAGGCTCCGGCGCAAAGCCGTTCCTGGCGCCGCCACCAAGAGCCTCCATGTTGGCACCGGTCGTGAACCGGGCTTGAGGTTCGAGATCCATGCCCGTCTCCTGGTCCACGTCCTTCATGGACAAGCCTATCCTGTGTCCCTCGATACTTGTGACCTTGACGAACACGTGCTGCCCCTTGGAGAGCAAATCTGACGGATGGTTGACACGCTGCCCGGCAGCTAGTCGAGATATGTGTACCAAACCGTCGACCTTGCCTCGCACATGGTGCAGGTTGACAAAGGCGCCGAAATCTTTGAGTCCCGTGACATGACCCTCATAAATCTTGTGCATCTGTGGTGTTTCATCGACTTCGGGCTCCGGCGGTCTATCGAGTCGGTCGTGTCGTTCGTGTCGTTCGTCATCGTCGTACCGCCTCCGTCCTCTCTTGTCTTTCCGTGAGTCGCGGAACCCATCCCGCCAGTCCTCGTCGCCTCGATCTTGCGAGCGCGACCGTGACCGGTACCTGTCCTTCTTGCGCCTCTCTCGTGATCGTGACCTGTCGCGCCGCCTTCGTCTCGGCTCCTTCAGGTCGTCCTCCGGGCTGCGACTTCGTTTCCTCGTCGCCTTCGATTTGCCGGCTTTCCCGTCTAGCCCTTCGAGCAGGGCCAGGGTGTCGTCTATGGCATCTGCCTCGTCGTTCTCGACCTGTCTGTCTGGAAGCGACAGCCCGCTGAAGATCTTCTCCTTCTCCTCCAGCGTCCGGGTGTGGTGATGCTCTTCTTCGCCATTTGCCGCTCCACCGTCTGGCTTCTTGAACTTGGGGTGCAGCGAGACCACCAGGCGATCCAGGCTGTCGACCAAACTCGGCGGGAAGTCGGCGCCGATGCCGTCGAGCTTCTTGCGAAACTCATCGGAAGATTTGCTTTCGACGCGCTGCGCGATGAGAAACTCGGCAAGGGTCCTGTCGCTAACACCGACGTGGTTTTGCAGCTCGGTGCTAACCTTGGTAACCAAGGACAGCAGGTCGAGGTTGAGAAGCAAATCCATGATGGCGATATCCTGCGCGCAGCAGGATGGTGGCTAGTGAACTTCCCGGCGCGTCGGCGCTCCAGAAAAGTTGGCCAAGGTGTATGTCATTTGCGGCTAAATCCCGGTTGCTGGCGGGCAGTCATCCGCCAACATATTCTAGCCTACCCTGTAGCCTGCTTTCGTCAATCGTCTTAGTCGAGAGCAAGCATGGAGCCAGGCAAGACAATGTTGGATGACTATATCATGTTAAGCTAGGAAAAGGTTCTAGATCTCCACGATGGCTTGCCCCTCAAAGTACGTCTGACCAAAACCATGGGGATAGCCAGCGTTGTGGCACACCAAATGCTGACCAACGCCGTTTGCGAACGAATCTAAGACACGGTTGGAGAACAACGCAACGTGCAGCACGATCCTGCAGCAAATTCAGCGTTCCATTGATAGTCTGCTACTGCAGCCTCTGAGATGCGCCCAAGGCCCAACGATACCAGACTAGCTGCGGGGTGCGCCGTGCATACTGTCTTCAGTGTAACCATGGACCAGTAATGAAAACCGCGTAGGGTCGGGGTCATTGTCACGACCGTACTTAACTTCGCAGCCGCCGTTGTTACGCTTACTCCAAAGTCTATTGGAAGAGTATAGCGATTCACGTCACGCCACAGTCAAGGGCTTATATCAGCTTGTCGTTCCGTTGGCACCTATTCGTGGCCACTGCCTTGGTCTTGTAGGTAGGTATTGACATATAAAACCCTGTCCCTATCCTCTGTGAGTCTCGCTCAGCCGGTGAGCAGTGACTGCGGAGTCTTCCCACTGACCCGGAAAAGGGCCAATTCTCGAGATTTACACGCCAACATGGGTGAGGCTCAAGTAACAGGCCAGTACTTGGCCAAGCTCCCCGGAGACTGCTGCACGAAAGGCTGCATCCACAAAGGCAACCCGCGCGGAGCGTACGAGACGATCGCTGGAGTGGAAACGTACGTTGTCCACCCACCACCCGAACGCGCCAACGGCCGAATTGTTCTGTACTTTGCCGACATTTTCGGTCTGTACACCAATGGCCTGCTCGTCATGGATAGCTTCGCGGACGCGGGCTACCTTGCCCTCGGACTTGACTACTTCGATGGTGTAAGTGCTCTCGACACCGGAATATTCTCCGATGAGGCGTCGCTATTCTTCGCAGAGGACGATTCGCTGATGGCTGCGAAACGCAGGACCCAATCTGGAAACATCAGCCTCCGTCTGAGGATAGCAAGGGCCAGAGCTACGACTTCCGGGATTGGATCGACCCCAGCTTTGACTTCCATGGCTGGGTCAACAAGCACATTGCCTTTGCTGACGACGCCGTGCCCAGGTGGACGGCTGCCGTCAAGCAGCGGTACGGCCAGGCCGACACCAAGTACACCTGCGTCGGGTACTGCTTTGGGGCTCCGTACGTCTGCGACTTGCTTGCCAGAGACGACGTATCGGCCGGGGCCATCGCCCACCCTGCGTCTCTGAAGGACAGCCATTTCGCCAACATAAAGAGTGCGTGCTCCTCGTCGTACTTGGCGCAGCGGACTGTGCTGTGCCGTGTAAATATGAAACGACGGCTTGCTTGCTGACGAGCTGTCTGGCCAGGACCCCTATTTCTCTCCTGCGCGCAGGTGGACTACACCTTTTCGCAGGAGTCGCGCCGCAAGGCGCTCGACATTCTGCACAGCGGCAAGAAGACATGGGAGCTGCAGCTATTCACCGACGTCGAGCACGGGTTCGCGCTGCGCAGCGACTTGGACGATCCGTATCAACGTAGGTGGAAGACCTTGCCTCTCCGTGGTAAGGAGCGACGGTTGCTGACGCGATGAACAGGCTACGTCAAGGACGCGAGCTTTCGAGGCGTCGTCCACTGGTTCGACGTTTGGCTCTCGCAGTGACTGGCGGCTTTTGCAGCCGCGTACGTGCAAGCATCGCGACATGGCTCAGGCATCTCGAGGGAATGACAACCAGGGGGTTGAGTAATCCGCAGCCAGCCGTTTGGCGCTTCGGCGTACCGACACGAATAAACACTGCAATACATGTACAGGGCGACGTAATTGTCCGCAAACCGCCGACGTTGTGATTATTCGGAAAGTGAAAGGACAAAATCATGGCACCAGCCCTGCAGTGAAACAGAGACGCACCCTGCGGCACGATTGTTGCGCCCGGATGACGTCCCTCCAGTGACTTTTGCGTCGTCGACAGCGGGCGAGGCCCCAACAGGCCTCCAGGCAGCCAATCAGGCGCGCAGCCCCGCCCCGTCGGCATTACGCAAGCGACGACCCTGTCCCGCCACTTGCGCGCCGTAAGGCTGCGCTCTAGCGCCTCTCGTGACGCCGTGGGGGGGAAGCTGGAGGCGTCAGCCGTCATCGCCGGAGGGACGGGAGCTGGTGACTCTTTTTGCCCGCATCGCACCGCCTCGCCGACTTCCATTTTCCTTCCAAACCGTGCGACTTTTTAATGTGACACGCCCTCTCCCCCGTGGAATAGAAGAAATCCGCATTGTCGCCCGTCTCGTCTCTAGAGCTCGTCACAGACGCCCCCAAGCCATGTGCTCCGCCGACATCTTCCTCGGCCTGTTGGCCATCCTCTTTCCGCCGCTGCCTGGTACGTACTGCCTGCCTGTGAACTTGTCGCACCACCCCCGCCAGAGCGCCGACTGCAGCCCGCGACTGCGACGGCGACGACGACAACGACGGCTGCCAGGCGAATACGTGCTAACTATTCCTTCCCGTATACAGTCTGGGTCAAGCGCGGCATCTGCAGCGCCGACTCCATCATCAACATCCTCCTCTGCTGCCTGGGCTTCATCCCCGGCCTCTTCCACGCCTGGTACATCATCGCCAAGTTCCCCGAGCCGCCGTACGAGTACGAAGCCCTGCCCAACGACCGCGAGGGCGGCCGCGTCACCTACGTGTACGTCCAGTCGCCCCACGGCTCCGGCTGCAACGGCCAGCAGCAGCAGCCCAGGCCCCAGGGCGGCATGAACTACGGCACCCAGGCCCAGAACTCGTCCCAGGGACAGCAGCAGCACGGCGTCACGGGCGCCGGAGAGGGCGGCTCCAACGGCGGTGGTGTCCCTCCGTCCTATGCCGAGGTCGTTGCCGGCGACCACAAGGTTCAGTCGAGGGACTAGATCTGGCGCTGAACCATACCGGAGAACCGTACGCCAGGAACAGCGCGTCGGGCGGAGCAGTAGAAATGCACGGCTCCGGACCCGGGCCCTGTTGCAGACACTGCTAGGTTCTCACCATCAACGGGATCAGACACCCGTAGAGCTGAAGGGACTTGACTTGCGGACAATCGCTCACGCATAACGTGTCAGAGGGAACGAAGAGCACTCGGGGGATTTGGCGTTGTCAGATGTGTATTCCTATTTCTACTAACAGCGTTAATGGCATTGCTCACTTGGATGAGTATCTGGGACTAGGGCGTTTTCTCCCAGAAGCTGGGTTTTATTTATCTATCTGCGCTCTCGAAGCATCCTCCAGCAATTCATCTACTCCTTTGAGACCATCTGGCGCCGCCCTCCAACGGCATGCCCCTAACGTGAAGAGAATATCCTCTTTAGTCCTCTTGGTCGTACTGTGCCTCATCTACGTACTGGTCGTGCACCGATGGCGCTGGCCGCTCGTTCACCCGGGGCATCTTGTAGTGCTTCATGAGCTGCTGAGGCAGGAATGTGTAGAACGTGGGAACCACGCTGGAGCACGCCTTGACAAAGCGAAAGCCCACGTCCAATTCCACGACGGCCAATGCCATCTTCATTCCCTCTCTCATGTTCGCAAGGGTGGCGTCTTCAAAGAACAACCACATATCGCCGCCATCCACGGACTCGGGGCGGGCGGGATGGTCCCATCCATCGTCGATGGAAGAGGGTCGGACGTAGGCTCTGCCGATAGCCGGTACACCAGCTTTGACAGTGTCGATTCTGAGCTGTTTGAACCGTTTGATAACGTCCTCGGTGGCGCGTTCGATCTGGATGACTTCGACCGTGCATCGAATCTCTTTAGTGACGACAGGACCGCGACGCTCAATCAAGCCAAACACCTCCACAAGACCAAGAAGAGCACAGGAGGCGTAGAAAACGGCCTTTGGGTCAAAGTTCTCAGGTCGAGGGTGAAGAGGAACAGCCCAATCTCCGGGATCAGCGGGCGAGAACAAGTCTGCGGCGGCGAGGTTGAAGGGGCCGGGGATGGAAGGTCGGAGTGCGTCCAAGGCCGACCACTCGTCTTTAGCATCCGAGCAGAGCTGCAGCGCGCGCTTCACGTCGTCGTCGTACTCGGGACAGACATCATGTTGTAAGACATAGCGCAGGAAGTTGGCGACAATGTCCGCTGCTAGTGCCATGCGCTCAACTTTGCCTCCGGTGAGCTCCAACAGAGGAGTGGAAAAGAAACCAGCCACAACGCCGGTGAAGTCAACAGCCCAGTTCTCGTCATCTCCATTGTAGAATCGATCGTCGCCAGTGCTGCCTTGATGGACTGTGTCCCTGGCAGTGAGGTCTCGGCGTTCCGCAGGCGTCAGATCTTTCAGGTCTTTTGGGTCGTGGCCTCCAAACTGATTCATGCCAGTGTCGATTCCGCCGAGGAACAGGTACTCGTCGAAAAAGGGTGTGTGCTCAGATTGCAGACGGCGACGATTGCGGAAACGCTGAATGCAGGATTGGATTCGGCTGCGTAAAGTCAGGTTCTATAGTCTGTGATGGAAAGGAAGGATGCGCACTCTGCGAAAGGAATATTGCTAGGAAGACTGTTAGCACCAGCCACCAAGCGCTTCAATTTTATCACTCATACCTGGAATAGACCTCGGTTCGTTCATCGGCGTGCTCCTGAGGCGTCATGGGAGGGTCGGCGTAGTATTCTATGAGTGATCAGTACGCCTCAACTCGCCCGTCGACCTCCGCGAACATTAATCTTGTGTTAAAGTACCTTCGAAGCCCGTCCCGCGGTTCTTGGGCAGGGCTGTCGGACCGCGCTGTGCCAGTGATTTCTTGCCCCTCTTCTTTCTCTTCTTCTTCGTCTTCTCAGACGTGGGTGTCTGCTCGTCTTCGGCGGCCATGCGATGGTCTCCATCTCCGCCAGAGTCCTTGGACGCCCTGGTTTCGCCAGCATGCTCGATTCTGCCTGCAGCGAGTTTTGATCCGCCGGTAACGGCGTCAGCAACCGTTTCGTGGCCTGGGCTTTTATCCATCGTGGCTAGCAAGGCTGGATCGTGCCCGATGTGTGATGTTGGGGAAGAAAGAAGACTGCGGTGTTAGAAAGGTGAACAGAGGGAAGAAGCAGTGCGAACGGAGCAGTGACGCAGGCGGTACAAGTGCAAACGGGACGTCGCGTTTGCACGAGTGGTTAGTTGACATTCAGGACAACCTGGGGCAAGCTCTGCACGTCGCAGCTCCAGCAGTAGCGGAATCGAAAGGAACGTGAACGAATAAGTCCAAAGATTTGTCCCACATTGAGAGAAATGGTTGTGGTGAACTCTGGAAGGGCAACAGGAGAGGGTCGCAGTTGCCAAACAGGTACAGTATGTGCACCTGCTTGCCTCGGCGAATCACCCAGCGAAACGGTGCGAAGAGACCTTGTTGTTTACACGCCATTCACTTTTAAACTGTCCAAGAACTTGGAATTAGGCATGGATGAGCAGCTGCACACATAGCGGTTGCACTTATTCGAAGGACTGGTTGTCACTTAGAGCGAAGAAGTACATATCCGGAATGGGTTGCATGCGAACATATGGCAAAGCTCTGTTAGGATTGCGTGGTCTCATATAGAAGTCAATTATGGCGGCTGACTTTCTTTGAATTCTGCTGGCTGTTGAGCCGGTTGAAGTCCAAAATGCGGCGACAGGACGTAAACAACACTTGATGATTGAGGTGGCTCGGACATGATTTGCATGGCTTCGTAATACCTAAAAGTGCGACAGAGTAGCTTCACTGGGAATTGGCTGATTCAGACGGCAGGCTATACCATTCTACTTGCTGGCTCGACAAGCTTTCTGAGGTTGGGCTTTCGACCCTGCCGGGCCAAGTCAAACGGAGTATCCAGGAGAGAGAGAGACGGTCTGAGCATGGGCCAACCTCCCGCGAGCCAAAGATAGGCAGCCGCACCGAATCTGGAGCAACAGCTGCTTTCCGTTTGTGGCTGCGGCTGGCTCGACCAGTGAGGCTATGTCAGGCGCAGCTTGAGGCGGGACAACAGCCGCTGCGTAACGAGCACAGGGCTCACGGTGGCCGAGCCGACAATGCTTATACAGGTTACAAGACCCTCACACTTGAGACCTCTTTCATCAATCCGAGCGCCGAAACCCGGTGACGAAACTCGGTCCTCCCGCATGCGAGACAGTCGCCCCATTGCTCACCCTTTACCTCAAAGCACGCAGAGCTCACGCCAAATGAGAAGGCGGAAATTGGCCCGCGAGGGCTGATTGAGACGTCGCGAGGGGGCTTGCTTCCACGAGCCTGACCCATCCATCGCCTTACGCCCGTCAGAAGTCCGCCTTGCGAGGCATCAAATCTCCCTCAAGTATTGTGCCAGGGAACAGGGGGTGCAGGGCCACAACAGCGGCCGTGGCGGGTCTCGAGTTCAGCACATCTTTGACCATGGACTTTCGTGCCCTTCGTACGAAGCAGGGCAATAGCCGTTGGGCTGTCGAGCAAGGTCTATATCTATAAGTGTACAAATGCTCAGCACAGGGTGGCTATACAGAGTCACAGACCGAGTGAAGACGCCCAGGGACCCTTCGCGGTGGTCGTGCCACGGATCGATACGTGCGGCTGTCCACGTGGGACGTCGTGGGAGGCTCATGGTCGATCATTCTTCGTCATTACCCAGCGCTTCACGTTGATGAAAGGACCGCCGAGGCCACCTGCTGGCAGTGTTTCAAGATCCCCTGCACAGCATGGCCAGTCATGACCGAAACGCCCGCGCTGAGCACGAGGCGGGGGTCGCCTGTATGAACATTGAAAGAGTACAAGGGGCAGTGGTTGAGCGAGGTGGCACCCGAGGCACCAGGGCACCCTGCCGGAGAATGCCTTGGCCGCAGCGCACACCTCACAGCTCCGCCTCTCGGAACTCGCTGCATCGGGGTCCAGTGGGGCTCACCTCAGCGGGGGTGCCACTGACGTGAGGCTGCAGCACGCTGTGCGGCACGCTGCACGACCTGGGCACAGGCTCAGCAGGTGCAGGTGACGTGAGCTGGGTTGGGTTGGGGAGGCGGCGGCAGCTGGGGGTCGCAGGTGGCTCAGCGCATGGATGGGCTGCACACTGACACAGGACTGGAGCCAACCGCACGACGCCCATGGATGCCCATGGTTGGGACTGTCCATCCCACGAGTTTGCCTCGGCGGCACAGGCGCGAGAGGGAGAGCGAGCGGCAGCGATGCCCGAGGGCGACACCAGGGTGCTGACTGCTGGGCTGCGATACGCCAGCGCTTGATTCGTGGCTCGCCACACGAGATGCGACTCGCGCGAGATGTGCAGCGCAGTTCGGTGCAGCCGTACATCCGTACAGTAGAGCGCCCGCGCGAATGTGTCTGCGCACCTTGTCCTGTCCTGTCGATGCCAGTCGTCGCCTCATCATCATGCGTGCGCCTCACTGCGGTGCGATGCGCAGGCGAGGTGAGCTGGAGGCCCGTGGCGAGTGCCCACTGTTCTGGCGCAGTGGGTTCGCCCACCCGCGGTCCACTCCAGCGGGATGCTGCCTGGCCGGGTACCTGGCCACCTACTGGCTGAGGTGAGGTGAGGTGACGGGAGCCCGGAGAGGTGCCAGGCTCTCCAGCTGTGGCGGCGCGGTTTGGTGCTTGCTGCAAAAAAATTCCACCCACTGCCCTCCTGGGGGCACCCATGGTCCTCCAGCTCCTCCCACCTTCGCCCCGTAGGCCAGCCAGCGACCTGCGCCAGCAGCTGGAGCCGCCCACCAGCTGCAGGGAGCCACCCGGAGAGCCGGACGGGCCCCTTGGCGGCCCAGGCCCAACCGAGCCTAGTGCCCTGCCAAGTGTCGCCGGGCCGGGGCCTGTTGGCTGAGAGTCACGGAACGAGGGTGGCTGAGGACGCGACAGGATTGTCCATCACTTTGCGCTTCTTCATCTCGCTCCATGACCACCACTGCCATTCCATTTTAACCCCGTCCGTCCCTGTGCCCCCAACGCCAGACCGCCCAGGCGACCCTCGCGCGACAAACATCCTGCCTCCTTTGTGTGCCCGTCTCACGGCTGCCCGTCGATCGCTTCTCCGCGCCCCCATAAAGCTGTCCCCGTGGCCCTCCGATGAAACCGAGCCGCCACCATCACCAGCCCATCTTCACCGCACCGTTGCAAGCGACCTCCCTCCAGCGCGCATTCACGACCATCACTGTCACCCCAAGGGCATCCACGAGACCGTCTACAACTGCATCAGTCTCCCGCCGGCACGTCGGCGGCGACGACATTGCCCCCCTCTTGGACGTTTCCGTTCCCCCATAAAGAAGAGAGTTGCCGTCAGCTCTCTTCGCCTCCTCTATCCTCTCCCGCCACGCGCAACCGTCCACAAACATCCACCATGGTTCCTAAAGAGCTACCCACGCGCGACCAACTGCGCGACTACAACTATGCCGTCGCTGGACAGTGAGTACCTACCCGCGGTCGCCGCCGTTGCTGCGCCTCTCGTGCTACCCCAAGGCATGCGCTGATTCGTGACGATGCAGTGCCGGCACCCTTTGCGACGCCGAAGGCGAGCTTTTCATCAAGCCATGCACACAATCAGAAATCGATTTCTACCAGTCCGCCAATCGGCGGCATCCCGACTTTGCCGAACTGATGCCCCTCTTCATGGGCTCGTTGATGCTCAGCGACCCGACCACCGAAGGCATTGACGATGCCATCGCGGGGGTCATTTCCGACTCTGGCGATATCAAGACGACCAAGGAGCAGATCGTCGCCTCGGTTGCCCAGCAAATAAAGAACGCGCCGCTCGACCTCTCCGAGCCCTCATCTGAGTCACAGTCCGAGTCGCAGTCCGAGGACAACATCTCGTGGATCCCGACAAAGGGCAAAAAGATCAAGACGGACAAGGCCGTCGTCCTCGAGAACGCGACATTTGGTTTCAAGCAAGCAAACATTCTCGACGCCAAGCTCGGCGTCAGGCTATGGGCGGACGATGCGCCGCTCGAAAAGAAGCGCCGCTTCGACAAGATTTCTTCCGAGACAACACACGGCAATCTCGGCTTCCGCATCGCTGGTATGAGGGTCTACCGCGGGTCGGAGGATCCTTCGGACCTGGATGAGGAGGATTACAAAATCTACGACAAGGACTATGGGCGCCTGTCCGTCAACGACGAAAATGTTGTCGATGAGTTCCGCAAGTTCGTCTTCAACAAGGCTGCTGGCATCGACGAGGAGCTGGGCAAAGCCGTCTGCGCAGCATTTGCTCGCGATCTGAAGAGAGTAGTCGACGTCATGTCTCGGCATGAGAGCCGCATGTTCTCGTCGTCGCTCCTCTTTGTATTCGAGGGTGATGGCGAGGCCCTCCGCAAGGCTATCGAAGAGAACAACGCACTCGTGGAGTCCGCAGTCGAGGAAAAGGTATGCTTGGACCGCACGACAAGCCGGATCGACAGCGGCATTGGCCTCGACGACTCTGACAGCGACGACCTCGAGGAGCTGGAGGTCTCGCTGCCCCAGATCTATACGTTGAAGATGATCGACTTTGCACACGCACAATGGACACCAGGGCTGGGCCCCGATAAAAACATCCTTACCGGCGTGAGGAGCTTGGAGCGCATCTTCCAGGAGATGGCGCAATGACCGCAACGACGAAGAACAAAACAAAACGCGAGAAAAGACGTCCTTTTGCGTCATGGCTGTGCGCGGCTGAACGAGTAGCGCTTGATGACAACGACAACGTTAGATGATGAACGGGAGTCTGTGGGATGGGTATACCCGGTGGGCTACATCATGAGAGTTGATTCTGCTGTATTATTTTCACGGGCATGTATGCATGGGGAGGCGATCACCGGCCTTTTGAACTGTTACCTCATGGCGTTGAAGCGAAGCTGGAAGGGCATGTGGCCGGTCGGGTAGAGCATTGCGCCTCAGCGGCAAACGAAGGCGCTTTAGAAATCTATTTGCATGATGAACCCTTCACGATGATGCATTCTGGGATTACATATGCGCATTGCCACAAGGGTGCTTTTGATTTTCGGGCACTCGGCCATGTTCTTCGGCCTTGAATGGCAGTGTTCAACAGAGCCTATACTGAGGTGCTCCAGCCCCTACCAAGAGCCCCAGTCTGCAAGTCGGGCTGCCCAGGCTGCCAGGGACCGGGCCGCCCCACCATCACACCCCTCCACCTACCCAGCAAACTCCCAGGCGGGCTCTCGAATCCGGCAAGCTTCCCGGTGCCAGACCTCCAACCTTGACTCTGCAACAGTTTCTACTCCGTACGCATCGTCATCCATGTAGCCCCAGTCATGTCAATCCCAGGGCTAGGGCAAATACCGACTCAAGTAAACACCCAGAGACTCTCGAACCCGCGACCTGGACCGCGAAGCTGACATTTCCTCCCGCAGCAGGCCGCCACCTCGTCCACGCGCGTCGTCTCCCTCAAGCCCGCCTGGGAATGGCGCTTCCAGATACCCGTCGGCCGCAGCCTCGGGCTTAAGGTCCTCTCCGGTACCGCTGAGAAGGACGGCATCGAACTCGCCCCGCGAAGCACATACACCCTCCCCGGGGGCACCGCGTCCAAGATTCTCACGTGGCACGGCTGCGAGCTCGAGATCGAGGGTCGCTCGGACAATGGCAGCGACTCCGTCGCCGAATACGCGACACCAGCGGCGAACCCGGCCAATGCGCATGTGAATCTCCATGCGCGACTCAGCGAGCTGCGCGCCGCTGCTGCGCGCGAGGGGAGAGAAGGCCCTCGCGTGCTCATTACGGGGCATAGTGGCGCGGGTAAGACTGCTCTTACGCGCACGCTGACGAGCTACGCGACGAGGCAGGGCGAGCAGCCCCTTACGGTCAATACGGACCCGCGCGACGGCATGCTTAGCCTGCCGGGCACTCTGAGCGCGGCCGTCTTCGCAACGGTCATGGATCCCGAGGCGCGCGATGGCTGGGGCGGCACGCCGACGAGTGGGCCGAGTGTTGTGCCCGTCAAACTGCCGCTCGTCTACTTTTACGGGCGAGCGGACGCCGAAGAGGAGCCCGACTTCTACAAGGCGCTCGTGAGTAGGCTAGCCGGCGCAGTTAGCGGGCGGTTGAGCGAGGATGTTGATGTGCGCAGCTCAGGAGTCCTTGTGGACGGGACAGGGCTGAGCGAGGACAATACCGTGGCCATGGACTTGCTGGCCCACGTCGTTGACGAGCTCTCCAGTACGTTGGCCCAAGACAGTGGCGCCCATTTACCCCCAAAGTCATGCAACTGACAGCTGTGCTAGTTAACATTGTCGTCGTGCTCGGGTCGACGCCCTTGCACGCTGAGCTGGGCAGGCGGTTCGCGAGCGAGAGGACGAGCTTGGGCGAGCCGATCCAAGTGGTAGGCTTGGATCAGTCAGACGGCGTGGTCGAGCGAGACGAGTCCTTTGCCGAGCACGTCCGCGAACAAATAATCAAGGAGTATTTCTTCGGCGACGCGAAGCGGACACTTAGCCCGCAGATCCAGCAGGTCGATTTCGACAGCCTGATCATTTACAAGGTGGCTGACGGTACGTCCGCCCCTCTTTCCACCCTCCCCGGGAACTCTTTTCCATTCTGCCTTTGGGGACGCAGAAGAAGCGGTAGAGCTAACGAAGCCCAGATTCTGAGGAGGCGCACGGGCCGGATATGCTCGTGCGGGAAGAGCCGTCGTCGCTGATGCAGCACTGGACGTTGGCGGTGATGCACGCGGCCAACAAGGACCCGGCAGAGACGGTGCGCGCGGCGAGCGTCATGGGGTTCGTGTATGTGTCCGACGTGGATGAGGAGCGGCGCAAGGTCAAGGTGTTGGCGCCGATCGGGGGCCGGCTGGGTGACAGGCCGCTCGTGTGGGGGCGGTGGCCGGAGCCGTACATGAACCTCCTGGGGTAAATGCCGTTCTGCGTTGGCGACAATCAGCCTTGGTGGATAGAAGATATCAGTATCAGCAGGAACACAGGTTTCGGCATGGCCATCAACCACTCTACGAATATCTGAGAATATCACTACGAGCGGATGACACTTCGTCTCACTAGATCTCTGGGTCGACGGCGAAGTCGGAGCAGCGAGACTTGGCGTTACCATGACCTGATTTCCAGTAAACTGATTGATCTATACACACAATGCTACTTGCCGAGAAAACGTGATCTGCTGCCGTTATTGAAGACCAAGTATGACATGTCACGCAAGCGACCGACCAACCTCATCAGCGGAACCGACAGCAGCATGAAAGCAAGGGAAGCTCGCTTGAGGCAACGGGAAGCTCGGCGAATGCCCTGATTGGACGTTTCAGGGGCAGATAAGCGCAACCTCAGGGTTCTAGATTGCTTCGCCTCAGAAGGGCAGGAGAAGTCGTCTAGATGCCGGCTCGGCTGGGCACCGTACCAAAGTACTCTTGGCGATATCGACGATGACGAGTACAAGTCCACCCCGCTTGTTTGCACAGCCACTCCTGGCGGGCGCAGAAAGAGCTTGATCGACAGGGAACCGTGGGCGTCTTATTTTTTACGTTGCGAGTTGCATGAAGACGAAGGGTCCAGAAACTCTGAGAGCAAAATGCCGGGGCTGCTCATGGGACGGCCATCCCGGGATGGCGCCGGCGGCTGAACGCTGCGACTTCAAGAAGCAAGCATACTGCCGAGGGCGGCAGTCCGTACCGAAGCTGTTGCCGACGGCCACGTAGGCGCGCATGGAGGAGAGACAGCCTGGAAATCGCCGTGGACGGAGCGGCCAGTGGGACCAAGAGGCTCACGGTCCCGCCAGCCGCGGCGGAGGCGGACCAGGGCGGCGCGCCGAGAGTTTATGCTTAATTGGAAGTGATAGCGGGGTTACAGCGGCCTCCACCGGCCTGGAGGGGCGCGGGGCCCGTCGAGGGGCAATGCCCGTGTATTGGAGAAGCAGGACAGGAAGTCGTCGTCAAGCTCAACGAGAACGACAATATCGCTGGCAACCAAGAAACAAGGAGATGCTTCCCCGGTGCGTACGTAAGACGTTGGACCGGGTTGGGCGCCACAGGGTATGCCAAGCGACCGGGCATCGAGGTGAGGTGAAGATGACGAATGGCGCAACAGCGAGGACAGAGCAGCACGAGAGAGAGGCACACAGCGGGGTGGGGGCGGCTTCGAGTTCCAGTTCGCTGCTTCACCTCCGCTGTGGGCTGGCTCACCCCCCGGTTTGCCTGAATAGCAACGACTTGCCACGCCGGGATGGAGGCGCAGCCACTGGGCGAATGGGCGCCATCTGCTGTTGGTTGCTAGCGCTCGCCGGAGGTATCAGGGCACGCGCACTCGAGCATGCGCCGTTGTGCCCGGCGGGATTGCTGATTGGGCTGCCCGTTTGGTGGTTGCTCCAACTGTCGCCGCAGAGGGCATGCAGCGGGGAGCGCGGCAAGTCGACAGGTCGACCCTGGCATCCGCACTCCTTGTCAGTATCGGGCGCTCGACTTCCAGAAGCTCCAGCGTGCGACTGCAAAGACGTTCTTTACGGGCTGGTCATGCGCAAACGTCAACGCCCCGGCCGGACACCCGTAGCCCGTTCCCAGAGATGCCATCCACTTGCCTCCGCCAAAGAGGCCATGATGTGCTCGACTCGCATTATCCTTTACACCTAGTGCTGGGCTAAGCTGATTGTGGACGCCGCGGCGCCGGGACACAAGGCGATTGTCCCCCCCGGGCCGGGCTAACTCCCCCAGCCGCCACAACGGAGACCAAGCTCCTGCCAGAACCCAATCTCGACGATCCCCTCACGATGTTGTTCTTGGCGTGCCTCCTTACAGTGGGGTGCTCGCTCTCTCGTGTCCCAGAGGGGGGCAACGCCCTGTGGAAGTGTCCTATGCGCCTCCCCCGCAGCGAGTCAAAGTTGGCCGCACCCGCCGCACTACCTGCCACCTGGGCTGTCACGTCAAGTGGTCGTGATTGATGCCCTGGGCAGGCTGGCCGGCCGGTCTGGGCCAGACCTTGAATTCCTGACTGCACGCTGCCCGATTCAGGTTGCAAAGATGAGATGTCGTCGAGCAGAGGACGGTGACTGGTGCTTGTTCTCGTAGATGCAGCCGCTTGCTGCAAAAGCCGGACGCCGTCAAGTACACGGGCAAGACGGGGCAGGTAGGGACGTTGCTCGCTCCTGCCATCGTTGTTTCCGCTTTACCCGTCGGTAGCCAGAGAGCATCGTCGACCCAAGGCTTGTCTCGTCGTTCGCTCCTGCCCTCGAGTCTTGGCTCGCCCTCGCCCTCGCCCTCGCCCTCAAATACAGCCCGGCTTCCTTCCTCCACTCCCCCCTCCCTCTTCCTCCTCTCTCCCTCTCACCACCAGGCCTCACTCGCCTCTCCAGTCCCAACCCCCCTCCTTCTGAACCCCCCGGAGACTACCAAGTTCGCTCGGTAATCTTGCACTTCGTTCCCTTTGGTACCTAAGGTTCCTGCAATCACACCCCGCGCAACACCCCCAAGCGTCCTCGCTCGCACACCAAGCCCGCACGGCGGCTCGCGCATACACGTTCGATGGGAGAAACCGTCGATTCTAGTACGAATGGTGCACAACACGCCAGCTCCTCTGCGAACTCGTCGGCCCTTGGCGGCGCCGGCGGCCAAGACGACCAGCCTCCTATAGCGGAGCCCAAGCCGCCCGACATAGTATACAGCACCGTAGATGAGAAGCTCGCCGCAGCTCCAGCCATAGCAAGGCCGGCCTGCCCCCACACCGTCTCGGCGCAGGACATCGCCGACCGCCTCGGCACCGACGCCGAAAATGGTCTGAGTCCCGACGAGGCCGCCGCCCGGCTTGTCCGGGACGGCCCGAACGCCATTGCAGGGGCCAAGGGGCCTTCCCTCTGGGAGCTCTTTGTCCAACAGGTCGCCAATGCCCTGACTGTTGTTCTCATCGCCGTCGCCGGCCTGTCGTTTGCAATTAGCGACTACATCGAGGCCGGCGTCGTCGTCTTTGTAATCGTCCTGAATATTGTTGTTGGGTGAGTCCATCTCCAGGGTATGAGTGCGGCGCATTACCGTCTAACAAATGGCCAACAGACTTTGGCAAGACTACAAGGCGGAGCAGACCATTCAGTCGCTTTACGCGCTCTCCACGCCAAACTGCAAGGTCGTCCGCGGAGGCCGCGATGAGACCATCAAGGCGGAGACCCTGGTGAAAGGCGATCTCGTCTCCCTTGTGACTGGCGATGTTGTCCCCGCCGACTTGCGCCTTGTGCAAGGCATCAACATCTCTACCGACGAGTCTCACTTGACGGGCGAGTCCGTGGCCATCAGCAAGAAGCCCGATGTCGTTTTCACGGACCCCGACATGCCCGTTGGCGACCGAACCAACCTCGCCTTCTCTGGCAGTTCTGTCACTCGCGGTCGCGCCACCGGCATCGTCATCGCAACCGGAATGGAGACCGAGGTTGGCCAAATCGCAGAGATGCTGCGCAAGACAAAGAAGGAAAAGGACGGTAGCAACCCCGTGTTCAAGGCCTTGTATGGCGTCTACCAGACCCTTCGTAACTTGCTTGGCTTGGAGGGCACTCCCCTGCAGGTTACGCTTAGCAAGTTTGCCCTGCTTCTCTTCGGGCTCGCCGTGCTCTTGGCCGTCATTGTCTTCAGTGTCAGCCTTTGGCACATCACCGACGATATTCTCCTATACGGAATATGCGTCGGCGTCGCTGTGATCCCCGAGTCGCTGTTGGCCGTCCTGACGGTCACGATGGCCGTTGCCACCAGAGCCATGGTCAAGGGGCATGTCATAGTGCGACAGATGCCCTCTCTCGAGGCCGTCGGCGGCGTCACCAACATTTGCTCGGACAAGACCGGAACTCTCACCCAGGGGCGAATGATCACACGCAAGGTGTGGCTGCGAGACGACCTGACCGGTTCTGTCAAGGACACCAGCGACCCCTACGACCCGGGCAGCGGAACCGTTTCGTGGTCCGGACCCCTCGCTGATAGCATTCTCGACGCATTCCTCACTACTTTGACGCTGTGCAACAACGCAGCGGTCACGGACGGCAAAAAAGAGCCCGAGACAGACTCTAGTAGTGTCACGACGGCCATGGAACCCGCGGCTTGGAAGGCGATCGGCGAGCCCACCGAGATTGCCCTCAAAGTGTTTGCCATGCGGTATGGTCGATATAAGACGTCAACCGACAACCTGATCGAGGAACACCCGTTCGACTCATCTTGCAAACTTATGAGTGTCGTATACGGGAGCCCTCTTGACGCCGAGCGCAAAGTCCATACCAAGGGCGCCGTTGAGGTCATGCTTCCAAGGCTCGACGAGAGCGACGCGCTGAAAAGAATGATCCACAACAAGGCCGAAGAGCTCGCCTCCCACGGGTTGCGCGTTCTCTGTATAGCCGACAAGGTGATGTACGGGAATGCTGCGGACTTCGGGGACAGGGCCAAAGTCGAGTGCGACCTGCGCTTCCTCGGCCTGGCCGGTCTCTACGACCCGCCTCGCCCAGAAACGGCTGGAGCCGTGCGCCAATGTCGAGAAGCCGGAGTCACTGTTCATATGGTGACGGGAGATCACATCAAGACGGCCACAGCCATAGCATACGAGGTGGGCATCTTGTCCAGGCATGCTCCCCTCCCGCCAAACACAGTCATGTCCGCGGCCGACTTTGGTGCTTTAACCGACGAAGAAGTCGATGCCCTGGACGCGCTCCCGATCGTCATCGCCCGATGCAGCCCTTTGACGAAGGTTAGGGTCATCCAAGCGCTGCATCGCCGGGGCGCATTTTGCATTATGACGGGCGATGGAGTCAACGACTCTCCAGCACTGAAGCAGGCAGATGTCGGCATCGCCATGGGAGATCGCGGCAGTGATGTCGCAAAGGAGGCGTCAGACATGGTGCTGACGGACGACAACTTCGCGTCCATTGTGACAGGCATCAAGGAGGGTCGGCGACTTGCCGACAACATCCAGAAAGTTGGTCTGCTGGTTCTTGCATTCACGGGCGTCGCTAACAGCTGATAGTTTCTTCTGCACCTACTTACGTCCAACCTTGCCCAGGTCATATTGCTGCTCATCGGCCTCGCATTCAAAGATGACCACGGTGTTCCTGTGTTTCCCTTGTCGCCGTTGGAAATTCTTTGGGCCAACCTCGTCACTTCGTCTCCCCTTGCGCTTGGTCTTGGTCTCGAAGAGGCTCAGCTGGATATCCTTCAGCGACAGCCTCGGCCATTGAGATCTGGCGTGTTCACTCTAGAGCTGGTGCGCGACCAGCTCATGTACGGAACCTTTATGGGATCGTTGTGTCTTGCTGCCTTTATGCTTGTCGCCTATGCGGCTGGAGGCCAAGGATTCCACGCCTTACCACATGGCTGCAACGACGGCACAGAAGTTGGAGTTTGCCACAATGTGTATCGCGCTCGTGCTACAACGTTTGCGACGCTGAGCTTCCTTCTATTGGTCACGGCCTGGGAAGTCAAGCACTTTCGACGAAGCCTCTTTGCTATGGACGAGCGGTGGTCGGGTCCGTTTTCGATCTTCAAGACTGTGTACCACAACCGCGTCCTGTTCTGGGCCGTTGCCGGCGGGTTTGTTCTCACGTTCCCTCTCGTTTACATCCCCGGCTTGAATACGATCGTATTCAAGCACCAGGCAATCTCGTGGGAATGGGGTGTGGTATTCGGCTGCGTCGCGGTATACGTTGCCCTCATTGAGGCGTGGAAGGCAGTCAAGAGGAGCCTGGGACTAGGCGAGGACTGGCGCTGGGTAAGAAAGGGCACAGACAACGTTTAGGTGCCGGCTTGCCTGTCTAAGCTCAAACAGGCGGTGGGTGGGAAAGATTCGCGAAGCAGGAAGGGTGCACGTGTCGAGAAGCGTGTGGATTGCTAGGGAGCTGTGTGGAAGCGCGGACAGGTTTTAGGATATTGGATCTTACGGCAACAATGTCTAGCTAGCATACGTACTATTAGTATCCTCGAGCAAATGATTTTTCCTGTCCGTACATTTCCTGCTCTGGCTACTCCATACTTTGCGCACGAATTGCTTCTTTTCCTTCTCCTTGATGAATCGTATGCCCGAGGCGTAAGCTCGGTGATCACGTCGAGGAGGTGAAACCGGGAGCAGAGCTGGGTTCTCTAGCATTCAACTAATTCGACTCACAGTCCGGCCCTTGCGTGGCGTCATAACAATCAGCGCTGGGCGGCTACACCGTTCAGATGCAGTCGGCTCATCAGTACAACCAGCATTATCAACGCCGGCAAAGAGACGTTCAATATCCGATCCATCCAGTTATCTTCGCTCATTAATACGTGAGAAAAGGTGTCCCTCACGAGCCGTGCACTTATTTCCCCCAAGCCTTGATTCGCCCGGCGGGCGGGCGCGGTCTGGTCGTTTGAGAACCTTGATGTCCCGTCCCAATCTGCCCGCTCTCCAACCACGCAAGGCGACCAACCTTGATGGCCTCACAACGCGCACGAGTCACGGCTCAGCGCGGGCGGGCTCTACTACCTGCTCTTCGCGACGGGCCGTTGGCACACCCAAACGGCGGCATGCGGCCCCCCTTCTCCTCTCACCCGGACCCAAGTTTTTGTGTTTCTTTGCTCGCGGGCTCATGACTGAGACACTGACCGGTTTTTCGTCCTTGGGTGGTGCTACTGGTGGTGGTGGGAGTGGTGGGAGTGACGTGTGCAAAGGATATAAGGCTCGCCTTGGGCCCGCCTCCCCGGTCGATTCTCGAGATCTTTCCCTTCCTTTTTGATTTTCTGCGCCGTCCTGCTCAGAACAGGAGGAGTCGATACACCTGGATGCCTTCAATGTGGCTTTGTCGGTCGTCGCTCTCTCTGTTCAACGCCTCCTCGCACCGGTTGCTGCTCTGTCTTGGTCAGCCATGACACATTACCCTCATGGACACAGAGCGTTGCTCGCGGCGGAGAGCACATCAGCCCGATGAGTTGAAGAACGAACTGAACGAACTGTCTTCTTTGCTTTGGCTTCCGCGTTCGACGCAGATTCATCCACGACAGGTCTCGTCAGTTATCAAGAGCGAGACCTCACGCCTGGGAGAAATCTGTCCGGTGTCACCGATCTGGTCCTTTGGCCTGCTTGCTCACCGTCTTGGTCATCAGGCGGGCCCGGGCCCGCTGCCTCTTCGCAAACAGGCAAGTCTATCCTTGGGTCCGTTTCCTTGGTCGTTTTTGTCTCCTTCCCCTCTTCGCCTGAACCCCCGTCCTCCACGCGCGCGAGAGCCAACAGCCGCACCTCCTCCTCCTCCTTCTCCACCTTCTCGCCGTGCGTCGTACCGACGCCCGGGTCGTCGGTTCTCGCGGCAGAGATATTGCTTTTGCCATCCTCTCAGCCGATCCCCTTCTCCTCACCATGAGCCGGCGTTGGCCGAACCAAGATCTTCCCCCCACGGTGTGCTGTCCATGCGTCTCTCTGCACTTGGCATGGTCCCGGGCCGAGGCGTTTTCCACCTTGCCGCCTATCCGCGGCATTTGACCGAGCGCCCTCCAAGCCTCACCTCAGCTCCTTTGGGGGCCGTGACAGGGTTTGGACGAAAGACTGAACGGCTCAGTTGCCTTCCTTGATCTTCGTTCCCCCAGTTGGGGTCTTCCTTTGGCACTCATCCTACATCTCCCCTGGCCTCGACTCCAAATGTTGTCCAGGAGAGCGCCTGCCCCTCGTCTGAGAAGCCATTCCCGGACCATGTGTGCCGGCGTTGGTCCCAGCGCGCGCTCACCTGGTTCGTGGCTTGGTGTTACAAATGCTCAGCTCGGTTCAGGCTTCACACCCATCAGTGATGGGGGACGCTGCGCCATGGAAGTGTTCCAGGTTGCCACGACTTGGCCACCTTGGTCCAATGGCTCGGGGCCGTCGGACGAACGCGTGTTCCCGCGTGGTCCTTGGCCCGCGTGGGCACCCGAGGTCCGCTCTTGGTCATGCCGAAACCTCCTCAAGTCCACTTTCATGCATCGTGTCGGCGGCAAACGTCGTCATGTCTGGTCTCATGTCTGGCCGAAGCTTGAAAGACGTGGTCATGCCGTCCAGATGCTTCGGTCGCGATTATTGACATGCCTGGTTTGTTGCTTGTTGGTTTCGTATTTTCCTTGAGCAAGTGCGCATATCATGTGGTCTTATTCCAGCAAAGGGTGTTGCCCCGTTGGTCCAAGTGCCACTGTTCGTCGGATGCAACATCCCTTCTGGGACTTGGCCTTGGCCCCGACTGGCTAGTGGCAAGTATACCACGCGTTCGTCGATAGCTATTCCGCATATGAAGTCATATGCGTGACCTGGCAGTAGCTGGTCTTCCCCCATTGTGACACATACCAAGACACTTTCGTCTTTCCTTCCGACATGGAGGTACCAGGACATGGACCGTTCCGGCATCTTGACCAAGACGATTCATGCCATGTCATCTTGGCCTGCCTTGGAGTCAAGACAGATATGATATGACCCATCACTATGTGATCTCTGCCATAACGACTCTTCACGACGTTTCGTGTTAGTCATGCTTAGTGTTGTAGCGGTCGTGGATCGTCCCTGACGTCCGCGTCCGAACTCGGCAAGCCGAGGCGTGGACGCCCATGTCCCCGTGAGGGTCTCTCGCGGCCCAATCACACCGTCTCCATCACCCTACCTGGGGTCAAGATGGAACACCGATGAGCGGGGAGCTTCTCGTGAGGCTGGCGACGTTCAAGAATCAAGCGGCGGTGGTTGGCTGGTGCGAGAGCAGGCTGCAGCGTTGGTGCGGCCGCGAGCTGCAGCTGGGCATCATCAGATGCGTCTGCACAGGTCCCGGTGTGAATGGCCCGATATGCACCATGTAAATCAGGCAAAAGGGTGGAGTTGGGGGGAGCTTTTGCTGCGGGCTGGCACGAGTATAAGAAGGGCCGGATGTGCCGCATCGGAACTGCTCTCTTTTCTTTCTTCCCAGACAAAGCAACAAGAATCAGAAACAGCTCTCATATAAACCAAATTCGAAGTTTTTCTCTTCAGAATCTACATCAAGATGTCTCCCTGGTAAGAAGGCCCCCTTGGAGCTCGACGGCTCGACTCGACGACTCGCGACGATATGGCTGCCGACGGGCCGGGCGAACAGCTCGCCTGCTACACTGGACAGACCTCGTGCTGACGATCTGGCAGCGAATGCTCCAAGTGCTCTTGCTCTGGCAACTGCAACAGCTGCTCTTGCACCAGCTGCGGAGTGAGTGACCTTCCTACCTACCTGAGCGAAAGCCGCATGTTGCCACCGAATCCTCTTTGCTGACGAGCAACGCGCAGCACTAAATCGCGATGCCGCCACCCGATCCGACGCCGACCCGATACACCGGTAGCCAGGCCCTGACGGCAGCTCTTCACTGAGCCTGCCCGCCGAGCGGGCCTGCTGCTGCCTCCGAAGCGCCAGGAAAGGAATCATTGTGTCTGCGTGTGCGTTCAGATCGGACAAGAGGACACAGAGGGACACGGTCTGCTGGGTAGATGACGCTGTACTACACAGTAGCGATAGTCAACTTGTGTTCTCTCTCTCGTGTCACTTTAAACGGGCTCTTGAAATCCACCGTGAAAGAAGAAACGCAGGTCCTATTTGGACTCTTTTCTTCCCATGCGAGGACTGGACTGGACTGGAGCGGGGGATGGAAGCCTGATGTGGTGCGACCCGAGCGCCGACTGGAGCTTGACCGGCGAGTCGCAAGCCCATTCTCGCCTGCAAGTCCTGTTACAGACTGAGGACGACTGCACGGCACTGCAGCCAAGGAATCGCCCATACACCACTCGACGCAGGAGGTGGTGGGCACGGGGCGGCACGGGACAGGCGTGACTGGCTCTTCCGCGGCCAAGTCAGCAGGTCGTGCCTTGGCCGCCCATAGGATAGGTCAAGACGGGCTGTGTGATGCCCGGACCGGCGGGCCACCCAACTATAGGCTGGTTATCAGATGTACGTACAGTAGTACTTACTCTACGGCTCGTAAGCTGTACGCGAAGGAGCGAGGATTGACGATGGGTGGACGACGCTGGTTGGTGGTGGGGCCACGGAGGCACCTAAGCAGGCGGAGGGGTTGCTGGCTGCATGACATTGTGCTTGCTGGTGGCCCCCGGCAGAGAGTTGCCAACGCATCAAGCAAGCGGGGGCGGCGGCCGAAGGCATCGAGTGCAATGTTGCATACATGTACATACGTACAACCCGGGCGGGAGAAGGAATGGAAGCCGATCGCAGCGACAAAGTGGTTGAGGTATTTTCCGCTTCCACGTGCACTTGGCCTGTGGCTTGTTCCGTCCGGGCGACATGCGCAGGCAAAGACGGGCGGCACATCACGTTTCTTTATGCCAGTGGTGGCTTTGGAGGATGTGAGCTGGGGCGGTCCGATTCTACCCGTTGAGAAGCCCCCCCGCAATGACGGTAGATCTGGAGACTTCAAGACGTCTGGCATCCGGACGGGTCAGTTACTGGGACCAGAATGTTCAGTTTCAACTCGGGTCCTTCCAGGGCATGAAGGCCCTCGGCGAAAGGCGGAAAGTATGTTTGCTTGCTCATCCGCTCATGCACAGCCGCTCAAGTCGAAGAGGGGCGCGCGGGCGGGCACGGTACGATCAGGCGGAGCTCCACTTCGTATAGTACAGTAGGCAGTCAGTCGGTGCCGTCGGAACGGGCCGTGCGGTGGCCCACCTTCGACCGGCGTGGGGCGACTTCGAGGGGGTCGTCGACATTCCTGGTCCGCGGGTCGTGGAAGGGGGTGTGCGCCGAAAACCGGTGCAAAGGGACTGGAGCTTCTAGAAGATTTATTACGAGTGCTGTGCCGCTTTGCGCTTTTGCTAGTATGCGGGTCGCAACCCGAGAAGTTGGTATGGTAAAGGCGGGTAACAGAGTTATCTATGTGGTCTGCCTGCTACCGTCAATGCAGCAGTGACAGTGTGAGGCATTGTTGAAGGGATGGCATGAGTGGAGGGGGATCCTTCACAAAGCGTCATGCGGGGGATGTCAGTGGCGCGGCATGAACATCCCCTGAGCTGTACCCCATGAACCATCCAGGGATCAAAAAGCTCTTGTTTCCTTTTCGTGCTTGTCTTCATGCAAGCATGAATAAGCTCTTGGTGCTGGCTCCATGTTTCCGGGTAGAGTCGCACGACACCAGCAGGGACGACTACGAGGGGTGGAAAGCTCGCCAGGGGGCAACCCCTGCAGACACGAGGGCTCGGTATTCTAGAGAGGATCTGCTCGAAGAAACATGTTTGTCTGTAGCAGCTGGCCCTCGTTGGGACTGGCAGAGCTCCAGATCTGGTGCATTGCCGAGGCTAGCGGGCGGCGCAGCCAGGGCACTTGCTTGACCCCCCTGGTCGCAGCTCTCATGTCAACGTGCAACGACATGCCTGTTGTCTGATAGATGTGAGGACTGAAACTTGAAGCAGCAAGAATGATGGTCCTGCAAGGCATACGTTGCCCTTCATCGTTCTCGGTCAAGATCTCATTCAACCTCTTGTTCCGCCGCATAACCCAAGTTCGAACGTCATGCGTAGATCGTTGTGGCCACATCAAACGGCCCCGATGTGCCTCACAGACAAGGGGCATCAATCACACGGACTGCCTTCTCTTTCCTATGTCACGACGCCGAGAACAGAGTGGACGGCTGAAGGAATCAAGCAATGTCAAAGCCAGGGAGCTTAATTGGGTACAACATGCCGTGAATTAAGACGTGCCTGCATTTGTTCTGCGTCGCCCCGGCGCCACACTCGGCGGCAACCTCATCCCGGGCAACGACAGGCGCCGATGCTGCCATCAACACATGTAACCTCAGCTCCTTCATTAGCCTAGCGCCTCTATATGCAGCCCCAGGGTATGTCCAATCGATCATCCGTTAACCAAGCAAGAAAATATGCGCCAAAAATATGAGTCCATGGGGACCGAAATCCAAGCACGTAGTGGAAGAGCTGGCATCAGCGTCGCCTGCCCTCCCGGTGGTTGGGTTTTCCCTTCCAGTCTCGTCATTACATCCCTCATCTCGCCTCGCCTCAGCAAACACTCATGTCTTGACGGGGTGCATGGCCATGTTGGGGATGTACACCTTGCCGTCCTGCACGCGCAGCATGCTGGGCATCTTGTCGTCGTGGGTGTCGCCGGCGAACCACACGTCCATGATCTTGCGCGGCCAGGCGGCCGTCCACCACCAGGTGAGCCCGCGGTCGGCGAAGCTCTGGGGGTCGCCGTGCGAGAGCCCGTCCTCGGAGTGGGCCGGGTCGTTGCCGAACCAGGGCGTCGTCGTCGTGTTGAGCCACCGCGCCGGGTCGCGCACCCAGTCGTCCTTGAAGTCCTCGAACTCGGGCTCGTGCGGGCGCATGTAGGCCGGCTGCGGCGGGTAGCTGAGCTTGAGGCCGTGCCACAGCGCCCACGTCGGCAGCACCGCCTCGCTGGGCAGGCTCATGCCGTGCTCGTGCTGCGACTGGTGCACCGAGAGCAGCAGCGTGCGGCTCGCGCGCATCACGGCCGGCGGGCACCACCACCGCGGCGTCTCCTCGCCCTGCTCGAACCCCTTGATGTAGTTCTTGAACACCCACTCGACTTGGCGCACGTCGGCGCAGAAGCTCGTGACGATGACGTCGGCGTCCTCGCCCACGCCCCAGATGAACTCGTCGTCCTCGGGGCGCTCAAAGGGCGGCACCGGGCCGATGGGGTCGATGTCTGGGATGCGTACTGGCCCCCAGGCCCGCGACTGGCCCTTGTTGACGGCGTCGACCTGCTCCGTCAGGTCCTGATATGTGCCGTGAATCTCCTCGCTGAAGGCGTACGTGGCGCGCTCGAGTGCCTGCTTGCGCGGCTCGTTGCGCGCCCACGTCGATACCGTATCGAGGTATTGGCCCGCGTCGCCCGTGAAGCGCTGGTCGAGCTCGACTTGCCAGTAGTGGTCGAATTCGGGGTAGTGCAGCGCGAAGAGCTGCAGAGGCTGGTTGACCGCCCACATTGTCCTGTTTGTTATCAGCATTCTGGCTCCGTCACGGCCTTCAAGGCGGCGATAGCGGCAGCTCAGTCTCACCTATGCTCCTCAACAGCCGCGTACCACGACTTGAGCAGGCTGTCGTCCCAGAGCACGGCAATGGACCGCAGCTCGGGCGGCAGGCCCATGGCCGCAAAGGCCGCGTCGTAGTTGGCCTTGGACTCAAAGATTTTCTTGCTCTCGTCCTGGACGTCGACGAGCAGCACGACGGCGTACTCGCCTCCCGTGCGTAATGACGCTTCGACGATGAGCGAGCGGAGGTTCCACAGGTCCTCGGCCTTGTACTTGAAGCCGGCATAGCTGCGCACGACGAGCGCCGTCCGGCGGGTGCTGTTGAACGCGTCCCAGGCGGGCGCCAGGCTCGCCAGCTGAGTATGGTTGGTGATTGTGAAGCGCACGTCGTTGCGCAGCTGGACCGAAGGGGCCGCTTGCGGGAACCGCTTCGCGTTGCTCTTGAAGCATTCGTCCTGCAGCTTGCCCCAATCGATCTTGTCCCAGTCGACGCGGGATCGATTGTATCCGTCCTTATCTTCGCCGAAGCCGTACGGGCCGTATCGTCCGTCGGCCGTCATCCATGTCTTATCGAGTCCGAGTTCGCGCTGCGAGCCGACAAAGGGGATGGGGTACGCTGGAGGAACGTGCGTTAGCCGCTGATGTCACGAGGCAATGGCAGAGTATTTCAGGTGAAAAAAGCTCGTACATGTCTCGCGCAGATCGCCGTACTGCAGGTCATCGTCCGGACTGTGCGACAGCAGATGGCCTCGCGGGCCCCGACACGGCACGCGCGGAGGCAGTTTGCGCGACGTCGTCGGGGGCGGCAGGCGATGGGTGTGCGAGCCGCCGCCGAAGAGGTGCTGTCCCGTCAGGGGCACGAGGCCGGCGAGGCGGCTGCCATGGCGGGAGGCGAGGAAGATGGTGCCGAGTATGAACCAGACCAGCGCGGGGACGACGATGAAGCGCAGCCGGACGGGGATGATGCGCTGCAGGGGCATCCACTGCCGAAGCTGGGCTTTGATCATTGTCGCAGGGGAGCCGGCATGGCGGTCGGCGCCGGGTTCAGATGGCGATGGCGATGACGATGTTGGATAACGATGGGCGATGACGATAGGGGGCACAGGTCTTGAAGATCAATGTTGGGAAGAGACCAGGCGAGATGGGAAAAAAGAGACGAGTCAAACCGACGAGGGGGGAGGCGGCGACAGGGACCTTTTGGAGGTTGTTCCCAATCCAGCCTCTTCAAGTAGGCACGGTTATGTACCCAGTCGCAGATTCATGCGGCTTGCCCTTCTCCATAAAATTACGCTCGAGGAGGATTCGGCTGGCGGGTGCTTGCCCTGGAAAAGACAGACAGCCAGACCAGACTGCAGGATCAATGGATGGATGGATGGACGCATGGCAGGCTTGCCGAAGCGCGGGCCGGTATCCATGGTCTGGACACTGAGTGGGCACCCCGAAGCGTGTCCAGTCCACTTGCGGTCGCCACCGAACATGGCAAGTGGTTGGGCCTAAAGCCTCTTGGTGTTTGGGCGGCTCCGTCATGTTGGTTGGTTGCGTCAAAAGCCTCGAGGGGGGGGAAGAGGGTTTCGCTCGACGCAAACGGGGGGAGGCAGGGAAGCGCCCTGCATTCCTCGAGAGTGAGCACGGGATCCCGGCGGCCAGGCATCGCCACACGTGCTTGCTCCAGGGCGAGACAGTTTGATCTAGAAGATCGAGGCCAGTACCTGCAGTGAGTGGGAAGCGCAGCAACACTTCCAAGGTTGCCTGTCGCATCCATCCATCCCAGGATCCAGGGGGGATGGTGGGTCAAGCCCGTCAGGCCCCCGGGCGGCCAAGATGCGGCACGGCAGCACAAACTCAATTTTTCTCACTGATTCCGCTTCCCGCCCGCATTCCAATCAATGTCCCCCTCCTTCCGTCTCCCTTCTGGCGGGCATTTATCCCGCACTGGCTGCGGATTTGTGGGGGCGCAATCACCACAGGGTTGCGGCCGACAGGGGGCCGGCCTGGACGGTGGCGGCGCCGGGACCTCACTCACTTCGACATTCATGGCCAGCTGCGGCATGGACGACGGGTTCTGTTGTAGTTACCGATATTGTGTGCTGTAGTACTCGTACGGAGTGCGGGACAGTGTGTTGGTTGTGCTGTACTTTGGGCAGTATGCATGTTTCAACAAGATTGCCTTCCCGTCGTCGCTGTCTATTCCTGTAACCGGCTGCCTTGCTGAACCCCTGTTTGGCGAGATTCAGTTGATAATGACGGTCGCATTTGACCTTGCGCTTCAGTCCGTGTCAGCACTTGTGCTCCGGCCCATATCAGACCAGACGCCTGCAGCGCGACTCATGCGACTCATTCACCTCCTCGCCAACTTCTCACAACGGACGTCGCCAAACGAGTCTGAAATAGCAACACCAGCATCAATCACGGCCGTGCAGGCCCCAATTGTAGGCAGCGGCCACGCTCCTCCACGAAGCACAGCCACCATCTGACCCATCAAACAGTGAGGCGAGACGAGGCAAGGCCACCCCACTCTCGGCAATTCAGAACCGGCCCAGCTCATGGGGTGATGGATATCAAAATGAGTCGAGTCGAGTTTCACAGGCGGGCGGGAGCGTCTTCTCTTCTCCTATTCCAAGGGGAGGCTTAAACTTTCGTCGCATCTCATCTCGTTCATGCAAAAGGCTTTTTCGACAGCGGGCAAACCTTTCGGCTATCCCAAGCGAGCGCCCATCGTTGCTTGCTTCTTCCTGCTCCTGAGCCCAGTCCTGACCCTGAGGCTAGCCTTGGTTGAGTGTCGGGGGCCCTTGAGCCAACCAACGCCTGGTCGCGCGGCTTGGGACTCGTGACGTGGGAGCATCTTGGCGACTCAAGAAACACATCCAGAGACCGGACTGCAACTGAACTTCATGCGACGGACCCGGCACGTGTGTGCAAGACGCGGCCCCGCCGTCATTGAGTTGAGCTCCGCGACATCTTGGTCGCACGCAGCGTCTGACTCTGCGCATTGAAACTCAAGTCAACGGGTCAACACGGGTGCCTTTGCCGTCCGTCGTCATGGCCGAGAGCCCGGACCCCTGCCAGCGGCTCGATCGCCCGACCCTCGAGCGGCGCCGATCGAAGAACCCGCTCAAGAACATGATGCAGCACCTCACCGTCGACGGGCCCGACAGCGGCGACGAGCCCGGCTCGCCGCGCCGCCGCGAGTCGCTCATCCGCCGCATCAGCTGGCGCAAGAGCCGAAGCCCCTCGGCGCACTCCGACGTCTCGTCCTCGAACCCCACGGCGGCTGCGGCGACGACGGTCCTCCGAAACGCCGATCCCACTCTATGCGCAACCTGCACGAGCTTCGCCGCCGACGTGGACTTGACCTTTGCCGAGATCGACGAGTCGTTTACCAAGGCGGTGAATCCGGCCGCGGACGATGGCTTCGACAACAGGGAGCACCTTGTCCAGCGCCTGACCGGACTCGACGAGAACCGCTGGACGGCGACTTGTCCGCTCTGCAAGCTCTTCTGGGCTGTGCATGTCCCCGGCAGAGGAGAGGGCGGGTACTCTCTCTCGGGCTTTTCTACCAGAGACACGAATTACATGATTGACTGCGTCAAGATGTTTGACATGGCCCATCCCGCCAGGGGCAAGGCCGCAGGTCTCGCGCCGGGCTTCCTGGGCGTCGTGCCGAGCAGCCACGGGCGCATCACCGGGGACTGGTTTCGCAACACGGGCATGTTGCTGAGGACGATGCCCGAGGCCATGGTCGAGCGGCAACCGTCGCGGCGGGGACGCTCTCCGGCGGGCGGCCCCCGGACCCCCGAGCCTCCTGCGCTGACGCTCAACGACACGTCATGGCTGCAGCAGGGAATCTGGGGCCGCGAGATTGGGCAGAGTGCGGATCTGGGCGTTGCGAGAGACTGGATGCACTTCTGCGATGAGCACCACGAGGGGCGATGTAGCCGGCAGCTCATCCAAGCTGAGATGCCTGGATTCCGGCTCATCGACTGCTCCGCGTCGCCACCGAGGGTCGTCGAGGGATCCATCACGGCAGACTACGCGGCGCTGAGCTACGTGTTGGGGAAGCCCATCACGGGGTCGTGGCCGAGGGTCGTGCAAGACGCAGCCATCGTCACGCGCGAACTGGGCATCCGCTATCTCTGGGTCGACCAGCTCTGCATGGAGGGCACAACATCCGCCGAGAGGGCACAGCAGATTGCGCGGATGGACGACATTTTCGAAGGCGCGGCCCTGACCATCATCGCCGCCCACGGCCGCGACGCAACACAAGGCCTCGCGGGTGTCGGCTCGACACCGCGCGTCGCCCAACCGAAATACCACTTTGCCGACTCCAACATCACCCTCGTGTCCACGATGCACGACCCGCGGCTCAGCATCCAGGAGTCGACGTGGTACAGCCGCGGGTGGACGTACCAGGAGGGCCTGCTGGCGCGGCGACGCCTCGTCTTCACGGCGCAGCAGATGTACTGGGAGTGCGGCGGCATGGTGTGCCCGGAGACGCTCGTCATGCCGCTGGGCCTGTACCACGACGCGCGCGAGCGGCGCATGGCCGACTTTGTGCGCCCGGGCCTGTTCAACGGCGTGTCCTACGTCGACGGCAGCTGGGAGGCGTGGAAGCGGCTGCCGCGGCCGCAGCACGACGACGACGACGACGACGAGCAGCCCAGCACGCTGAGCATCTTTCGCGAGTCGGACCGCCACATCGTGAGCTACGCGAAGAGGCGGCTCACGTACGACGAAGACTCGCTGAGTGCGTTCCTGGGCATCTCGCGCAGGCTAGAGAGGACGCTGGGCAGGGGCAAGCTCGGCAACTTGGTGGGCATCCCGCTCTGGGCGCCCGCGGGGGAGGACGGCTCGTGGGCGAAGTCGGGCGCGCCGCGCACAAAGGATGTGTTTGCGCTGTCGACGTGCTTCTGGCACCACACGGGCAGCAGTAGCGGCGGCGAAGAACCACGGCGCAGACCACACCTGCCGAGCTGGACGTGGGCAGGCTGGGAGGGCGCCGTGGAGCTCTACTCGTCCATTGTCGTGGCGGCCGCCGATCATGCCGACGGGGCGAGCAGCGGCGGCAGCAGCAGTAACAGCCCTTCCACGGGGAGAGAAGCAGCTGGTACCAAGAAGCTGCTCAACCACCACTACGTGAGCGCGACGCACCTGACGCGCAACGAGCCGTCGTCTCTACGGTGGACGTACTCGCCGGCCATGGTGGTGCTGGCGCCCGACGGCAGCGTCGCCTACGACTTCTCTCCCTCGGCGGCGACACCACCGGGGCGGCGAGGGCGGCCGCCGCCCGTGTTCCGCCAGGGGCGGTACGCGCTGCGCGTGTCGGATCCGCTGGTGCTAGACAGGGTCAAGGCGCGGGCGCACGAGTCTGGAAGCTGGGTGTTTAACGACGTGAGCGTCGACGTGCGCATGAGTCGCGGCGGCCGGGGCACCGGCGGCGGCGCTCAAGAACAACAGCAGCAGCAGCAACAACACGGGACAGTCGGTGGAACATCAGGAGCAGCAGCACCAGCGAGGCCGAGCGCGATCCGCGAGTACATTGAGCGGCACGCGCGCGGCGAGCAGATGACGGTGCTGTGGTTCGTCGAGGACGCGACGGTGATGCTGCTGGTGGTGGAGCGGTCGACCTCAACCTCTGGGCGGTGGGAACGGGTCGGGCGCGCGCGCATGGCGTTCCCGGCCGAGGCCAAGGAGGTGGTGAGGCGGTTCGGCAAGCTCGAGGTGATGCTCAACCACCTGCCGCTGCGGCGGCTGGGCGAGGACATTGTGATTGAGTGAGTGAGGGCAGATAACGGTGACTGTTCTCAAGCCAGACATGGCGTACTATTATTTTTTTCGTAGGTGGCTGCTTATACAACATCCGGGCTGGCCGGCAAGGGAGAGGAGGGACGGATCAATCTGGTGGACATGGACCAGGTATGCGGGCGATGAGGCGCCGGACAGGGGGGTGTACCCTTCGCGAGAGGCGTCGTCTTGTTCCAGACACGGTAATTAGCTACATATTTTCTGGAACACCTTACCTGAGGAACTCTTCTTTTCTTGGACATGACGTGCCCGGGATCGGCAGCGAGTCGTCAATACGATGAATCCGCCATGAACATGGAAACTTGGAAACCAACATCTCATGAGCATCGGGGTTCCAGCAGCATCATCTACCGGCGTCAGCATCGCAAGACGGTAACTAACGTTGGGGTTAGACAGATGGCAGAGACAACCAAGACAGAGAGAGAGCTTGGCCAGCCGCACCAGAGTCAAAAGCCACTTACTGCCTGACTCTGGCCCCGTTCCGCAGGCCGGGGGCAAAGGCAGGTTGGTCAGCAGCTCAGCTCTCAGTCAGCGGACCAGTTCTGGGCGCGTATTTGTCTCGCTCTGGAACCCGTCCCCCCCTTGTGCCCGCCCAGTGCCTGTAGTTTGCGACCGGTGGGCGGGCTCACGGAAGTCCGACAGATGCCGCCCGCGGGCGCGAGCCCACGGCAATCTCCACCTCTAAAACCCCGGCCAGTGGGTTGTGGTTGGGGTTCAGGGAGGGCGCGAGCCGCGAGCCGCTCGAAGGGACGGTTCCCGGCAGGCGCGGTTGCTTTGTCTAGCACGTCGTACTGTGCCGCCGTCGCAGTGGTGGTTTTTTTTTAAGTCATTCACGAGTGTGACTTACTGCCGGTGCCTCCGATCCAAAATCTCACCGCGCATACCGAGGGAGAGCTGGTCCGGATTTCACCTGGACGGTCCCCCTCCGCTGACTCTTCTTTCTTTCTTTCTCTTTCGTCCCTCCCCTTCCTCTCCCCACATCTTATCCCGAGAAACCTCCCCTTTTGTTTGCGGGCGCGCACGAGACGAAGAGAGAGAGAGAGAGCAATGACCGCAGATCTCGCTCCCCCCGCCGCTGCCGCGTCCGGCACCGCCGGCCCAGCCACGCGCGTCAAGTCGGCCGCCTCGACGGTCAGCCAGCTCAAGTACCCACGCGGACACCTGGGTTACCTGAGTCCCCACGAGGACGACGCGCTGCAGCAGTTCAAGGCCGTGCTGGAGGAGAGAGGCGCGTACAAGCCCGGCCCGCCAGCATCCCACGACGACCCAACGCTCCTGTAAGCCACCGCCGCCCGCCGCCTTTCCCGCCCTGCGCCTCCAGTTTTTCCCCCGCCCGTGCGACCGACAACGGGTGCTGCTTCTTTGAGACAGTGCTAACGGGAGGGTCCGTCATGCAGGCGCTTCCTCCGCGCTCGGCGATGGGTCGTCGAGGAGGCGTACAAGCAGTTCAAGGACACCGAGGACTGGCGCGCCGCCAACAACATCGACACTCTGTACAAGACGATTGAGCTCGACGCCTACGAGCAGAGCCGCCGATTGGTGAGCCCTTCCCCTTTCCGCCGCTGCGAATCGCGTTGAGGCATGCACGCACGCACACACCCTGGCTGGTGATGCGCGCCACAACAATCCACTGACAGACATCCCCAATCCGCAGTATCCCCAATGGACCGGCCGCCGCGACCGCCGCGGCATCCCCCTGTACGTGTTTGAGATCAAGACGCTCGACAGCAAGACGGTCGCCGAGTACGAGCGCCTGGGCGCCAAGTCGACCTTCTCCGACGCGCAGACGGACGGCAAGACGCCGCCGGGCCTGCTGCGCCTGTTTGCGCTGTACGAGAACCTGACGCGCTTCGCGCAGCCGTTTTGCACGCAGCTCAAGGACCGCGAGAGCCCCGACGTGCCCATCACCATGAGCACCAACATCGTCGACATCTCGGGCGTCGGGCTGAAGCAGTTCTGGAACCTCAAGGGCCACATGCAGGCGGCGTCGCAGCTCGCCACGGCGCACTACCCGGAGACGCTCGACCGCATCTTCATCATCGGCGCGCCCATGTTCTTCAGCACCGTCTGGGGCTGGATCAAGCGCTGGTTCGACCCCATCACCGTCTCCAAGATCTTCGTCCTCGGCGCCCACGAGGTCCGCCCCACGCTCGAGGCCTTCATCGAGCCCGCCAACATCCCCAAGAAGTACGGCGGCGAGCTCGACTACGAGTTTGGCCAGCTCGGCAACCCGGACCCGGGCTGGGAGGGCGTCGTGCAGTGGGAGGAGGGCTTCGACAGGTTCCCCACGGGGCCGCTGCTGTGGGAGGACGTCGACGGCGGGGAGAGGCTGGCGTGCGTCGCGTACGGCACCGAGAACGGCCAGCCCAGGCGGACGCGCGTGTGCACCGTGCCCAAGACGTGGCCCGAGGACGAAGATGTCGCCGCCGCCGCCGCGCCCGTGCCGGAGACCAACGGCGAGACGACGACCGTCGAGGGAGGCGCCGCCACAACGAACGGCGTGCCGGCGACGACCACGACGACGGAAGTCATTGAGGGGACGCGGACGACGGACGCGCCGCATACGCACGACGATGGCGTCCAGACCGACGACTCAGTGACCAACGGCACCGCCATCGAGACGCTGAAGCTCGACGAGAAGCACCCCGAAAGCAGCAGCCCCGTCGCCTCGGCGGTGCCCGCGACTGTGGCCTAGCGTGCCCGCGCGCGTGCGGCTACGTTTGGGTTGCTGGCGGATTTGATCAGACGCCGCATCTCTGCGTGTAGTGATACTCGCGCAGAAGGGGCGATGTGAACAAGGAGGAGGAACATGAACACGGGAAGAAACAACTTTTTCTGCTTTTCGATACATACAAGGTATACCCAGAGGATGGATGGTGGAGTGGGCATTGCATGGCATGAGACGGGATGGAAGAGGCACAGGCACATGGTAGAATAGACGAGGATTCATGGGCGCGCGCGTGTCCATGATGTGCCATCAGATGCGGGCGGCGGGTGCGGCGTTTGAGTCTATTGCAAAGCAGTGGCTTGAGAGATTGTGCATCGTGGCACAGGAGACTTAATATATCTGCAAAGAGATATGTATATGCTCTTCGTATATTATATGTGTATGTCTATTCGCCGGGCCGACATGGTTGTTCCCTGTCTGTACGACGGGTGGTTCCCCCTCATATATGCCCACACCACGTCAATGCCCACGTCTCCGCGGCCTCGGGCTCTTGATGTAACCATACCGCGTCGTCTAGTATTCTCGTATGTTGTCGTTCCGTCGACCGTACTTGTAAAAACTGTTAAAAGTCGCACTCTTTCGTAAACAGCCCCCGTCACTTCTTCACGGCGTAGCCCCTCCGCCGCCGCCACTCCTCGACGCCCTGCTCGATCTCGTCCCACGTCACGCCGTCGCGCACCAGGCGCATCGTCACGCCCAGCCGCTCCGTCTCCTGGTTGCGGCTCTCGTCGTCGAAGAAGAGCATGTCCTCGTACCGGATCCCCGTGCGCTTGTGCAGCGCCTCGAAGTGCCGGATCTTGCTGCTCGGGTAGATTTCCAGCCCCGCGTCGAACACGTCCAGCGCGCGGCGCGGCTTCACGTTCCCTCCTCCTCCAACACCACTGCTGCTGCTGTTGTTGTCGCCGTCGCCCGCCACCCCGCCAGCGCCGTCGACGCCGCCGCCGCCGCCGCCCGGCCGCAGGTGCAGCATCTTGAGCAGGTCCTTGGCCAGGCCGGGCGCGTGCGTGCGCGACGCGACGGCCATCTTGACGGGCCCGCTGGGCAGCGGCGCGCCGGGCAGCATCCCCGCCAGGGCGAGCAGGATGGAGGGCACGTCGCCGTAGAAGGCGTAGTCCTCGCCGAACTTGTCCGTGGCGGCCGAGTGCTGCGCGTTGGGCTTGAGCGGCGGCGCGACGTGCGTGTCGACCCAGAACGGCCACAGCGTGTAGTCGAGGTCGAAGACGATGAGCTTGGGCAGCGGGCGCGAGGCGTCGGCCAGCGACGCGGGGAGCGACCACGTGGGCGTCGCCGGCTCCGACGACGAGCCCGCGCCTGCGCCCCCGAAGGCGGCGAGGCTCTGCTTGGAGCGCTTGCGCGGTAGCGACGGCATTGTGGGTGGATGTGTGTGTGTGTTGCGCGCGCGGGGGTGTCGTTCCGCGGGAGGGAGGGAAGATTGGGTGGCTGGATGGATGGATGGATGGAGGAAAGGAGGAAAAGGACGACGCTGGGCGGCTTGAGGCAGCAAGTGAGCGAGCGATACGAGGGAGACGTGGATGGATCATGGATGGTGCTTGGTGGGGGGGCCATGACGCACCGGCACTGGCGCTGCGGGCCCGGATCGGCGCCGGAGGTTCAGGGTAGGCTCCGGTTGCCACGAACACTCGACGGAGCAGACGTTCTCAGTTGCCTATACTCTCGGATACGGAACCTTGGCCCGGGAGAGGGGGAGGGCAGACTTGCTAACTTTATATGCGGCTGAGACTGAGTCTAGACTGACGGAAATGCCCGAGACTTTTCACGTCTATCACATACCTCAGGTAATTCACCTCCCGTGTAAGCCGCCGTCGTTACTTGTCGTATGTCTGTATGTTGTTGACTACCAGCGAGAGATACCAGCAAGTGTCATGAGCCCGAGGCGTATATCCGCCGTCCTCTAAACCACGTCTCGCACACCTTTGCCTCCAGCAGCCTCTCCGCGTCCCACTCCATGTCCACAACGGCCAGGTTCGCATCCTTGCCCACCTCCAAGCTCCCCGCCCTGCCGTCCGCGAAGCAGCTATAAGCCGCGCCATGCGTCGCCGCCGCAAACGCAGCAACCATGTGCAGCGCAAACTGCGGCGTGGTCTGCTCCTTCCGCTCCGGCTCTCTACCGGAACGCCTCGTGGTGGCCGTGTACAAGTTCGGCATCGGCTTGTAGGACGCCGTGGGGGAGTCGGTCCCGATGGCGAGCTTCGCGCCGCCCTTGGCCAAGGCGCCGTACGGGAAGATGTGCTTGCACCGCTCGGCTCCCAGCAGTCTTGGCCACTGCCCGAGGATGGCCGGGTCGCTGTGCACAGGCTGGACCGAGGCGATGATGCCCAGTGGCCCCAGACGCTTTGCGTCTTCGGGCGTGCACGTCTCGAGGTGCTCGATGCGGTGCCGTCCGGACGGGTTGCCCACCATCTCCAGCGAGTCGATGGCGATTTTGATGGCGGCGTCTCCGATGGCGTGCAGGGCGCATTGTAGGCCTGCGGCATCGGCTCGCTTGAGGACAGGCACGAGCGCGTCCCTGGACCAGATGGGGTCCGCGTTGCAGTGGTCGGGACAGTACGGCTCTCGGAGGGCGGCCGTGCAGGAGTCGACTACTCCGTCGCAGATCAGCTTGATGCCTGTTATCCTGCAGTCGGCGTTGGTGTTGGCGTTGAAGTCCTTGCGGAGCTCGATCGCTCGGTCCACCTGCTCCAAGTTCTCCTGGTCTGACCGTGGCAGAATGAGCCAGTGAACCGCGAGGGGGATGGGCAGAGTTTTGTTGGGCTGCTTGGAGCGGAAGAGCTGCAGCGCGTCCCACGAGCTCTGGTCCATGGCGAGCTCAACCAGCCCGGTATACCCAGACTCGATGTAGGCGTCGAACGCCGCTTGAATATGGCCGAGGGTCTCTTCCTCGGTAGATAGGTTGCTGAGATACGGCCAAACGATCCCAATGGCCGCGTTCTCGGAGAAGAGACCCGTTGGGTTGCCGTCCTGGTCGCGGTGAATCTCACCACCGGGAGGGTCCTTCATGTCCGCTGCGCCCATTTCTTTGATGGCTGCCGTGTTGAGCCAAGCCGAGTGGTTGTCCTCTGCGCTGATGTAGATTGGTCGCGGATCAAGATCATCTAGGTCGCTGGCCAGAGCGGCACCTCCCGTCGACGCCTGCAGCCACCCGCGACAGAGGAGCCTCGGTAGTGCTGGGTTCTGAGAGGCGAATTGCCGAATCCCTTCGCGAACCCCCTCTAGGGTCTTGAAAACTCCAATGTCGAGCTTGCTGAGAGACTCGCCAGTCATCAACAGGTGCATGTGGCTGTCGATGAATCCAGGCAGGACAACGCGGCCACCCATGTCGTGCACTTTGGCGCCTCCGACGGCCATCGCATTTCGGACCTCCTCATTATCTGCCGACCCGACATACTTGATGTTTCCGGACTCATCGTCGATGATGAGGCAGTTCTCAAACCCAGGATCCTCCGATGCCGCGTTTACCGCGCGAAAGAATCGCCCATTGGAGAGGATGGTGCACATAATGCCAGTCGCTCGTCGGCTCGCACAGTCAGCAAGCACCAAGACACTCTCCGAGGCGCTTCTCAGACCACACTGCAGGTTCCTATTTCCGTATTAGTTCGGCGACGACAATCCAGCCCTTTTGGTGTCTGGTCTTTTGGCCGACGAGGATAGTTGGGGTCGTGCCGTCGGGTCCCGCGGGCACCCAAGTAGACTTATCGGTCGGCGTCCGCGGCGCGTACCAAACTTGAAGAGCTCGCTTGCGGTTAATTGACGTCTGCGCCACACGTTGAGGACAGGTTATTGGCGAAGAGTGGGCGGGGAGCGAGAACAGCATTCTGAGACAAGGTTCATTGGAGCAGCTTGAACCAAAGTTCGCCGTCAACTCTCTAATACATCTCCACCGAGGACCGGCCCGGTCTAGCTCTGGAATGCTGGGGCTGGGGCTGAGGCCGCGATTTTTCACCAAGTTGGGCTATTTGACGGGGCTTGCATGAAACGAAGATCTTATCTCTTATCCGTAAACGACGTTGGAAGCTATCGTGGAGACCCCGCAAACCTGGGGAAACCATGGGTGAGGGCTGAGGGTTCAAAACGTGGACATTTATAATGTGCATTGAAGCAGGTCCAGCTTACATTGTCATACATGTGTGCCCAACTAGCAGGCATTCTATACCGAGATTCCTCTCTTGAGACTGTCCGTGCAACTACCCGCGCCATTGCGAATGTCTACAGCTCGCTTCCACAGACAGTCCGTGAAGTTGATTGAGCGCTTGTGTCGCCACGTCCGCTTTCAACACCAAGATCTGAGATGAGCGGCAACCCCAGCCGAGGCCACGCCGGCGAGGCTCTGGATCGCCAAGCGCATCCGCCAGGCACAGTCCAGCTTCTTACAAGTAAGTAGACTCACGTCGAATCATAAGCCAATTGACTCCCAGTGTGAGTCCTGACGCCGTGTCACCAGGCTACGACTCGACTCAGAGCGGCGAATTGATCCTCATCCCGACCCCTTCCGATGACTACAACGACCCTCTGGTCAGGCCATATCAATTACACCAAACATACCACAGGCGCTGACAGGCATACTAGAACTGGTCCATGTGGCGGAAGTGCCTCAGTTTTGGGCTTCTCAACTCTGTGACCACGGCCACCTTCACCGCGTGAGCCTGTCGTGCTGCAAATGGTGGCACCATACTTGTACTGACCGAAACGCCAGGCTAACTACTTTGACGCTCTTTTGGACACAGATGCAAGAGGAAATTGACCTTTCGACCCAGGACTTCACGTACGCTCAGGCAATCCAGCTCGTCGGACAAGCCTTCACCTGTCTCGCCCTGTTGCCCCTGATTAGAAAATATGGAAGACGACCTACTTGCATCTTGTCATCGATTATTGTTTGCGCATGCTCGTGGTGGAGCGTATACATGAAGAGCGCCCCTGAAGTCTACTTGTACAACTTCATCATGGGAATGGCCGCAGAGGTCAACGAGGCGACCGTTCAGCTGAGTGTACGAATCTGCCACTGTGCTCGCATACGCGTATACACGCTGACGTGCAGAGCAGATCCAAAGCACCTTCTTCTTGCACCAGCGCGGCACGACAAATAGCATCTACATGGCGTCGGTGCTGGCTGGCTCATTTCTCACACCCATGGCTGCGGGTGTGCAAGCAGTGGAACAAGGATGGCGGGCGTCGTATCGTGCCCTCGCTATAGTCATGACCATCCTGGCCGTCCTGTTCATCGTCGCATTTGAAGAGACCAAGTTTGAGTCGACTGTCTTTCAGGGAGTTGCGGCAGAAACTGAAGAGGCTACGCACGCGGAGTTGACCCTTGACGAAAAGGACGGCATTAGCATGCATGGAGATGGAGAGACTGGAAGCGAGAGGCCGTCATTCCCTCGTTACCTTCGACTCCAACTCTTCAGCAGTTCGAACGAGTCTCTCTGGAGGTCCTACTACCAGCCGGCTTATGCATGCTGGCTGCCACACGTCATATTCGCGTCACTGCAGTTCGCGTCGGGAGTCTGCTGGCTCGTCTTCATGTCCTCGATGATCTCGATCCTCTTCACGGCGCCGCCCTACAACTTCGACGCTGCCGAGGTCGGCTACATGTTTGCGGGGCCCTGCGTGGGAGCCGTCTTCGGCAGTCTCTACGGCGGGCCACTGGTTGACAAGGCGGTCGTCTGGTTCGCGCGACGCAATGGGGGCTTGTTCGAACCCGAGATGCGGTTGTACCTGTACCCCCTGCCGGCGCTGCTCATGTCCGGAGGCATCATTCTCTTTGGCGTGACAGCTGATCGGGTAGGTCTCCCCTCGCACAAACAATATGCACCCGATTCACGTGCAATGTGTAACGCTGACCACGAGAATAGGGCCTGCATTGGATCTACCCGAGCATCGGCGGTGCCTTGTTTTCGTTCGGGTATGGTGCCGTGGGAGACATAGCGTTCACTCTTGTGCTCGACGCGTTCCCTAATGTGAGTCTCCTCGGCAAGAATTTGCCACTTCCTTGTTGTTTAGTGGCTGACCGTCCACAGGTCTTTGCGCAATCATTCGTGTGCATTGCCTTTTTCCGCAACGCGGTGGGCATCACCGGCCCCTTTTCCATCACACCGTGGCTCGACACCATGAGTGTCACCAACATGCACATTCTTGCTGGATGCCTTTGCATCCTCGTTAACGCCTTGGCACTGCCGCTGGCAATCTGGGGCAAAAAGGCGAGAGTTGCCATCGCGCCGCGCTACAACCAGCTGTCACAACGTCTTGCTGAAGAGTGATTAGGGGGCGCCCTGACTGAAGGGAGGAGAGGGGTTGCCGACTTCCGTTGACGGCGGCGCGCGCTCCTGAGCTACGGCTGACAGCGCATGGGTTTAATAAAGCAATCATGCTCGTACGTCCCAGTTGCTTCTGCTTCTATATCGGGTCCATCGGGACTCTGCGAGTGACTGGCCTGTTAGCGAGCTTGTGATCGGCGGTCGTGTGCCTGGCGATCCGGGCGGCGCGGAGGAATCGTCCGCACGGCTGCGCTCCGCCACGTCTCAGGCGAGGCGAGCCAACGACCGCGGAGGCGTCACGCTTTTGGGCAGGCGGGCTGACAACGCTTTGTTACCCCTGGTCTAAGTCTGCCCTCCCCGCCCAATCATCACCAAAGGAGCAGCCAAGGGAAGTCGGCCGCCTACGTTTTCGGACGCTCGGCCTCGCCCTTAGTTGCGGCCGATTTGCTCCTGTGGGATACGAGGTCACTTGCTGCCGTCCGCCGGGCTGCCCAGGTTCTTGGTGGCTGAAAGCCCACTTCGCGCGGCTCCCAAGGAGCGGCTCAAGGAGCACACGGATGGGGTCGGACAGGTTGTTTTCCCCGCGCGGTCTGCTTGCCCCTGACTAGGCGGACTCCACTTGCAACATAACCCCACGGGGCAAGGGTACGCCACTTGGCTCGGGGGGCTCCGGTTGCTCGATCGGGCTTGGACGTATGAGGTTTTCTCTAGAGCGTGTTGCCCAGAGTAGACAGAGGAACAATGGTCGCAAGAGAAAGGGAATGGGTACGGGAGGGTTTTGACACGGAAAGAACGGCGCTGCAGACATGACTCAACAGCGCCCTCGGCCCTTGACTGTCGCAGCCGAAAAAGCAACTTGGTTGGTGTTCCCGGTTCCGTGGTGCTAATCTCGTCCTGCATCGTCCAACCTCAGGATAGGGTGGGAAGGAACAGCAGCCCTTCCGCGCGTGCATGAGTCTAGGCCTGGGCTAACTCCCGGCCTTGCACAAGCCTATGTCTTGGGCGCGCTCGGATTGCCGAGGCAGCCGACAGAAGAAAGCACCTGATAGTCGCTGCGTCGACACTCTCCTAGAACTCCACGCATAGCCCCCTATTCAACATTTGCACGCGGAGGGCTTTTCAACTCGCAAAGGCCAGGATTCACACAAGAATATATCAGTTGATTGCGGCAAGCTGGGTAAATTGAAACACGGTGCCAATGAGGGAGCGTCGTTTCTCCCGAGACACGATCTTCCCGTTCGAGTGGTGGAGTCTTCGGGGCCGCGCCGAACGCGCTTCCTGATGTGTTTGTCCCCCCGAGTCCGTGCCTTGGCCCGTCCCCTTCTAGCACCGTCTTCACAACCTTCACGACCCACCTAGACCTATGCCAAGCAGAATGCGATTGGCAAGGAAAACCTGTTCCTGGCCTGACCACCCGGGGTTGTCAGCCGCTTCGCTTGCTTTTGTGCAGCTTCCTTACGGGATGCAGTATAGCTGCTCCGACTTACACGGGGGCAGCCCACATGGTAACAAGGGCGGGCGCATCTCCGGTGACATGCGAGCACAGAGAGACAAGGCCTGACCAAGCCGCGCGTGGAAGGTCAGGGGAGAAGGAGCGCGGCTCGGGATATTGCTGCGTCGTACGGAGTGCGTGATCGTACATGTATATATCACCGAAAGTGACACCCGCGCCCGCATACCTAACCCTCTCCCGAAGGCATCGGTTTCACTCGTTTACTTACCGACCCGACTGGAGCGTTTGTGATCTGGCAAACCTGCCTGACAGTTTTCGTTCTCAGTCGATACACTCGTTACAATCTTGTTGAGCAGTACGTTTCGCAATGAAGTTCCTCACCCTCGCCTGTCTGGCGACCTCGGCCGTCGCCGGCGTCGTCAACCGCGAGCCCCCTACCGGCGTGTATGAGCGCGATCTTCCCCTGATCACTGGCATCATCACCAATGTCGGCAATGGCCTCGACACCCTGGACGGCGCCGTCAAGTCGTTCAGCGGCGACTCCAAGCCCGTCGAGGACGCGTCCGCGGCCCTCGTCGCCACCCTCAAGGACGGCAAGACCAAGGTCGACGCCTCGGGAGACCTGACTCTGGGCGACGCTCTCGGTCTGCAGGACCCTGTCAAGTCTCTGCAGACCAAGGGCGAGACTCTTCTCACCGACCTCAAGGCCCGCAAGGCCGATATTGAGAAGTTCAACCTGTGCGACATCACTCGCCAGCAAGTCACGGACATCAACACCAACTCCAACGCTCTGATCGACTCCATCGTCTCCAAGGTTCCTCCTCTGGCCCAGGGCATTGCCAAGTCGCTCGCCGCGCCCCTGATCGAGACTCTGAAGAACGCTCAGGCGGAGTTCAGCGAGGCCAACTGCAAGAACTCGGGCACCACCACCTCCACGACCTCGGCTCCTCCGGAGACGACGACGACCACTGCCCCCCCAGAGACCACCACGACTACCGCCCCTCCGGAGACCACTACGACCACTGCTCCGCCGGAGACCACCACGACCACCGCTCCTCCGGAGACTACCACCACGGACTGCGACGAGACCACTACCACGGCCCCGCCGAAGACCACCACCACGGACTGTGATGAGACCACCACGACGTCTCCTCCCGAGACCACGCCTTGCGAGACTGAGACGGAGAGCACTGTCGCCCCCACGACCACGTCTAAGCCGGAGACCACCCCTTGCGAGACCGAGACCGAGTCGACGGTTGCTCCCACGACCACCAAGCCTGGCGAGACCACCACTCCCTGCGAGACGGAGACGGAGAGCACCGCCGTTCCTACCACCACCAGGCCTGGCGAGACCACCACTCCTTGTGAGACGGAGACGGAGACGACTGCGGCTCCCACTACCACCAAGCCCGGTGAGACGACCAAGCCTGGCGAGACTACTACGCCTTGCGAGACGGAGACGGAGTCGACCGCAGCTCCCACCACGACCAAGCCTGGTGAGACGACCAAGCCCGGAGAGACTACCACGCCTTGCGAGACGGAGACGGAGACCACTGCTGCTCCTACTACGACTAAGCCTGGCGAGACCACCAAGCCCGGCGAGACGACTCCTTGCGAGACGGAGACTCAGCCCACTGGCGTTCCCACCACCACCAAGCCCGGCGAGACCACCAAGCCTGGCGAGACTACTAAGCCTGGCGAGACCACTCCTTGCGAGACCGAGACTCAGCCTACTGGTGTTCCTACCACCACCAAGCCTGGCGAGACGACCAAGCCTGGCGAGACGACGTCCTGCGAGACGGAGACCCAGCCCACGGGTGCCCCTACCACCACCCAGCCTGGCCAGACCACCAAGCCTGGTGAGACTACTCCTTGCGAGACGGAGACTCAGCCCACTGGCGCTCCCACGACGACCAAGCCCGGCGAGACCCAGCCCGGCGAGACCACGCCCTGTGAGACGACCGGCCCGGGTGCCACCAACCCTCCGGCCCAGTCCACCACTGCTCCGGGCGGCAACCCCCCGCCTTGCGAGACCTGCCAGCCTGGCGAGAGCTCCACCCCCGGCGGTGTCCCTCCCGCCGAGAGCACCGGCGCTCCTGTCCCCCCGGCTGAGAGCACTGGTGCCCCCGTCCCTCCGGCTGAGAGCACCGGCGCCCCGGTCCCTCCCGCCGAGAGCACCGCCGCGCCCGTCCCTCCCCAGGAGACGACGCTCGTCCCCGTCCCCAGCAACCAGCCCCCGACTGAGACGCAGACCCAGTCTCCTCCTCCTCCGGTCGTGACTGCTGGCGCCTCCTTCATGGCTCCGGCCGGCGCTCTGGCCATGGCCATTGCCGTCGCGATCGTCGTGTAAAGACGGCTGTATGTGTAACGGACAAGCTAGGGTAGATATACGGAACCTGGTAATCACGAAATGCGGGAGATATACCTAAATCTTAATTCTGCGGTAAATATTAATAATTGTCACAAGACTTTGGGGGTTAAGTGCCTGGGCCTGTTTAGAAACAGCATTGACGGTTTTCATGCATCGACTTTTGCTTCTTTGCGACATAGGCTTCGACTTCCGGGAGACGCAGCCTTGTATACCCATGTCATGTCTGGCCTGCGTGCACTGTAATCGACGGGTCGCAGGATGCTTGACGCAACCAAGCTCATGCTGTGGCGACAAGAGTCCACTCGCATGCGTAGCGAAAGTGCGCAGCTTGCTCCACGTCAGGCCTTGATGCTTGCCGCATTGCGTTGAGGCGACGACGCATAACACGCCACTGCGCTGTGACGCATAATGGGTTGAGACGGTTGGTTCGGCTCTTGGACCTGGCGTTGGCGACGGACTTCTTGCGGGAGAGTGGTGGGTTTGCGGTGCTTGTTACGCCAAGTACGCATCTCTGGCGGATGCTTCGCAAAGCAAACAGTCCCAAACGGACGAACGGAGAGTCAGACTGCATGCAGTCCAAGGACAGTTTCGTGGTCGTGTAAGAGCGTCGTTGACCTGTAGGTGGTGGAACGGAGCAAAGGTGGCGGGGTCACGTCTGCGCTCTAGAGGGCAAGCGGCGCTCATCACTGGCAGTTGCGCGTGCGCTCAGGCCTTCGTTGCTCCACGTGATGTGGACACCCCACCAACTTCCATTCCACCCCATCATCTCCCAAACCTAAGCTGCGATCCGTCCCGCAGGAGACGCTTGTCCCTGAAGCTCCCGCCCATCTGTCGCCGTGCGATTGACGCCCGACCGACGTCGACAGGCGCATATCCCACTCCTACGAACCTGCCTCGTCCAATCTATCCTTAGCTCTGCCGAAGCTTGCCGCCTGCGACGCCTGCCAACCACGCGGCCGACGCATTCCCTACCGACACACTCCCGACACCGCCCCGCGTCGACCCGGTACGCGCTCTCGTCTGCGCAACTCGCGTCCTGCGTACGCCGCGACCCTGGACACGCGGGAGCCAAGCGCCCTCTTGAGCTCGCCGCGGGAACCAGGGCACTGGATCAAGCACGATGAGTCGCACGCTGCCGTCGCGGCAGGCTGAAGAGCTGTGAGTAGCAAAGTCGACGCCGCGATACCCCTGGCCGAGGCCGCAGCTAACAGCACCAACACAGGAACAAGTCCATCATTGCCTACCTGTACTCGAGCAACCTGCCGAATTCCGCCGCCGCCCTGCGAGAGGAGGCCGGCCTGGGCGAGGATGTCTTCGATGCCACGACCGCAAAGAAGTACGAGACACTGCTGGAGAAGAAATGGACAAGCATCGTGCGCCTGCAAAAAAAGGTACCCTGAGTCGACCCCCTGCCCCTCTGTGCAAATAGTTACCAGCGATCAGCAACTAACACTTTGTCCTGAAAGATCATGGACCTCGAAACCCGGAACGCCTCGCTGCAGTCTGAACTCGACAACGCGACGCCTACGTCCCTCTCCAAGCGAAATCAAGACCCGACATCCTGGCTGCCGCGGCTGCCCTCACGACATACGCTAGAATCGCACCGAGAAACCATAAACTGCGTCGCCTTCCACCCACGGTTCTCCTCCATCGCTTCCGGCTCCGACGACTGCACAATCAAAATATGGGATTGGGAACTCGGGGAGCTGGAACAGACCATCAAGGGCCACACGCGGGCTGTGCTGGGCCTTGACTTTGGCGGGCCGCGAGGCGCCCCGCTGCTGGCCTCGTGCAGCTCTGACCTCTCCATCAAACTCTGGGACCCGGCGGACCAGTACAAGAATATCCGCACCCTTTCCGGCCATGACCACAGTGTCAGCGCCGTGCGATTCATCCCGTCAGGAACGGGCGGGTCGCAGTCGGGCAATCTCCTGGTGAGTGCCAGCGGCGACAAGACGCTGCGGATCTGGGATACGACAACTGGCTACTGTCTCAAGGCGCTCAAGGGGCACACAGGGTGGGTGCGCGATGTTTGCCCGTCACTCGATGGGCGGTGGCTCCTTTCCACGGCCGTTGATCACACGGCGCGATTGTGGGACATTTCGGTACCGACTCCAGAAAACAAGGTGGTCATGATCGGCCACGAACACGTGGTACGGTGCTGCACGTTTGCGCCGCCGGCTGCTTACCCGCACTTGGCAGAGTTGGCAGGCTTGAAGAAGCCTCCGCCCGCGTCTAGCACAGCAGAGTTCATGGCCACGGGGTCCAGAGACAAGACGATCCGGCTATGGGACTCGCGCGGAACGTGCATCAAGACGCTCGTGGGGCATGACAACTGGATAACATCCATCATCTTCCATCCCGGCGGCAAGTACATACTATCGTCGGCCGACGACAAGACAATACGATGCTGGGACCTGACGCAGGATGCAAAGTGCGTCAAAGTGCTGAGCGAAGCACACGCGCACTTTGTGACGTGCATGAGGTGGGCACCGGGTGTCCCCAAGGAAGTCAACGGCGGAGGGGCGCAGGAACAAGGCGCCGAGGGCGACGACGCGGCGAAGAAAAGGGCGAGCGCAGAGGTGACTCCGGAGACGATACGATGCGTCATCGCGACGGGCAGTGTCGACAAGACGCTAAAGATTTTTGCGAATTAGGACCTGGAAAGTACCGGCAGCTCGCGGCTCGCAAAGGGATCGGAGCGAGTTCTACGATTATGAGACTCAAGACGACAATGGTTGGCGGCAAAAGCGTAGGGCGGCTGAGCAATGGGTTCATGTTTGTACCGCTGGGTATGGCTGGCGCTGCTGGGCACGGCGAGCAAGACCGACGTAGAGTCATCAATGCTCCGGGGGCCGACGGGGTGCAATTTCAAGGCCGATAGGAAGGGTGGGCGTCAATGCAGACGCACGTTTCTCCTGATGGTTGGTGGCGGATGCCTCGCAAGTGACTGTGTGTCGAACTGAAGCTTCCACGATGGCCGGCACGAAAACCGTTGCAGGGTCTCAGGGTGATGTCTTGCACAACGGGGCTGGCCCTTGCATGTGACGACGACGCAGTGTGTAGCGCCTACGTCAGCTAGAAGTCAATGGACACGGCAGCACACAAGCAGGCAGACCTGCAGGCGCTTGTGCCACGGGGTCGCGGGTGCGGGTGCGGGCGCGGGCGCAGACGCGGACGCGGCGGCGGGGCGACGATTGGAGCAAGCGCAGGAGACAGACGTCACGGTTGCAAGCCACTGACCGAAGGCGCGCGGCAGCTTGATCTGGGGGGGGATCGATAAGGACCTGCCTGCACTTGCAAGCTGGAGGTTGCGTACGTAGTGGGTGTGGGAGCTTCCGTCATCAGCGATCACCTAGCGACACCTGTCCTTAGCTTTAGGCAGACGGAGCGGGCGGGTGGCGATCAGCTTTCTGCTGCTACTGCCCTGCAACCCACAATCGCAAAAAAGAGTTGCTTCGTTGTAATTAGACTGAAATCGCATCCCTATTCAGGACGGCTGCAAGGACAAAGGTAAATCTTGGCAGCCAGGAGTGCAAAGCAAATGCACGACCCCTTTTGGCCACTGCGGAGGGAACAGCAGGCGGATATGAGGCCATCTAAAATACTGTACACCCGTCAGCTCCCCACCTTTGTTTCCCGCAGCGGGCACCTGGATCGTTGCTGGCGCCACGCACTGTTGGATATCCTGAGGTGCTGGAGACCCCGACTTGGTGGCACTTGGGGCGCCTGTGGAAGGAACGGTGTGCGGGCGCCGGGGTTGTCCATGCAGCAACCAACTCCCTGGGAGCGTACCTAGGGCGGGCTCCAGCTCTCCAGCCAGCGGGGCCTCCACGGGCATGGGAACCTGGAATTGATAGCTCAGCGGCCCAGGCCTCCTGCGGGCTGCAGCTCCAGCAGCTTCCATCCGCCAGCTCAGCCACCGAAGCTTCCCGCACGGGTCATGGCCGGCCAGGCCAGGCCATATCCACCCAAAACCTGACCTTCTCCCAGCCTTGGAACTGAGGTGCTCGCTCGAGACTGAGCTGCGCCTGCGCCTGTCCCACCCACCGCCTTTGACCGTTTCCAGTGGACCAAAGGCCCCAGTTCGTCCGCCTCCGCTTTCTACCAGGTTCCCAAACCTCCTCTTTCTTTGCTGCTGGCCTCTTCTGCCCACTCGTCTTCCCACCTCACCACCACCCACCTCCCAGCAACAACAGCTCCTCCGCCCCGACCGCTGCCAAGCTCGGCGCACAAGCTCCCCCTGCGTTTCCGCATTGTCCGATTGCACATTTCGCGGCATCCGCAATAGACAGAAGCCTCTTCCGTCCGTCGAACCAGCAAGCAAGCAAGCAAGCAAGCTCCCGCACAGCGCAAGCTCCTCGCCCGCCCCGCGTTTTTTCTCGCCCTCGTCATCATCGTCGTCGTCGTCATCGTCGCCAGCTAGCCGCGCCCCGGGCAAGGACACGGAAGCAACACCCGAAGCAATGGCTCCTCCGCCGAACTCGAACCTGCCTCTCCAGGAGCGGCTCCTGGCGCTGGCCAAGACTCTGCAGTGTATGTCTTCGCCGCGAGACGCTTTGTGGACGATGAGATGCTAACAATGCGGTGTGCAGTTGCATGGTTTGTTGGGTGCGTCCCCCCAATCCCGTCGGTGCTTTCGAGCTGCCTTGCCCCGCCGCAGCGCATAGAGGAGCTTGACAGAGCTGCGCTGCGACCTCGGGCCTCTCGTGAGGTCACCTTGGATGCCGCTCCGTTGCTTTTTGGGCAATGCGGCAGCTAGTCGCGCCGGCGAAACACTTCGTATCCCAGCACTGCAACAGCCGCTGACTTGTCGCAAACAGGCACCTGACGCTCATCCTCTCCACCATCCGATATGCCTTCTCCTGGCTGCGCATGAACTACTATGGTGGCATGGCCCAGTTCTCGTACCGAACCTCTTTTGTCGCCGCCGCCGTTACCTACGGCATCGTCGTCTACAAGACCCAGCGGGCGCGCGCGAAGTCGGGCAGCAAGATGCCGGGTGGCATTGTCGGCCTCCTGTCCGATGAGAACGTTCAGTATCTGCGTATGTCTCCTTCACCTCTGCCGCTGCGTACCCGCCTCTGGAATCACTTGCTGACGTGTGGCAGTCATGGCTCTTGTCTGGCTCTTCTCGCCCCAGTACCCCATCGCCCTGCTGCCGTACTCGGTCTACTCCGTCTTCCACGTCGCCACGTACACGCGCGCCAACCTGCTGCCCGTCCTGCAGCCTCCCCCGCCCGCCGCGGACGGATCCTCTCCCCGCGTCAAGACGAGCAGCCCCCTGGCTGAGCGCATCGGCAACTTCGTCAAGGAGTACTACGATGCGTCCATGTCCATCGTCTCGGCGCTCGAGATCCTCATCTGGATCCGTGTCCTGCTGTCGGCCGTGCTCTTCCAGCGCCGCTCCTGGATCCTGCTCGCCCTGTACACGGCCTTCCTTCGCGCGCGCTTTGCGCAGAGCAGCCACGTCCAGAACTCGGTCACCCAGCTCGGCGCCCGTGTCGACTCGCTCGTTGGCGCCCAGGGCACGCCCCCCGCCGCCCGACAGGTCTGGGACGGCGTCAAGTCGGGCGCCAGGCAGTTCCACGATGCGACGGAGCTGGGCAAGTACGTCAACACTGCCGGCCCCGCCAAGAAGACTTCGTAAGCGGCCATTGGCTGCATCACGAAGAGCTCCTGAACCTCGGCCAAGTCGGCAGCAGCACGTTCCCTTGTACAAATGTTTGCGCGACGGCGGACCTACGGAGACGCTCAATCGACCTGCATCTAGGTCGGCCTGGTTCAGCGATGCACAGTTATGCACAGTCGTCATGTGGAGTCTACCCCTGAAATTGGACCCTCGTCGGCTCGCGAACCGTTCGAGCCGAGAACATGGGTAGCAACGAGGAGTAGAGGCGAGAAACAAGGTTGCGGCACAGCAGCCTTGGAAATGGAAGAATGGAGCAAGCAGAAAAGTATAAGGCACGAGCGATGAGTACGTGGCGGTATTCCGGCGGTTGGGACGGCAGTGGATGTTTCAAATTATGAGGATAGGGGTTGAGGCTTGGACGGCGGCGGCGGCAGCAGCAGCAGCAGCAGCAGGCGCATTCGATGGATGTATTCACACCCGCTTGCGGTGTCGGCCAGAGGGGATTGTACTTTTGTAACAGTCGGTTTGGTTTCTCGTCTATGGTTAAACAGCAGGGAACAAAGACGCAGACTTTCAACTTTCTCCTTGCCACGGGCTCTCGGCTGGCTGTGTTGCGCCGCTGGAGATGCCACAGTTAGCTGTGAGCAAGCCTGCCCCAGCAATTACCGTGGCGGCTGGCTGGTTGATGATTGAATGGTGGGGTCGAAAATGGTGGTGAGGTTTTGCCGCGCTTGCTTGTCTACGATGACGTCGCTGCGCCGCAAATGGGGCGGCGTCTGACCGGCAGGTACGACCCAGCTGCGCTTGCAATTGCTGCTCGCCGCGTAGCTTAGCTCTGGGCTCCTCTCCATCGTAATAAATCCGCGGGCTGCGCTGCGCTGCGCTGCCTTGGTCACGCACACGGAACCAATCAAGCCGAAGCGAAACCCCCAGCCTGGAACTCGCTCGCTCCATCGACCATCATCGGCGTCCTCCTAGTCGCAGCACATCAAGCATCGAGCGGTGCCGTCATCGCTGAGGTAGCCGCACCCTGCTCCCTCCATCGGACCTAGAACACGGTAGCGGGCCTGGAGCACTTCCTCCGGCTGCATGCTGCCGCCGACCGACCGTTGCACGACGCCGGACACGTGCCCACCTGCAGGGCAGCAAAGCTGAGCAGCGCATTGCTGTGCAGAGCATCGCACCGCAACGACACAAGACATCACTCACTCGCTCACGCGTCGATTCAGTAACAATCCGTCGCATTCACGGCTGAGACTCCCTTGATTCTGCGGGGCTTTCATCGGGTCGACACGGAGATAGGAGAGGCGTCCCTCTGCTGTGCTGTGCTGCCCCCAGCAGCCGGCCATGGCTTCGATCCTGCGACAAATCGTCGCCGGCCCGCGGGCGAGACACCCCGAGGCAGGGCTCGATCTCTGCTACGTTACCGATTATATCATTGCCACGTACGTATCTGAGTTGTTCCTTTCCTCTTTATATATGCATGATGCTGTCGCATCGGCGTGGTCGTGCTTGTCGCCACCCTCATGAGCTCACCATCTTGTTCACCATGACCTGTTCACACTCATATCTCGCAATGAGACTACGCGGCCCCGTATGCCTCACCTTTTACTAACAACTGAGTTGAACACAGATCTGGTCCGTCACAGACCTACCCTCAGCGGGCCTACCGCAACCCGCTGGATCAGCTTGTAAACTTCCTCGACTCAAAGCATGGCGAGGACTGGGCCATATGGGAGTTTCGCGCCGAGGGCACTGGCTACCCCGACGAGGCCGTGTATGGGCGTATTCGGCATTACCCTTGGCCGGACCACCACCCACCTCCCTTCAGGCTCGTGCCTATGATCATGGCCAGCATGCGGAACTGGCTGCATGGTGGTGAGCTCGAGGGCGGGCGAGTCACCCACGACGGTCAGCCTGCCTGCTCTAATACGGCCGCCGTGGAGGGAAACAAGTCCAAGAGCCACGGGCACGAGAGGAAGAAAGGGCGTGTCGTTGTCGTGCATTGCAAAGCGGGCAAGGGACGCAGCGGCACCGCCACGTGCAGCTACCTCATCTCGGAAGAAGGATGGAGCGCAGAGGACGCGCTCGCACGATTCACGCAACGGCGTATGCGGCCCCAGTTTGGCGCCGGAGTGTCTATCCCCTCGCAGCTGCGCTGGGTAAGCTACGTCGAACGCTGGACGCAGCATAACAAGAAGTACGTCGACAGGCCCGTCGAGATCATGGAGATACACGTCTGGGGCTTGCGCAACGGCGTCAAGGTCGATATCGAAGGATTTGTCGAAGACGGGCGCAAGATCCGGGTATTCCACACATTCACCAAGAAGGAGAGGGTTGTTGTTGAGGCAGGCGTCCCCGCGGGCGGCGGCTTCGGCGAGATGATGTGGGAGCTTGCCGGGTATCCGGCCGCTGCGACAGACAAGGCTCCGGAGAGCGCAGAGCTTGCTGATGCGACAAACGACAACGATGGCGAGAAACCTGATCGAACGAATTCTGCTCCTGCCTCGGAGAAGAAGCGGGAAGTGTTGATGCGCAAGGGGACAAATCTCATACAAAAGGTGTCCAGTCAAGGGGCTCGCATGTCCTCAGAGAAGCCAAAGGCAAAGACGGGGCTGGATGGCAACACCTCGGCCTCGAATTCTTCAGTCGACGTGCGCACTGAGCCTCCTGACGAACACGAGCCCGGCGGCATGGCCGTCATACTGAAGCCAAGCGATCCCATCCGCGTCCCGACCAGCGACGTCAACATTTCCGTCGAGCGCCGCAACAAGACGCACAAGAGCATGGGGCTCACCATGGTCTCCGCCGTGGCGCATGTCTGGTTCAACGCGTTCTTCGAGGGCCAGGGCCCGGAGCAGGCAGGCAAGCCCAACGAGAGCGGCGTCTTCTCCATCGAGTGGGACGCCATGGACGGCATCAAGGGATCCAGTAGGAAAGGGTCCCGCGCGCTCGACCGCATCGCCGTCGTGTGGAGATTCGCCGACGAGGGCCTGCCCAACGCGGGTGAGGACATTCCCGAGCCGGCCGAGGGAGAGCCTGTGCCGCAGCTCCAGGCCGCCAACTGGAAGGGCGAGACGGCCGAGCAGGGCCAGCAGGACGTCGCGCAGAAGGACCTCGGGCTGCGCACGCAGTCCCCCGCGAGCGTCGACGTGAGCCGGGCGAGCAGCGTCAAGAGCGCAGAGGGCACGACGGGTCCCGTAGCTGGCGCGGCGGCCAAGATGGCTACGGCTGTGGGTGTTGGTGCCTCGGGGGAGGCCGAGGCCGGTGAGGCCAGCGGCGACGAGACGGGCTCCATGGCCGGAGTTCGGGTCAGCGGCCCGGCAGGCGAGGAGGACTTGGGACCGACGGAGGACGAGAAGCCCCCCGAGGCGAAGCCGTAGCCTGCTGCTGGCCTTGGAGTCACGTAGTCAAGGGGGTAAGAATAGCTGCCCTTTAGAAGAATGGTTATCAGAAATTATCAAAAATTGTGATTCGCTATGTGACTGTTGATGGCGAAAAAACCAACGCTGCTGCTGCTCCCCGGCTAAGCCCGCCCCCGAAGACGCCATTCCATGCTCCGACCCAGAAGACCGTCCTGCAAGAACAAAGGTCAGTGATAACGGCCTCTACCCCGATAGCCGCCCCTGTCTCCTCTATATCCTCCATACGGGCCTCTCCTGTAGTCCCCGCCGCGATCCCTATAACCGCCTCTGTAGGGCCCGCCCCCACGCCCGCCGCCCGCCGCAGCGGCCTCCCTGTCCCGTTGGGGTTCCGAGGGTGGCTGCTGCTGGGGGTGCTGTGGTGGCGGCGGCGGGGGCACAGGCTCCTCGACCTCGACCTCGTGCTCCTCAAACTCCTCGTTGAAGTAGCGCGCCGAGGTGTCCTGCTCCTGGCGCGCGGCCTCCGGGTCGAAGACGAAGCGCATGGTGCCGTCCTGTCCGCGCGCAGTGCGCCTCACAACGGCGTCGGGAGGCCATACGGGGGCGACGGTGGCGACGACGCCTGCTTTACCGCCACCGTTCCCTCTGCTGCGGGCGCCGGCGCCGTTGCCGTTAGTGCTGGCGGCGGACGGCGCGCTGGGGACCGTGGGCGAGGCCATGGCGGAGACGGGGACGAGGGGGTTGGCGTCGGCGACCTCGCACTTTGTGCAGTGGTAGAGGTAGCGCGGGGCGGCGGCGGCGTCGAGGTCGCCGTTGAGGCGGATCTTGATGTCGATGAAGGTGTTGAGGTCGAAGAGGGCGCCGATCTTGGTGGCCTTGTGGTGCTGGACGTAGAGGTCCAGCAGGTCGAGCATGGTCTCGGCGACGGCGTCGCGGCTGTACTGCCCCTTGGGGCGGGCGGCGGCGAACTCGCGGACGCGGTCGACGACGCTCTCGCGGGCGAGCTTGTCGGCGTCGTCGGCGGCGGTGGCGGGGCCGTGGGCGCGCATGCGGGCGGTGAGCTCGACGACGGCCATGACCATGGTAAAGGTGGTGCGCTTAATGGGGACAAAGGTCTTGTACATGTCGGTGCACATGGCGTAGGCGGTGGCGAAGAAGTCGCGCGCCGCGGCGGAGGACGAGGGCGAGGATGCGCCTCCGCCGCAGAGGACGCGACGGACGACCTTGACGAGGAGCTTCTGCGGGTAGCGGGTCCGAAAGTCGAAGCCGATGGTCTCGAGGATGAGGCGCTCGAGGCCGATGATGACCTTGCTAGTGGACTCGAAGATCTAGAAGCACGCGTTTTGTCTTGTCAGCGCGCGCGCGCCTCGCGAGCTTCACACGAAACAAGGCCCAGCGGCGGCCGGACGGGACGTACGTACCTTGTCATCAGGGGCGACCGTCTTGTCCGGGTTCTTGACGTTGTAGGCGGCGGCGAGGATGTCGCGCGACTTCTTGATGGTGTCCTCGACCTTGCAGGCGACGAAGAGGGACGCCAGCGCGGCATCCTGGTAGTTGTACTCTGCGTCGCGGAAGTTGAGGCGGAACTTGTGGAAGTAGGTGCATGCCGTGTCAAAGGTCCTCACGGGGCTGCACACACAAACGGAAACCCAGGTCAGCCTTTTTGCTCACGATAGACGGAGCGCGACCCGCCGATGGGCAACCTTAGAGTAGGACGGGAGGGGGAGGGGGGGCGGGCTCACAGCTGGAGGTGCTGTCGGACGTTGTCGATGAGCTGCACGCCCTGCAGGCGGTAGTTATCCTCCCGCGCGGGGTCGCAGCCGTTGTCCTTGAGCATGCGCCGGATCTTGACCTCGGAGCTGTACTGGTTGGAGCTCGAGATGAAGCCGGGATGGGGGCCGACGCGCGCGGACGACGACGGTGCCGGTGCCGCGCCGGCACCGCCGTTAGCCGTGGGCGCATCTGCAGTCGAGGGAGACATGGCTCCTGTATATGTAAAGAGCCCCAAGCGGGAAGCAGTATCGGTATCGCGGAGAGAGGCGAACGTCGGGGTTCGATCGAGGGCGACGAGGCTGGCGAGTTAAGCCAGTGCCTCAGCGAAGCTCCAGGCGATGGTCCGCGGAGATTGGCCGTCGAGACCGTAGCGCGTTACGGATTGATATCAGACATGAATGGTAATGGCTCCTCGGGCCAGCGCGGCGTTTGTGGCACAGGCAATGCGAGCGCGGCGGACGCGCTGGTCGTCGTGGGAGTGGTGAAGCCGACGGTGATGATGGTGACGGCGGCGCGTTTTGGCGGTTGACGAGGCTGCGCTGGGGCAATGTCGAAAATGGGGACCCGGACGCAACCTGGAAACTTGGGTTGATTGGATGGGCGCCACACGCAGGCTGCGGGTGCGCTAAACCGGGGCCCCGGAAGCGCTCCAACGCCGGGCATGCGGCGGGCGTGCACTGAGGCGCGCTGCAGGCGGGGCATTGTAATCCTGCCTGGGCCCTGTGCTCCCGTCGGCGGCTACCGAGCTCCAGGGTCCCAGGGCTCTTCCAAACCGCGGGGAATTTCAGCGGCTCAGCCCAACTACATCACACAACGTGGCGGCAACCGACTGCAGGACATACACACTAGAAAAGAAGTCTCGCTACACACCATACCTTTCTCCCATGGCATCACGACGCAGAGGCATAGATGCAATAGTTAAAAGTTCATTAACCGGTGCCAATCGCAACCTGGACCGTCACTCGAGGGAAGACCAAGACGACACCGACAGCTTGCACGCCCCTGTCTGTTCTCATGTTCCTCTCGGGGGCTGCCACGAAGTCATCCAATACTTGGTACAATATCCAAGCTCGGTTCCCTCCAAGGACGTCGTCGCGCGCATTTCTAATTCAGACGGGGTCCCCAACCCTTGTGCCGCTTCACCACTCCGCGACTTCGTGACGCAGCTATCGCAACCACCCCCTGGCCCTCGGCAGCTTGCCGAACAGACAGCCGGTAGAGACGCAAGGCAGTTCCCAGTAACTGACGGCCCTTTACCGGCCGGACAGGCAAGGGGCCGTGACCTGGCCCCGGTTGCGCGATGGACAGTCTACGTACGTACATGCAAGATCGGGATACCAGTCACATCTCACAGTTGAGCGCGGCACATGCTCCCCGTCCCCGGGTGTCTCGGCCGCGACGCGCATGCCAAGTGCCGAGACTCTCCCCGGATCTGTGCGGCGGCGCAACTCGTACGATCCAGGCACCTCGCATTGAGCAGCATTCATCACGACACAGGCACCAAGGAGATTTGTAGCTTGTTGAAGAGATGTCCAGTCGCTGGGTGAACGCTGTCTTCCAGCAAAGATTCATCGCAAATATCTGAATGGGGTATAAGACCAATCCCTCCTCCATGCCTCCTCCCCTCCGCTTTCAGTCCTTTTCCTCCCAGGGCCTGAAACGTCATGCATAATCAGACGAGCAGATAAACAAACCCCCTGTTCCCCTGCCAATGGCCCCCGGCTCCGATCCCAGTCATCAACGTTACGTGTCAACCGCCCGTGTCCCGCTGTACTAAAAGACGAGTAAAATGTAGAAATGTAGGGATGTACGATCCCCACGAAGCGCCGTCCGTGGGTACGTGGCCCTCTCGTTGTGAACGTGAAACAAATTTGTGTGCCTCGCATTCATGGCGATAGATGATGGATGGACAACCATCCAGTCGTGCGTCGTGCCAAGGAACAAGGTTGATGAATTAGAACTCCACGTCCCCGTCGTGGCCCTCGTAGCCCTCGAGGACTGGCTCGATGACGCCGCGGCTCCGGTTCAATCTCCTGCCATTGCTGCGCTTTGCTTCTTGGGCTTGCCGCGGTACCGCTTTGAGCGAGCTGTCCCTCGATGGATGTGGGCTTGCGTTTGCCATGGTAGGCTTCTCGGTGACCGAGCGGCCCCGGCCTCTCCCCTGCTGCGGCTCGGCCTCGGACTCTGGCGGCTCCTCCGGCTCAGACGCGCTATCGTCCGTGTCGTACTCATACCCCAGCGCGCGGAGCCTGTCCCGCCGCGTGATGCCCTCTTTGTGTCCGCACGGCGGGAGCATCGCCGGCCCGTCGACCAGGAACGGCGGGTCGATGGCAGCGCAATGCAGCAGGGAACACATCAGGCATGGCTTGTGTCTCGGCTCCGAATCGAACAGGCCGGGTAGGTCAGTGCCCGCCTTGCCGTAGCCCTCATCCTTGAAGAGGAGAGCCTCGTCGTCCTTGACCTGAGCCCGGCGCTTCTCCACAAAGGAGTCGACGTCAGAGTCACTGTCGGCAGCGCTGACGGCGCCCGGACAGCCGCACTCCTGGGCTTCAAAGTCCATGCTGTCGGCCTTGCCCGCAGAAAGGTTCGCGTCGAAGAAGCCCGTCCGAGACTCTGTTCGCGAGCCAATAGTCGTCTCCGTAAAGGCATCGTCCTCGAGAGACGGGACGTAAAGCGACCCGCCGGGAAGGATATGCGCGGTGGAGCCGGCGGCCGAGAATGTCTTCGGCTCCGCACCACCCATGGGCTGCTTGACCGACAGTGGCATGTCGAGCGACGTGTTGGCCGTATGATTGCTCTGCGGGCGCGGGAACAGGTTCGTGCTCGTGGAGCAGCCGTCGGAAAGCTCCGTTGTCGGCGTGATGGACGAGACGGACCATTGCCGCAGCGACGAGTTCCGCGGGGGCACGTAGCCGACGAAATCGTTGATGCTCGCGCCGCCGCTGCGGTGCCCGGGCGCTGATAGGCAGCTCCAGGACCGGTTGCGTCCGTGTTGCGACGATGATCCGGCCGAGGCTTCTGACGGGCCGGGTGCGTCGGCGCCTGCGAGGGCCTCGCGGCTGATCCAAGGGCTCTTCCATTGCGCGTGAGAGCCGCGCTTGGGCCGGCTGCGGCTGCGGGAGGCGTCTCTGCGACGAGTTGAGACAGCTAGAGTACGAGTTAGGAAACAAGAGTCGTCCGAAGCAATGTCACACGCGACGAGCTGCAACGACTTACATGGCGCGGGCGCAGAGTCGCTCAGACTCCCCTCGTCTGAGCTGTATCCCCTCAGCAACGGCAAGGCCGTCTGCTCGCGAGACTCGTCGCGACCGCGAGGCTCATATGAGAGACCTGCGTAGAGCAGTTGGCTGTCGTAGATGCGCATCTCCCGATGCGCCGCCGCGACGGGTGTGTAAGCCCGTTCGTCCAGATATCCGCCTTCCCTTCGTTGCCGTCGTCTAGGGGTAGACATATTCGAGGGCGTCGCCGGCGCCTTGCCGTTGTCGCTCGTTATGCCCATCGCGCTCAGGGGTCGGTACCTCGGCACGGCGGGAGGTGAGGCCGCGCGACTGCTCTGCCCCGACGACTCGAATGCCTGCACGCTGAGAAGCTCACTGCCCCTGTGTCGCTTGCTGGCCGTTCGATCCGGATGTCGTCTCTCGGTGCTGATCCAGCCTCGTGGTGTCGATCCTGGTACAAGAGTCGGCGACGTGCTGCGCTCCCTTCCCTTAGGCGTTGAGACACGCACGACGGAGTTGGCATCTATGGAACCGAGTACGTGGCGCAGGCCATGTTCCGGTGGCGGGTTCTGGCTCGGTGTTGGCGTCGGCAGCGCAAGCAGCGTCCTCGAGTCTAGGCTCCTGGTACGTTGGGATGCGCCTTCCTTCCGGCGGCTCCTTCTCTCCTCCACCTCTGCGGCCGATTCCAGGCCGTGAACCGAGCGTCTCTTGGAGGAAGGAGCAGGCTCATGAGCAGGCTCATCCTGTTCGTCGGTTCGGGCAAGGTTGAGCATCGTCGCTTCTGCACGCCTCAACGTAGGGAGAGTGATCATGGTGGCCCGCCTCTCGTACATGGGTTTCGTCGCCGTGTGCTCCAACGCCGCGTAGAAGCGCTGCACCGCCGGGGTCGTGAGGTCCACGCCGTTCTCGCCGATATTCCGATCCGCAACGTCCTCGCCATAGTCTCTTGCGCCGGCGGCTCGCAGTCTCGACTTGAAATCGGACGGCTTGATCTCTCCCTGTGCGTCCAAGATGTCGACGTACCGCGTGGCCTTGCGGCCGGTCACGGCTCCAGCTGTCAATTCTACGGCGCTGATTGTCGCCAACGTCGTCCTGTTAGAAGTCGAGATGGACGGCGTCACGGAGTGAGCGCCATGGTCCCTTCGAACCAGGCTTCGTCCCCGGCTGCTGTTGCTGTGGTAGCTCTCCAGCGCGGGGAATTGCGGGTTCCCGATGGGCGATCTGGGTCGCCATGCATCTGCCTCATCGCCGGGCGCACTGGATGGCCGCTCGTCAAGGACGCCGAGGAGGAAGGGCTTCACGGGCCCAGTGGCAAGCTGGGGTTGGCTGGGTCGCTTCCGTGCGGCCTGCCGTTGCAGCTGTTCCAGTGAGACAGGTCCGTTTCCGCAGACCGCTCGGGTTCCTACGAGCGAGGGGCCCTCGTTAATATGCCAAACTCGAAACAGCATGTAAGACCAGTCCTACCTCGAACGGGAGGATGCGCAGCTACAGTTGTGTGATAGGGTTGGTGGGCGATGGACGATGTCGGTTCCCGAGATCGGTCTGCGCCGCCGGCATTCCTCCGCCCGGTCAGAAAGCTGAGCAGACCCATGGCGGCGATGATGTCGTCGCTATGATGTCGTTATAAGTGGCGTAGCGTAGCGCCCACGCACCGCGGGAGGGCGGACCGCACAAGAAAGATCATGCGCAGGCAAAAAAGCAACCAAAGACCAGACGGCGGCGCCGTCGAAGACAAGAGCCGGACTCTCACACAATATCAGCTGGTCCAGCACATACCCGTGTGGTATATATATGGATATGGTACAACGCAGAGCAAACGCTACAAAAAGGCACAGTACAACAAATTTGACGATATAACGAGAAGGGGGAAGCGAGAGCACCGGGGGAGGGGAGGGGCATGCCAGGAATAATAAATGTACAACGAGGCTCGGGGCGTGTCAGTGGTGTGACGGAAACGCCGCGGCCCGCAGCACTGGACTGGGCCAGACTGGAGGAGGGAGGCGTGTGTGGACGGGACTGGCTTGGATGGGATGGGCACACGGACGAAACGAGCGAGTCGTGACGAGGAGGAGGGTGTGCAACGAGCCTGTCCGTGTCGGGTTTCCGGCAGGTTTGGGCGGTGCGCCGTTGCAGATTCCCCTGAGGGCCAAGACGTGCCGCCGTCCACGGACATGCAGCAATGATGCATGGACATGGCTATGGACCGACCGGCCGCCCTGACCGCATCACCGCATCAGAGAGTGTGGGATCGTTGTCGATTCTGATCCGTTTGCCATCATCCGTCGAGCAAGCGTCCGGCCCACGTCTCTGTCTCAGACATCGGATGCCAAAAAACGGGGGGCCTTGTCTTGGGCTCCGGACCAGACCAGACCTGGGACGCAGCTCTTCATGCGGCGGGGACCTGACCCTCGATGGCTTTCTCCATTATTCAGGAACTCAACACTGACTGGCCCCCGGGGGCCACCCCTGCAAGTGGACGAGGCTCAAGCGCATGTCTTGCATGGGCCACCGAAGAAAACCGCTGAACGGGCTTTCAAGAGGGGGGCCCGTCCCCACCGCCCAGCGGACGGCGAGCAACGAACGAGGCACCACCACGACAGTTCGGCCCAGGGGCAGCTGCAGGAGGGCCGAGCCAACGACTTGCCACGAGGCGTCCGCCGAACGTGGATACGTGTTGCTGCGGCCAGAGGGAGACGCAGCAGCTGGACCTGAGACGGGGTTGCTCCTGGTTGGCGACACACACACTCACACACACACACTCACATTCGCACATCAGGTGGCACCAGCAGAAAAGAGAATTTATTGACCAAACTACCGGTCTGCGGGCGTCATCCGCGTGAGGGGTTTTCCCTGTCTCTCTCGCTGATCATCGTGCCCGCGTTGGTGGACTTCAAGTTGGGGGGGCCAAACGCCAAAACACGTCAGCTATCAACTAGAGTCGCGGGCAGCTCGCCGCCATGCTCCATTTGGGCGCACGGCCAACGGCCACCGGAAGCTGACGAGCAAACGATGGCCGCAACCTAAAGGCTCCCGGCCTGGATCGGGGCTCCGCGTGACAAGGATCTTCTGGGTTCGTGGTAATGACGGCACAGCGCCAGCGGCGACGGCTCGCAGCCCGTTTGCGGTCAATTGTGGAGAGAGGGGAGCTGCTGGCAACGCCCTCGCCCGTCCTCGTTGCCGTGTATGGAGTTTGTACAATATTGGTTCCGCCGCAGCGCCGAGCGGGACGGGCAATCAACCCGTCATGAGGCCAAACGGGCGGTGGCGTGGCGGCTGTCCAGGTCGGCGTTGGTGAAATTCAGGGCCGGGCCAGGGGACCGGACCGGGACAGCAGCAACAGCAGCAGCTCTCGAGGTTGTCTCGATGAGTGTGGCTTGCAAGCCACGCCTCGAACCCACTCCTGCACGACGAACGCGCTTCGAGAGGGCCCCATGTTCCAGGGTCTGCTGCACCCCTGTCCCCTGGGCAGCTCTCGCCGACCTGCGATGCTGGCGGGGATCGACTGGGCCAGTTGGGATCCGAGTTTGCCATACCAAGAGCTGCGGCCCAGGTTCTACGTCTGTACGACACGCCGAGCTTGCCGTGCAAGACGCTGCTTATCCAGTCCCAGTCCTCAAGAGCCAGAGACCGAACCGTCGTGCATGCAGCTGCTGGCAAGGGCACAGAATACGAAGGACTATATGCAGCCCAAGACAGGGAACCCAGTGCTGTGTCGCCGCGCCTTGCATCTACGCATCCTGGGACCGCGTCGTGTTGGGTTGAATATTGTGTATTAATTGGACGGCGACACGCAACCCGCAACCGGCGCGGCCCTGGTCAAGGCAATTGTCTCCCTCACCGTTTCCCGTACGACACTGAATCGTGACTGCATGGCGGGCAGCGGGTGAATGAATAGGCAGGGCAGAGCGGTGAAGCTGCGGAAGACTCTCTTCCGCTCCAAGACATTGCTGATCTTGCGGAGTAGTAAAACAAACGCAGTCAGTCGGTCGGCCAGAGTTGCGCGTCTGCCAGACGGCCGACTCAAAGCCCGAGATGACGAGCAGCATAGACGCTCCGCCCATGTCATTAACAAGCCCGAAAAGCCGGGTGCGCCCCAACGTCTCCACGTGGGCAGTTTGTGGAGGTCGTCGTTCAGATCGACAGATGGATGGTCGGGCACTCGCGAAAACCCCGACAGGGGATTCGGAAAACGCCCCTCGTTGAACAATGGCCGATGGTGAGGTCGCAGCGACAGCTAGGGCACGGACTTGGGGGCAGACTGGCACGGCGCGCCAACGCTCTGGTCGTTCTCCGTATTGCCCATCTGAGCTTTTCCGTCCAAGTCCGCGCTCTGACCAGAGCTGGCCCTCTGCTCGTCGACGGCCCCCCCGACCGGGGCAGCTTTTCTCAACGAAAAGTGTCCGAGCGGCGCTCGGCATCGGCCCTGGCCAAGCACTACGTAACGTATATAGAGAAGCCTCGAGCCCGCAGCGGCGAGCTCTCCCCGACTGGCAGGTGGGCAAAAGGGCCACAAAGCTTAACCCGCAGCTGCTGGTGCTACTGCGGTTCCTCCCTGAGCCGTTTTGACTTTCGGCAGTGCCCACCGATGCTGCGTATGCCCTGCAGGAACCGGCTATCTGGTCCGCCTGGTGGGGATCGATGGCCTCTTGTCCAGCTGCACCGGTCAAGGAAATGAGGTCACTTTCCGCCTCCCAGACGGCCCATGTCAGGCCGCGGCTGTTCCGAAATTTCCTGTCTCATCGCTTAACGGCGACCACCAGATGGACGATTTGCTGCTGCGAGATGCATGCACCTTGCCAGACGTGAGCATGCCTGACTCGGGACCCTGGGCGGTCATGGAATGAAGCAGTATGGGTTGGACTCGCCATACGAAGTACGGAGTAACATGTACGGAGTACGTATGCATGTCTCGCCGAGCTGACTCGCCGTCGGTTCTGAGTGAGGAACAGAGAGCTTCGGGCTCGAAGTGAATGCCGTTGATGAAGAGAGAGCTTACTGATCGGGGCATCGAAAGCCTCGGGGGCATAGACAGAGTGGAGGAGTGAGGGTCTGTCCACGATGGCTACCGGTACGAGAGCCGATCCGTCGACGCATGAGCGACGCGGGGGGACAATGCGAGTGGGAACAGACATGTCAGAGCGCCCGCCGTTGTTACAACATGTGCCAAGATGCGTTGGCCCGTGCAACGCCAGTGACGCCATCCACGAGTTTGCACAAAAGCCACCTCGTGGTGCCGGCTGGCGGTGCTGTTCATTCAAACTCTGTTACCGTTGAGCCAGCGCCCAGTAGGCGTGCAGAGATCTTTGGGTTGCGGCACAGATCTTTGTCAAAAGGAAGAGGCTTCGATGTAGGGCCGTCGCGCCGCCGCTACCGATCACATACATATAACTGTCCCGTGCGGATAGCCCTACGGAGTATCCCGTACTCCGCAATCCATGATCGTACCTGTATTATTACGAAGGACCGTTGGCGCTGCCCCGTCATCTTCGGAAAGCGTTGTGATAGCTGACGCGTAGGGGGGTCGCGTTGGCCGGCATCCGACGTCAAGAAAAGTGACAGGTGCAATGCCGCCCCACGACACAGCATCAAGCGACATTAAAAGGCCATCGCAGCAACAGGGCGAACCACGGTTCCGGCG